AAGAAGTGACACTTGATGACTCTGTATCCATCACCTGTGATGTATCCAAGGGTAAACCGCGCCCGTTTGTGCCGTTATCAATGAGACGATTAGTCTTCTCTAAGATGCATGGCATTTCACATCCTGGTATTCGAGCTACGGTGAAGTTAATTACTGACCGATACGTCTGGCCAAAGATGAATCGAGATCTTCGACAGTGGTCCAGAGCTTGTTTAGCGTGCCAGCGATCGAAAGTGCAAAGACATATTCTTTCACCTACGGGAAGATTTCCCCACCGGATGGCAGATTTGACCATATACACGTTGACATCGTTGGACCACTACCTCCGTCAAATGGTTTTAGCTACATTTTAACATGTGTAGACCGATTCACGAGATGGCCAGTGGCAATACCTCTGCAGGATATATCTGCCGAAACAGTAGCGAGAAATATCATCCAACACTGGATTTCTAACTTTGGTGTCCCAAGTGTCATCACCACAGATAGAGGTGCGCAGTTCGAGAGTAGTCTATTTCAACAGTTAACTGAACTTCTCGGGATCAAGCGCATAAGAACCACTGCGTACCATCCTGCATCCAATGGTATTGTCGAAAGGTTCCATCGACAACTAAAAGCAGCACTGATGGCAGTAAAGACTGATGACAAGTGGAGTGACAAATTACCACTAGTACTCCTTGGTATACGTTCGAGTGTCAAGCAGGACATTGGCTGCTGTACTGGTTAGTTAGTTTATGGAACTACTTTAAGATTGCCAGGAGAGTATTTTAACCCGGCAACAGACGTTCCACCGGACTTGACTAACTATGTACAACAACTACGGCGACACATGAGCACACTTCGACCTCAGTCCCCACGATACCGAGACAACCAAGTTTACGTACCTCAGTGCATCTCAAACTGCACTCACGTTTTCGTCCGACACGACGGCGTACGAAAACCCTTACAGCCCCCGTATGAAGGACCTTTCAAGGTAATTAGTAAATCAGACAAAGTTGTCACGGTCGAACGCTCGGGTAGACGAGAAACGGTCAGCATTGATAGAGTCAAACCAGCGTTTATGGAACCAGATGTCACGGATACCAAGTCTGAACCCGCAGTGAAGCAACCGGAAACACCGAAAACCACCGTCAAAACAGAAACAACGGCATCGGAATCACCCAATAGTAGCGACGGTAGCAGAACCACGAGATCCGGAAGAAGAGTCCGTTGGCCACGACGTTACTTTCAGACAATTTACATTTCATAAAACCAATTCCCTAGTAACATTATTATCGTTTTTGCTCATTACCTTGTTGAAAACATGACCACACGATTTTGTCAGACTTTTCCGCATACACAAAACAAAAAATTTTTTTCCGGGCACCACGGACTTCCGAATCTCTTATTTCTTAACAATGTTCCAGGTAATACGATTTTGGTTGTTAATTTTTTTATCTCCGGATATATTATTACTTTGGTAAAGTTATTTTAGTGTTTCGAATGTCATCCTGATAATAGATATCCTTAACATTCCTCCTATGTTTTTAATATCTTCAAAATGAATTTACCTTTCTCATAATATTTTATATCGAACACAGATATTCCCTCTTATATCTGTGTTCTGGGGAGGGACTTATGTAGCATTTTATTTCACTGTATGGTGTTGATGTACGTAACAACTCGTTGAACATTTTTTGTTTAGTTGTACTGAAAAAGACCTTTTGCTCGCTCGTTGACTAATACAACATCCTGATATATACTTCGCGTTAACTCCTGATATTTACGCTGTCTGACGCAGGTGGATCAGCAGTGTCGGGAATTATAAATAGGCGATAGTGTATCTGGACACGTATATAAAATTTGGGGTCAGATTTCAGAGCTCGACACATTTAATCTCTGGTCTCTCTGTCACCACTTTTAAAATAAATTTATATAATGCCATCAGACTGATTCCAAACGGCATATCTGGTGCACTGACGCGGATAACTTGGCCACATACTAAAAGGAACAACGATCTCCGAAGCCACAGTCCGTTCTGCACCCACTGCCAAATATGGGAAGGGCAGGATACCGATCTCTTCAAGAGGCGGCCAGCCACTTTTCCTAGGGTATCGTTGGCTATTACACATGCCACGTGAAGTCGCCGGAATATGTCGCGAAGTAGTCCCACCCCTGGTGGGGATCATACGTCGTCCAAAGAGGGGAGTGGTGTGGCAGGTGAAGGAATAAGGCAGCCCAAAGCAATTCATCACTAACTATAGCATCATCCCCAAGGAAAGCACCTGACATCTGACGGCTTCAGTATTTTTACCAGAGTCGCATCGATAGTCGATGAGGCATTTGCACGCAACCTATGTCATCGATGAGCACATTCTCACTGTGAAAGCAAATTAACGCAACAGTACCATAAGTTCATGAAGCGACAACAATGTGAATTGTTCTGTTACATCTACCCAGAATACGAAAACTCCCCGCACTACATATGAATAACCCAAATGAGATACCATCCACCACAGAAAGGCCATCAACCTCCCCGAACATTGTAGGGTCACCATTGAAGGTTAACGCAAAGGAAAGCGAAAACAAAGCTAGATCTGCGGCCATGCACGCAGCAATGTGCACTGAGATTACGTTGGACGGAATCTCCGTATGCCCCTGACGAAACCCAACCTGAACGCCTTAGACATTGTAACCGAGAAACGGCCAGGAAAAACGCGTAAAAATCGGACCTCTCACCCATAACGAATGTAAGCGACAGAAAGCCAACTCGATTATCTTGTTCCGCATTGATGCATCGATAGACTCACCATTGGTTAAGAGAAAACGATTTAGCAATGAAGCATGGGCCAGAGCTGTGTCCAGGCAGGTACCCTGGGTGCGATAACCCAGGGTCGTAGACCCTGCGCCAGGACACTCACAAAACCAATCTACAACCACTTCAAGCACTCGCTAGGGTCATGCAAGCTCCCTAAATAACGGAAGTGCACTATCTTGTCACCGATCTTAAGGGGTGATGCAGTCCTGGCAGCTATAGAAAGAAATCCACATTCCCTGTACCTTCCAAAGTATTAGACAGCCTGAAAGCCAACAAGAGCTATGAGGTACTCGACAGGAAAAGTGCCGTCCATAGAGCTCAGCATGGGTTTTGGAGGGGTCATGCATGCGCAACCAACTTGGCGACTGCACGGGACAACCGAACTGTTAACTGGCGCGACAGGAAACCAGCACATGTTTTTCTCGACTTAGCTAAAGCCTCCGATAGCTTTCAGCTCACATTCCCGCACCACAAGATCTTGTCAGACGGTATGAGGGGACCTGTACTCCCCTGGCTCAAAACGTACTTGGAAGGTAAACAGTCCGTATCAGGAAAAAAAGTTACGGTTAGAATGGAGACCATCAACATCGGTGATGTCCCAAGGGGTAATGGAGATCACTTTCGACCCTTTCCTTCGTCAACAGCTTTCTGCACAAAATCTCCTCACCCACCCTCGTCTTCGCTGACGTCAAAATTTGGGGGGGAGTAAACAAATAGGTAGCACTCCAAAATGACCTGGGGAAACTTGGGCCGTGGCCATCAACTAATGGCCTCAGCTTCAACCTGGAAAAGGGAAAAGTAACGCACATCAACACCTACGAAGCAAGGGTGGCTGAATTCCAATGGGAGTTAAGCAGCTATGCTGTCACCAAAATATCCACGGAAAAAGAAGTGGGGCTCAACTTCTCGGACAATCTGAACACTAGCCTTAACTACAAAGAAGTGACAGCCACAGCGAACGCTACCGTGTACTTCCTGCAAGGACGGCTTGGTGCCCTTCCTCATAGTATTTAAATCTTATGCACGGCCACACCCAGGAGTCTTAAATATGGTGGCACCTACAGCATGCAGGACAGGCCCCAGATTCTTGGCAAAATGCAAAGATCTACAACAGAATTCATTGTGGGGCCAGGAGAGGCATACTCCGAAAGGCTGAAACACCTTGACCTGTTGGCCTTGGGCTATCGCAGAAAAAAAGGGAACCTTCAAGATCGCCTATCAGCCAAATCAGGCAAACGAACCAACCTTACCTGCAACGCGGAGGTTATTACGAGGAAGGTCCATCAAGATGGCACATCAGACACCTAAAAACAGGCCGAGGACTAAGTTCTCCTCCTTAAGAATTTGTGATTTATGGAATGCACTGGGGCGGGCTGTAGTCACAGTCCCCTCTCCGGTAGACTCATTCTAAAGATGGTTAACCGGTCAAATCATTTCTCGTAACTCACCGCAGGTGCGCTCAGGGAATCACTAACTTGACTATCTCACCATTACTTCCTTTCTATTCCTCTTACTGACACACGTAGATTACCTAATAATTCGGCCTTTCAGGTGCTTCCCAAATAACTTTCCCTACTATCTTGTCATTCCCCTTTCAAGCAACTACACAGGCAGAAGTCACAACAGACCCCTAATCTTCTTATCTACCCTTGGCCCATAATCACCTCACAATTTCTGATTGCTAACCCACAAAACGTTCATCCCACCGGAGCTAGTAGCAGGAAGGCAGAGGACATTTCGTTGTCTACTGCAGCAACAAACAGAAAAACACAACTTAGACCCCAAGCTTTGGGGGCGAGAGATCAAAAGCTGTCAGCTTTCTATCCCTGCACTATCACTGTCAGATAGTGTCATCGATTTAGAAAGGGAATTTGGATCTATGAGAAGTGAAAGAGAATATTAGGAAAGATCTATGAGTTCACTCTGTTTTCAGGGCGGATAATGAATGCTGAGGGAATTTAATAGTTTGAGGTTGGGTGGAACACATGAGTGGACAACTACCAGCTTTCTAAACTCACCCTGTGGATGTTGGACATTGAAAAGTGTTTTTCTTTACATTTACCAAATATTACAAAGTTCGTTTACTTAACTTCAGTGATTTTTTAAATGAGGTTGTTTTTCATTCAGCACATATTCACTTCAAAGAATTGAAGTTGATGGATAAAACAGGAGTAAAAACAAAATTTTTTGAATAATCACTACTCAGGTTGGTTCTTCTGCTGATGCTGAAGATGTTAAAGTACTCGAGTCTAATCTCAAGACTAAGCACGTCCATAAGTCGCATCAAGTAGATACCAGATTTTCAAATGATTTCAATTCAAACAATTCTAGATTACTAATGTTTCGAAAAACAAAGATTCGGTTGACACAGAACAGCAGTTATCAAAAGCAGATGAATCCATTTCTCAAAAGCCTCCTGTGGTGAAAAAAAGAAAGAAATTGTTGAAAAAGCTACCTCCTCTAGACACTCATGATTCTGCCTCTGATAACTTAAGAAGTGGTATGTCTCATCTGCGAAATTGATTTTCAACTATAAGTTTGACTGTATTTTCACAGTCTTTAGATCTTCAGATTCAGATTTTTTTTAGTTGAGGATAGCAGACTGTGAGCGTATATTAATCCCTTGCCAGTAGACCTCTGTGCTCGTACAGTCCTCTTTTGAATGAATCAGCTAATAATATGGAGACCACTTTTTCTGGGAGTCGGTTTCAAGAGCTGATTACTTGACAGGAGTATCAGTACTGTACGGAAACCACGTTTTTCCTTTACATTTTACTCTCCTCCTATGCCAACTGAGGTGCTACAACCTAGTGAAAGAGGAAATAAAATATAGAACAGGTCTCAAGTCGTCTCTTGAAGTAGTGTGCAGCATTATTAGATCCCCCTCTGTCTGTTATAGGATAAATAGAAGAGGTTCGGCTCCTTAAGTCGATCTTCGTAGGTCTGGCTAGCCAGTACAGAGATCAAACGACTGGCTGACCTGTGAGTCAAATTTTAGACAAGGATTTGCCACCTGTGGGCAGTTTTCTGGTTAGGACCTAACTAAGGATGCGTATAAGATGGTGGACACGTCACTACTTAGTTTACACACTTTCTGCGTAATTCCCAGTATCCTAAAACTCCAAGCGGTGACCAACCAATATTGTGCCGTGGTTTTCAAACCATAACTTACTGTGACTTCAAGGTTATTGTAGGTCAGTACTGAGGGTTGAGAAGTCCCACTAATATCGTCACTGTTGCTGTGTGTGACCAGTGTTGATGCTTACACACTTGCCCAAGTTGATAGAGATCAGCCACTCTGACAAGGTAAACAGGCTGTTTAGGCCTATCTGAAGTGCACTTCTATCGTCCTCATCCCTAATTTCCCGCCAGATATGTGTATCATCATCTTTGAGAACCATAGGCGATTTCGTGATATTCGGTAGCTCATTTATATATAGAAGAAATAGCAAGGCACCCAGGTATGTGTCTTGCGGCACTCCACTCTCTACAGACTACTAATAGGAGAGTTGGGAATGAATTCTCACTCTTTGTCTCCTGTCAACAAGGAACTCTCTGATGCATGTGAGTAGATTTCCAGTGATTCCGAAACTTTAAAGTCCTCTGAGCAACCTAGAATGAGGTACATTGTCGAACACCTTGCTAAAGTTTATGAGAGTGACATCTACAGGCATTCTATCATCCTTAGACTAAACCCAACCTTCTCTGATTGTGAAAAGCTTTGTCAAGCAAGAGAAATTTCCGCGAAAGCTATCCTGCAAACGAGTCAATAGAGTGTTTCTCTCTAAGTGAATTGTGGTGGATTTCTTGACTACTCTTTCTGGGATTTTTACTACAGTGCTAGTCAAACTTATCGGTTTGTAATTTGATGGGTGCTATCCACGATCTACATTGTGGATGGGCGTGACTATGGCATGCTTCTAGTCATAGGGAAGTGTGGCTTCGCTGAGGGACAATCTAAATGTGGTAGTCAATGGGCCGGCTAAATACAGTGCAAGCTCTCTGAGCAGCTTTGAGTGCTCTGTTCTTGTTGATCTTACTACATATAGAGCACTCATTGTTCGAAATAAATCCTTGCGATCAGTATCAAAAGAGTTTATTACGTTGGATGTCAGTGGCGTTGCTGTTTAATTAGTGTGCACAGAATATTTCTGTATGGAGATCTCAGCAAATTATCCAACTATAGCTACCGCTTTCTCCTTATCGTTTTTAATTCAACAGCCAGTTTCTCTCCATTTGATTAGAGCGGGTACATAACGATACGCTTTTTTCTATAGTTCGTTAAAGAAAATTATCTCTTTGGGTGTTGCAGTGCAGCCTTAACAAGGCTTGCTCTAATGCATTTTCGAGACCAGCGGATAGCAGCAATACATCTATTTTGGGCTTCTTTGTAATTCTTCGTCACCTCGGGATTACCAAGATGGGTGGCAAGACTTCAACACTTTTTCTAGCGTCGTAGCAAGATTCCGATTATGTAGTTTATCCATGAAGGACAGTATCTTCGTCTCTTCTGGACAGTTAACAGGATGAACTTTTGAATCACTCATGCATGTAACTGTTTGAAGGAGCACCATGCAGCCTCAACTGAGGCCTTGGGATTGCCTGTCGAGTTCTCTGAAGTGATTGCCAAGTTAATAGCTGCCATATTTACTTCCCATAAGATGGGTCTGGCAGTGGCATTAGCCTGTTACAAGATGGTTGCTGAGACTGAAAATAATCATAGCATGATCACTTTCACCGAGATGTTCAACTTATCGGATATAGTGTACATCTTCTGTGTGCGAGAATACTAAGTCCAGAAATTATGGAGCCAGCTGATGCTCGAATCTAGTTGCTGCCCTTATCTACTGTTTAAGGTCCAAGGAAACTAATGTTCCCACTAACCTACAATCAAACCAATAACTTGATACTTCTGACTTTAGTCTGTCTCAGTCAGCTAATGGTGTGTAGAAGTCTCCTACAACTAGGCATCAGCAGCTATCTATTCAGAGGGTCACCTTATTTAATAGTAAGTTTGTTGCCTCACATTCAGGGCTTTGATATGCCACGGTTAGCTTAACATCTTGTCTCTTAAATTTTATTGTACAGCGGAGCACTTTGCCTGTTACACTTTGATGTAAAACCGTTTCTATGTCTCAAACAGTAAAGGCATTCTAAATGTATAGAATGTCACCCCAATCTCTGCATGCTAACTCATCACTTCTAAAAGAAACGGATCCTCGTGAATATCTCACAATCACTGGTCCCAAAAGACAGCCATGTTTAAGAGATAGCAATGACTTCAGGACTTCCTATGTTTATTATACTACTAAGCTCAGTCCACTTTTCTAGGGGACTTTGTGCATTTGTATGCAAGACGATAAAACCATTTAAATTAGTTTTCGTCCTACCCACAGGGGCTTCGGCGTCACTTGTTGCCAATACCTCACTATACGGAAACCCACCACTTTTAGGTCTTTGCTGCTGATAATCTAAACTTTAGTTCTACTGCTGCTTCTCGTTTTTTTGATTCCATCAGCAAAACACAAATTCTTACGAGTGAACACTCCGGTTCCTTGGAGTATATGAGCGTTCTTCAGAATGTGATTCCTCTTGTCTATTGATTTGAACATGACTTTAAGTAGCCGGAACCTGTTTTCTGTAGGGATTGTCTCTTTTTTACCTACTCTTTGTATCCTGAGTAGGGTGACTCCTAGTATGTTTCCCGGTAAAAGCTTGTCTACCAAACTTGGTATTTTACCATATATACTTATATGCTTCCGGGTTTCTACCTTCTTCTACTTTTAGGAAGATTATAGACCTTTTAAGTAGCTCTACTTTATCTTTGCTCTGTGAAGCGATGAGAGTTTGGCCCATGACGGTTACTTACTTTTTGATATATCGTTTACCCTCAATTTCTTGCCATTCCTCAGAGTCGGGTGTGTGAGACTGACTAAGGCCTATTTTAGGGACCTTGACACTGAAAGCCTCAGAACGGATTTTCATCCCCTTGTGCTCACTCGTTGTCACTAATTTTGTTCCCGAGCTGGGTAGGACCTGAAGCCTGATTAGTTCTTTAGTTGACACTGAAAGTGATCTGCCCCCCCCATCTCTTCCATCAGAAGTTGACCTAGTCTTAAGGTTGGTAGTTTTCAGACTAGGTTCGGCAGCACTGGGGATGCGAGAACCTGAAGATGCTCGCTTCGCCATACTTTGCGTAGCGTTTTCTAAGTCCCCATACGCAAACCTCTTAGGTAGTCTACGCGTCTGGCTTTAGTTTGTCGTGGGACATCTTTTAGATTCTGCACTGCGATCTATGTGTCAGCGGATGCTTTGTCGTTATCACTGTCACAGATATCAGCCTTCTTTTAAGTTCTAGCTTCATCGTGAACATATTTCGAAGTGCTTCCTCTTCTTCAACCAGCCTGGGAATTTCTGAGAAGTGCGACAGGTAAAGCTAGACACTCCCTGCTTCACTATACATTTTATATGGTGAGGGTATAGGGTTTGTGCAATTATCGTGATACTAACTCTTGCAATCAGAACACTGCATACCAAAAGCCATTGCGGAGTGGCACCACGCCCTACCATAATCATTTTTGCGACACTTTTGGTTGATTACATAGCAGAGACTGGAGAAAAACTTGATAAGACAGGTAACACGTATCAGAAAACACTGCTTGCACTGGAAAAAAATAATTTCCTTAAACTGAGCGGTTAACTATAAGAAGTTCACCAGAAAAATTCCCGTTTGAATTCAATTGAAGATCATTTTGATTAGGGCAGAAACACAATAGGCTTTGATGAGAAAAATCAAAAATGTCAAAAATCTGACTAAATGTGATAAAGTCACCTCCTTTTCAAAATGTGCTGGTGCAAATTGTAAATCTTCTTCTTTATTTCCCTTTTCTTCTCAGCCCGGTTAATTGGGATTAATAAGTCTAGGTATTTCATCACAAGCTGATGAGTATATGAGCATCCAACTCACATTTGAACAATTCCTGTCAGCCTAAGTCTTGTACTATAATCTTTTATTAAAATTTGTGTTTCATCTGTGTTTCTCTTCCAACTAGCTGGTTCTCAAGATTTACTTTTCTATGTATGTCAGATTGTAGAACATTTATTTTTTCAGAGACCAAATCAGTGAAAGTTTTTATATGTTTGTTTAGAGCTATTGTAACTCCACCTATAATGTAATTTTATGATGCTTCATGTAAACACATCTTAGATCATAAGATGCAGATACATATTATGGTACTATAATTGAAGGATGAGGACTTGCGTTTGTCCTTGTATGATCGCTTAATAAAAAAACCATTACTTCACTGCGATGATGTTCCTTCATCGCTTTTGTACTCTTCTGCTATCCTTGGAATAGTTTCCACTGATTTGGAAGGAAAAGAGACGACAAGTCGGGTACAGAGTTGTTACCTAAAATCCTACTCACTGTCGTCAAAACTTATGTGGGTCTATTAGGTGGAATAAGAGGTTCAGCTTCTAAACTCTCTCCTGATGTTTTATGACGTGCATCACAGAGGTCATATTAGTGTCCATTTTAAGAACTCTTTCCAAAGGTTTTGAGTCATCGTTCATCAGGTGAAACCTCATCACTTGTGCATAAATTGTAAATCCTGGTGTAACCAAGGTGGTGTATAAGATGGCTAACTTGTCAATAGCTACTGAAGTAAAAGTACTGCATATGGCCAAAATATCATGCAACTTCAAACTGTGGTTCAGGCTCAGATTTTTATTTGGAGAATAAAAGGCTGTGAGCCCATATTAACCCTTTTCTAGCCCCCTACTCAAACTCATGCAGTCATATAATGGCTTGCAGAGACTTTTCATTAGAAGTGACGAAAATTGACAGTATCCACCAGGGATACACACTTCCATAGTTTCTATTTAGCTTCGTTATAGACGCACTAACGGGCATAACATCGGTAAGTCTGACTTTGCAGAAATTGATCTACTCCCTGGAAGGCGTGTGATTAACTTGTAGTACGCAGAAGATGTTGTACTGCTAGGCGAAGACCCTGACAAAGTGCAGGATCTTCTGAAAGTATTCTGAGTGTCTGCAAGTGGTTTGGACCCTGTCAGATGTAAGCTGATGCTGCAGGACTTGTCTGCAACTACTCCCAGTCTATGGATAAGCAGTGAAGTGGCGGAATGCCTCGACCACTTTACTTACTTTAGGAGCTGCGTCAGCCCAAATGGGCATGTTGCTGACGAAATCTCGGCTCGGATACTAAAGGCTCTTTTGGTATTTGCCAACACGCCTCATCTGTGACACAAACTGTCGAGATGTCCTACGACGTATTAAGGGACAAGTATACTGCTTGGAATTCTCTTGTCTTGTTATACTCTTCTGAAAAATGGCAGTTGAAAGTAGAAGACATGAAGTGGTTATAACTTTTCGACCATTAGTGTCTTCGTAACATTGCTTGTGTATGATGGAATCACCATACGAGCAATGTCTAGGTTAGGTGAAGCATACTACGTAAAGAAGGGAAGGTGGTTAATGAGGTTGTGAACCTTCGGTGGCTAGGGAGATGGCCTGGATATATGTTGCATATGCCAAGCTACCACCTACCTCGACATGCTATGCTGGAGGAAGCTGGATTAGGTTGGAAGAAGGTTGAGGGTGGCCAGATCAAGACATGGCACCTGTCGAGGAAGTCTCTAACTGTCGGTCTGAGCCTTGTGGGCAGATATAGACCGACTGGTTGGCGTCCCTGAGACTAAAGAAATCAGTGATTGAGGAATCTTGGCGAAATAGCTGAAAATCTGTCACAGTGGTGCAGAAATATCTGCTGCTTGATGTCTTTTAAAGCCTCAATATTTGCAGTAATCTTTATCATCAAGTTGTTCCGTCTTTCAAACACCCTTTTATACTCTGACATCAACCTTTTTCTGCCCACTTTTTCTTTGAATGCTACTGCTAAGTAGTCTGGCAACGTGAACTGATACGCTTTGTGAGAGGTTTACGTTGATTTTGTCCGTCTCTGGAACAGGCAGATACATCCAATCTTGCTGTGCCGGATCCATGAAGTTTACGTGATGCCATAGTTTTGACTTTAGACACTCCCTACCAGAAGCCAGAGCAAAATAATGTCGTGGTCTACTACGATCTATTGACAATTCTGAACTGAAATCGCAGAAATTTAGGTCGAAGAAAGACACAGAATATGAACAATGTTCGGAATTACACAAGGAACAAGGTGTAAATTATCCTAACTTTGAAGAAAAATCTTAACAATAAAGGTTTGATAAACGTCGTTACCAGCTGAATGACAGTATAAGCCAAAAAGGTAAATAGCTGTGGAGGATTTACTAGCAAAAATGTCCTTATCTTAATCAAGCAGAAAAACAATTAGATTAAGGTAAGAATAATGGTGGGTTTTAATATATAAATATAGCGAAAGCCATAAACGTAGCTTACCGAGGGAAATTCTTTCACTTTCAGGAACGTATGCTAACTGCTATAACGTTTCCAGCTATCAGCCATTATATCCAAGTTGCTTGTGTTATCCCACCCTTAGTAGTTTACAAGGATGATGAATATATAGATTCAAGGCGAATAAATCCGTTTTTATCTACGATAGAATAGATTTTAGACAGTAACATTTACTTTGCTCAAAAATTATGACAGTGACTTCAGCACATCAGATATAGTAGGTCGGTTGGATCATATCAATTTATAAATTTCGTGTTTCGTCAAATATTTTAGCTTCTGGCTATTGAGGCTTGAAATTTAATACAGATAGTATGTGATATGAAAGCAGTCAACCCTTATTATCGTGTCTTTGTGATCAGTCTTCAGTCAAAGGCAATGTTGGGTAAATATGATAGGGTTAAAACTACATTGGGTGGTAGCCAGAAGGCAATCAACTTTATGTTATCTAGTCCTAAGCGCTGATCGAATTCTACCTTCAAGATTGCATCTACACCTTACTGACAACACTAAATTTCAGTCCGGGGCTTCCTGTCGATCATCTCCATCCAACTAACAAGATTATAACTGACTAACAGGGTAGAAAATGTCGGGTGGTGGTAACACAGGTATAAAATGGAGTTAATAAGAAAGATGGGTATGTGCAAGCTCTAAATATGCGTCACGTTCGGTAAACTTGAAATCTGTTGTTGTTTAATTGTTATTCTGACATGCGGATAGAAAGTCTATGGTTAACGAAATCATAAAAGCTGCATTATGTTGCGTTTCATAATGTGTGTGCGTGTATGTTTACTACTCGACAATAAAGTTATGGTGTATTGAAAAGTTCCTCTTGATTCAGGTTAAAGAAAACTGGCTAATTTTACCTCCAAAATGGGTTTCGTTGATGAGTGAATCCAATCTGCTTTGAAGCTCATTCTTCTGGTATACATATACTCTTAAGAAATATCAAATTAAATTATGAACAGTAAGCAAAAAATTAGGTAGTTTGTCAAATTTTCTACCAATTTCTATATGTTTCTAGACTCCTTACCTTTTGAATAATAAGAATGATGGCTTATAATACCTATAGGAGTATATATGTGACTGAAAAAGCCTAGTCTTCATTATTTCTCAAATTCATACCAGCAATTTCTAGCCTAAATAATAACAACTTAGAGTACTGGTTTTGTTTGTTATTCCTAAGCTGCTTTATTCTGTGTTTCTCGTGTAATTTATGCTAAAGTGTAGTATGTTATGGTATCTTCTTTAAAAATCCGCTCGATACTAAGTGTATTCTTAGAATGTCCATTTTGTTTTAGCAAACAAAAGTAGGAATTTTTGTTAGTATTTATGACAAAATGACAATGTGATTTGATTTTAATATTCTTTTTGAAACAAATTTCTTTTTTACAGTTCCATTGGTTGAAATAAAACAACCTTCGTTAAATAAACCATTGAACGTCAGACAACAAGAGGCCGTAAGTTAATTTCAATCTAAGTGGAAATTATCTAGAATACTTCACAAAGTTTTGAGACAACCTGTAAAATACATCCTAATTAAAAACTAACAGTCGTTTAGTTCGCAAGATATATTCTGTATATAGTACTTTCTAAACGGCTGGTTCCACAGTGGAAGTTGAAGTTTTACATACATATTGACATTGGTATATGAGAAATCTTATCTTACAAGTGTGGTGGTGAGGTACATCTCTTACTCAGAGTCACTTTCAGAGTGGCTACAGGAAACATCTTCAGTGAACGTTGAGGTTCACTCACCATAAGTTTATCTAGATTATTAACCTTATGCTGTAGTTTATACTACAGCATGCTGACCATTCCCTTCTTGACATGTATATGCTTCTTGATCAATTTTTTTCCTTTGTATCCATTTTGTCTCAGTGTATGGATCAAAGTTTTGTGACTCTTTAGTCATCGTAACATCAGAGAGAATTCCTTTTTCTTTGTGAAATAAATTGCTTCAGAATTTTAATCCCCAAGTTAGTTAAGTTTACAGATAACTGCCAATATCCAAGGTCAAGTAATTGCCCTACATGTGTACATTCCTCAGTGTGAATTATTGTATTTAGAGGAAAAGCCTTATGAGACAGCAGCAGAAATAAGTATTTTCTCGAATTTCTTTTTTATAATAGTAATAATAATAATAATATTGATATCTTTGCTTGCATTATCCCAAATCAACCTGCTATTATTGGCTTTTGGGTTCCTACGTGGATGCCTTGATATAGCTTGTATATCAACCATATATTATTGATGTATATATTGATATTGTTGTCGATATTATTCCAGCTGAGGGACCCGAAATGGGACGAAACGCACGCCCTGAACTTCACTGCTAGTCACTATCTATCATCAATAAATAGTAATAGTGATTTCAAGGTAGTATTCATCATGGAGTGACGTTATTCAAAGAACTACTGAAAACTTATGAACACTGGACAGTCATTTCATCCTGATACGGCATTCCTGAGCAGTATGGGGCGCCAGACCTCACTTCAGTGGCTGAATGGTTAACTCATTCACTAATAGACCTGAAGTTCCTGTTTGTAGGTGTACATTGCTGAGGGTTGTGATGTCAGGACGAAACAGCTGTCCAGTGATCCCATATACCAAATGGTATTCCAACTGATACAAGTTCATAATGAATACTGCCTTAAAATATCTAATAAAAACCCCATGAATCTGAGCTTACAGTGATAATAATGATAGATAAATCCTTTTAGCTGTCGTCATCTTTTGTTTGAACAACCTAGTAATCATCCTTTTTTAAAAGATCTTTGTTATTCTTTCCTCTCGAATAGGAGAATAAAGTCGTAGTGACAAAAGAAGCGCCTGTTACTTCGAATATACCTTTAGCATCAATGAAGTATGAACAGCCGAGACAATTTGCAAGATCACGACCTAGTTATGCCCTGCCAGAGAGGATGCAACGTTTACGAAGGACAACAGGATTAAGTGAACCGTCAACAAGCCCTGAAGTGAGCAGATTTGAAAAAAGAAATAAATATCTAGTTGATTATGATTTGACTATCTAAGATAGCCGTAGTTTGGTAGACTAGTATTTGTACTGGGTGATGATTGAAGGTGAGATGAAAATCTGGACTGCGGCCTGACCCGAACCAGCGACCACCGGGTTAACGGCCGGTGCCATACCAACTGAGCTACAACGTCCGACTGCTGACCAGGATTTTTTTTCACTTCAGTCACCAGATTTCCATCTCACCCTCAATCATCACTCAGTACAAATATCTAGTTGTTAGCAATAAACATTGAACAATATGTGACTGGTTGTTGTAACTCAGTAGTTTAGAAAACAAAATGATATTTTAGAGCTTTCAATACTGGATTGCATTATACATTGGTAATCAAAGTTACACATGTGAGGTACAAGCAGAAATTATATTTCAGAGTTATGTTCATCACGGAGCAATATTAGTTAAAGAACTGTTGAAAATCTGAGAACACTGGAGAATTGTTGGGTCCTGTTATGGTATTCTTTAACAGTGCACACTTACGACTCCACTAAAGGTCGAATGCAAAGCTGGATTTCACAACGAGCATGCTACCACTACATTTGGAGAATAGCTTTAGTCATATAAGCCGATTAGCATAGACAAGAAGTGTATGAAACAGTAGTGGTCAATATACTAACTGAATGCACTCAGTCTTTATGGACAAAATACTCCGAAAATAATTAAGTCCAAGGATAACTGAATTCTATCAAACAGATAAATCCTGAATTTTATGAAATGCTTTTTGGAGTTCCATACTGTAATGATCATCTAGAATATTTTTTCTGAATTCCGGTTGTGATCATATTCATACAGTTTAAACTAATGAAGGTTATGAATAGCAAAAAATGGTTTTATTTTACGGTCTTTAGATGATCATGCTGGGTAATGATACTCCCCTTTGCCTACACTCTGCGTATCGAGAACATTCCAGCCACAAAACAAATTGGTAGTGAAATTAGTCAGTCACTTTCCACCAAACCAACTGAATCTTACCATCCACTGTGTGGCCAATATCTATCTTCCTCTATAGTCTTGTGGAACCCTTTGCGAATGGACAATTTATGCAGAATAATTGAACTACTTATCAGTAGCTCATCTTTATGAGGATAAGATGTGTTGGCAATTAAATTTTTTGTTGTAATTGTTTCAGAAGTCAAGATTTCAGGTTCAAAATTTGAGTATAAGAGAATTCTTGTCATTTTAGCCGTCTTATAACTTTAAGTGTCCTTATGATTTTGTTATTCTGTGCCTTTTTAGTTGAGTTTAAGTGATACAAGAGGCAAGGAAAATATTGATCAGATATCTGGATATGACTTTTTTGTGAAAGAATGGTTTGATAACACAACTGGAAAGGATTCTGCTCTTGTGTTTATTTCAAATTCTGAACCACAAATCGTATCAGGTGCCGGTGAGAGACATTCTGCTGGCGATGGAACACAGTCTAGAATGACTAAGACTAAACGACACAAAAGTCTTTTTAAAAGAACGGAATCAGTGATGGATGATACTTCAGTCGAGGTAATTTACTGTTTTTTTTTCAGTAATCTACTTTGTGTAAAATATCTGATTAGAACTGCAAACAAGTTCTATTTGATAACGCTGGACTTAACTTTGAACGCCGACTGATCGTCAGTTCACGTCATTCGTTGTGTTGACTACTTATTATAAGGTTCAAATTATTAATTCAGTACACATAAGTGACAATGGTTGTCAAATGCCAATAGTTAATGATATTGAAAAGGAAGAAACAACTGGCCAATGACTTACTAATCTATCTAAGGTCGTTCTTACTTCACAAAACATCAAAAGAGGAAATAATACTATCAAGTATTATCTCTCTAGTGCAGGATTCCTATTTGTTCTTGTTAGCTGAAATAATTATTTCCAAGTTAGTAAAGTGAATTTTAGTTCCATCACAAGATTTAGTCTTCTGCAGATGATGTTAGGTAGTTAGGGATGATTGGTAGGTTTCGTGCTTGTTGGCACTCTTCAGCAAGGCGTATCTGCTACCTCAACAGAACTGATATCTCAACCGAGGTTCGAACCCGCGTCACCCATTGTTAAAGTCAGCTATGTTATTACTCAGATACATTGCAAACCAGATGCTGACATTCAGTCAGCACTCAAGAATACACCAGTGACCAATCAATATTTGCATTCTAATATTTTAATCACAAATGGATAATAGGTGATATGCAGAAGTTTGTCAACCATCTCATTGATTTACTTATCTCTTTTCACTGGTTAGTCGCTTTATTAACCAAAATAAGAAAAAAATTCAGTTGATTTTACTTCACTTTTTGTCTAACTGTTTGTGATGGTGCATATATATAGGTTGAACCAGAAGACTGATACGCTTGTACTGAAAAAACCTCCTTAACGAGATATACTACTGAAAAATATGAGTAGTTGAGAACCCAACACGCTGATGTGTACACTTCGCTTCGTTGATTTAAACTATTCAGGTGTGGAAGATGAATTTCCCCTAGTGATGAGGTCAGCTCCAATGAGACAGTCATCTAGTAATTAGACCACCCTAATCTGGGTAGTGAAAAGTACAGATCTGCATGAGCCCTTCCAAATCATCCATGTTGTCATGTGATATATTCATTATATTTTTGTTTCAGAGGTCACACCTTGTGATTTTGGCTGGATGGTTTCCAACAGAAAGCCTGTTGATAGCACAGTTGGTCCTTTCAAAGATTTACTCAACTGTGAAAAGTGTAAACATGAAAACGGATTGCAAGAATCTTCAAATTACCACTCAGGGTTTCCAGATGACTCAGTATTTTCACCCAATAGGATTACATCATCTGTATACTCTAAGTCTAGTTAAGTTTCTTCTACGATAAGGGCAGTCCATATAAAGTTATAAAAGGTGAGAAAGACCTTGATAAACATGTTTATTAAAAAAAACAGATAAGAATGGAAACATCAAACACCCTCGGTGAACACTAGTCGACACATAAACAACTCAACTGAGAATTTAATATAGACTGTTACACACCCAAGGATGTCCGTATACAGAACCTTAGACAGAGTGATGTACTTATCGGGCACCCCTTTCAGTGAGAGCCACTGACATAAGGCCACTCGATTCAACGAGTCAAGTACCACCTTCGGGTCAAGTAATACAGCCAGTTTCAGGTACCTGTGAGTTGTTCTTCTAAAACCTAAGAGAGGGTAAACATTTGGCTGAAACGCCCAGGAACAGGTCGATTTTCTGTGGTTTGTTATTCAAAAGTTCCATTTAGGTTATGGATTTTAGGGAATTCATTTGTCAAACTGATTCCCACGTAGTTATTACAGAACGATTTCTTTCCAGATGGTTCAGACCACTTGTAGGTGGTCATATCTCATCTTTGCATACCACCTAACACTTAACATAATCAAAGCAATAATCTTTGACCAACTTCCTGAAATACCACTCTATACGTCTCTTCTCATCTCTGCTTACAATTTGTCCAGATGTATCAAGAAACTCAGCCGCTTCTGGGATTTGTGGAAAGAAGTAAACAAGATCTATTGATATTTGGCCGATCAGAGTATTTATCCAGTCAAGAAAGAATTCGAATTGAGTCAAAATTTTTATATGATCCACCTGATACAGAAGGTGAGTGAATATGGTACTATCAGTGCTACAATTGTTTACTGATATAAATTATTTTTTGCCTGTTAGAAAATTGGTAGCTGAAACATTTTCAAGTCAAATACCCGTAAAGTAGAAGAGAAAGGTGTTCTTCAGTAGAAACTTATTATGTTTATCCTGTGAAATCATCGGCGTGGATTCCATCTTATTCGAGACTCATCAACAAGATGGACAGTCATCTCATTGAGTGGTGATATTCCGTCTGACACTTGAACCCAGTATGTACTGATTCAAATGACAGAGCTTTGTTCACTGATGCTGGTTGCAAAAGCTATGGCCTTCATAATGCAATAGCCTTATAAACGGTACGGAAGCTATTGAAATGATGTGTACTGGGTTCCGATCACTGTGGGAATGTCATCGGCCACTGTGATTCAGATCCATTCAAGTGCTTAGTGTCAGTTAGGAAGGAACGTGTGTCGAATACCAGCAACTACTAGTTAAACTACGCGAGCATGAAGCTCAGGCCATTGTTAATGTTTACGTCCAATGAGGCCTATAAATTTGCTTCAGTAAAAAATGTAAACAAACAGAAATTACCAGTGCCGATAAATCAAGAGATGTCAGATGACGTATAACCGACTTCATAGGCCATTAACTGTTGACGAGGAGATGATCATTTCATCTGATCAAATCGAAACCTGACAACACATGACTTGCACCATTTTAGTATCAACACAGATAAGGAATACTCGAATATCGTTTGACAAGAATCGAATCTGGAGATAATTCAGTAACAGACCTTCAGTTGAAAAGGCCCTTCCACAAACTGAAATACGAAAGTATTTCTTTGGTTGTGCACATAATGAACAGATGTCCATAAAGATTTGTACGCCCCTTTTAAAAAGAGGATCTGTGAATATGACGTTTCCAACTGCAGACAGTAATTATAAGCCCTTGTGGCCCAGTAGCCGATAAAATTTCTGCACGAATACAAAAGACTTGACCGGCTTTTGCCAACTTACACCACCTGTGGCGCCGCCATGATATCCGATTGTTTATTAAGGGTCGCGTGTACTGCACAGTAGTCTGCTCTGTTCTACTGCATGGCTGTGAAACATGGCCATTGAAGGTGGAAGACATGAGAAGGCTTCAAGTGTTTGACCACCGTTGCCTTCGTAGTATGGGCCGTATTCCATGGTGTCACCATGTGAGTAACGCAGAAGTCAGGAGTAGAGTTTTATGGAGAAGAGGTAAATCAGTTAGTGAGGTTGTGGACCTTCATCAGCTGAGATGGTTGGGACATGTGTTATGTATGCCCAGTCGCCGATTGCCTCGTCACACAGTGTTGGCCGAAGTAGGTTCAGGCTGGAAAAGGCCCGAGGTGGCCAGACTAAAACATGGCACCAACGTATGAAGCCCTTGACTGTTGGTTTGAGCCATGTGAGGCGATACAGACTAGCCGGTTGGGGTCTGCGGGAGAAGAGAAACCAGTGATTGGAGGCTGACTCTAGATGATATGGCTTAGAACCTAAGTCAAGTCAGTGGCACAGATGTATACACAATTTTCCTCATCTTAACGTTTTACCGAATCTCACCATTTTCACATTCTTCCTTTCTCTATTTTCGTACCTTCTATTCCTTTTGACTAAATTTTATTTTCTCTATCTTCCAGTTTACTGCCTTTTTACTTGATGTACTGATATGAGGTGTGGTAACTCGGACCGTTACGCAGTAATGCCTGGTCCTATGTTGACTTGGATGGATGGATGGAAGACAGTAATTGTTGATCTATGCTTTATCTAAAGTTTTTCAGCATTGTAATATCTGGTCAGAGTATTCGCATTTAGGCGGTCATTTTGACTGTGGAGGTAGTATGAAGATGACCTAAGGTCAGGCGATAGTATATAATGCACTAACTATGGTTTGTTTAGAGTGCTAGGGTGCTCAGAATCGAGACGTACATTGATATATGTCAGTTGGTTGGAAGCAGTTGGCAGTAATGGTTTCTCGACCTAGGTTTCGTGTTAACTATCATCCATCAATAAGGAGTATCTGTAAATTCGAGGGAACTGATGTCTCATGTAGAACTCGAACCTGCGTTACCTAGTGCTGCAGTCAGAGATGTTACTACTGGACAACATGAAAGTGTTCATCCTCCAATAACCAATTAGTGCACATTTGATTTGTCTTTCACCTTTTTAGAGTTGAACTCGTTAACAGTATAGGAGGTAAAATAATTTTAGAATAAATAAATTATCCCCATCACCTGACTTAGAAAAATGATGATTGTACTATAAGAATCTGTGATCCGTTACATCGGATTTGTTTAAGTGATACTACTGGGGCACAGTGATGCAGTATCATTTACTTGATGATGTTTATTATTACTCATAACCACATCAAGGTAATTACACAACTTCAGACATTTGACTTTTATTGTACGCATAAGTGGTGAGAACATTTTTAACATCTTTGGAGTAGGTACTGGATCATTCTTATCATATGTCTTACGTATTGATTCAATGAATGAAGATTTCGTAATCAATTTTCTCCTTCAATTGTCTACACAAACCTTGACAACGATCAAGTATTGTTAAATGGATGTCCATTGTCAACAAAAGACATAGTGTACTTTACGTTTAGCGATAAGTTATACTGTCAAACAAATGGCATTGCGATGGGCTCCGATTGTACCCAGTTTATTTATGAAAGCATTCGAAGAAAAAGCTTTAAAGAATTTTCATTGGGAAACTAAACTTTGGTACGGATATGTGGATGATAACTTTGTGATCATTAAGAAAACAGAATATGAAGGCTTTTTACAATATTTAAACTCAGTTTTAGTTTGGAATCCATCATGGACTGACATCAGTTGGAGGGAAACTGGAAACTAGGGTGCACTGGGCAGCTTTCTCGTCTTAGTATGGGACTCCCTAACAAGGCACAACGGTGACTCCGCAAGGGATCGAACCAACGACCTTCAGGTGCTGTGACCAGCACGTTACCATTGAGCTACTTGGTTGGAAAGCAACCGTCCCCATTTCCTACTTCTGTCAGTTCATGATATAGCGCGACCTACATCCAATGTCGTCGTTGAGTAACTGTCTTCATGTTCGACCTGGTTAACTCCAATGGTCACGACTACTTATTGGAACTTCGGGAATCACCTCTCAAAGCTAGTCACCAATGAGGGCCAAATGAATTCTATCTGGAGGTTTGTGGAGATTTATCAATTGATTTCAGGTTGGAATCCATTCACAAACCTCTAGATAGATTTAAACTCAATGTCAAATTTCATAAAATTCATGAATGAAACCGAATCGATTGCAGGAACTTTGAATTTCCTAAACTACTTTAAACAGAAAGGAAAGAGGAGATTTGTTACCTATCTGGCAGACTCTAATTCGTCAAAAACATTAAATTATGCTTTTGAGTATCGGAGATAGTTGTGTTTTGACAGATTAGTATCGATGATTAAAGGTGAAATGGCAATTTGGACAGCAGCCGTATTCGATCCAGCGACCACAGTGTTTCCTGCCCGCTGCTTTACCAACTGAAGTACGATGCACAACTGCTGACCAAATTTTTATTTCGCCTCAATCACCAAGAGTTTTTGCCTGGCTGTGATGTGAATTCGTGATGCGTTACTACCACTTGATCGTATTTACACTGGCTGCCGAGTCAGAAGTTTTCATCTCATCCAACTCTAACTGAATTACAGTGGGTGAGCATCATATTGATTATCCTTTTGACTATCTGAGAAAGATAATGTGGCACACATAAAGATCAGAACAAAAGTACATACACATAAGCAACGGAATTTGTCAACAATATTATTTTTCTTACACTTTCCACACAGTCACGTGCACATATTCACATACCTTGAACTCCAGATTAATTGTGAACACTTCCTGACCAGCATAGCAATGACATTTATGTTCATGTTATTATCATCCATAAACACTGTGATCGGATTCGTTACCACTTACTATTTAAGCAATCGATAACTTGTACAAATTTTATTCTCCGAGGAAGCGATTTCCGCGAAGCCGTGAAGCGTTTATTGGGATTTTACAAATATATTTCGTTTAGAAAGAAAGAGTTGATTTGTCACCTATATGTCAGTAAAAACATTAAAAAGTCACTATTTCAAATTTGACTTTTAAAAAGCAAACAAACAATATGGAGCAATTATTGTTCATGAATAAACCTGTTTTTCATAAACAAAGAATGACACTGACATTTTACATAAGAATTTGCACATACACACACACACAATTTGGTTATTGAATCATTTTAATAACAAATGACAAAGACTGCATGAATTTACAATCAAGTGGTAGTAGGCGTCACGAGTTCACACATGGCATTTAACAAAAATCTTGGTGATTGAAATGAAATCGGGTCGGAGATCCGATGGTCCCTGGTTCGAATCTGGCTGCAGTCCATATTTTCATTTCATCTTCAATCATCACCCAGTATAAATACCAGTCTGCCAAACTACGCCTATATCAGATAGTTAAATGATAATTAAAAACAGTCAGTCTAAATAACAAAACAGCTAACCAATGACATAAAGATAGAAATTGCTATGTGTACCATTCGACAGTGTATATTTTGGTGTTGAATAAAAATCCAAATATTCTACTGAAGAAGCTGTGACACACACAATGAAACCTTTAGAAGAATCTTGTTTTCGATTTCCAAAACACTTTTGGATTACATTAAAACTTACCTACATAATGAACACTTAGTATAGTTTTGGTTGTCAATGCACGCATCACGATAGCTGAGATGTTTTTTCAGATTGTTGATCTCCATAGGATCTGCTATTCTACATTTATCCAAGCTTACATCCTCCGATAATCCAATTGTCCTCAACCGACTAATTTAACCTCACAGTCAATGCACGATATCTGGCAGATCAAATTGAGTCAGTAGGACCCGTAAGCCGATAAAGCTTATCTCTGAGTGAGTTTGTAGATTTAAATGCCACCCTAATTCCAACATTGTCAAGTAAAGTTTCACATGGTTCTTCCTTATGTAGTAACACATAAGAGGCTGTGAGCTTACTTCGACTCGTGTTGTCGTTATTATTCATATTCCCTTTATTGATATTTCGTTTCTTATGTGTTTGTAAGAATTTCTTAATAAAGTGTAGAAGATACTTGGTAATTAGTAGCGTTTCTTTTATGGTTCACTTCCTCATTCAAGTTCTTGGATTGACTAGTGATTGACCCCGCTTTAACTGATGACATGACATGAAGTGTAGAAACCTGTTGGAATATGCTAGTTTCCTGCACATGGTTCATCATCTTCTCTTCGTTTTACTTGGGGATTCCACATAACTAGTTAAATCTGGAGGTTTGTCGAGATTCAATAATTGATTTAAGGTTGGAATTCATCATGGACTGACATCAGTTGGAAGAAAATTGGAAACCTGGAAGCACTGGACAGCTGCTTCGTCCACGTATGGGACTCCCAACAGTGCACACCCATGATCCCACCGGGAATGAACCCAGGACCTTCAGGTTCTGTGACCAGAATGTCACAACTGAGCCAGTGGATCGGAGATGGACATGTGGACAGTTACTCAACGACGACATTGGATGGAGGTCGCGCTACATTGTGAACTGACAGAGTAGGAAATATGAACCTCCGGATTCCCACTCAGTAGCCTAATGGCAATGTGCTGGCAACGAGACCTGAAGGTCCTGGGTTTGATCTTCGGTAGGGTCATGGGTGCGCACTACTGAGGAGTTCCATACTAGGGCGAAGAGTTAAAGATTAAGACGGGGTTAAACATAACTACACTTTTTAGTTTGATTTCGCCAATGGATACCTAAGTTTCGGCAATAAATGCATAGTAATGGTTGGTTTATTATCACAAGGGCTTATCGTAACAAGATGGAATTTTCGCTCGCTCTCCCATCTCTAATTGCATATTTTTATTCATTACTTCTTTACTTAAGTTCCCCTTGAATTGAAAATTGGAGGCAAACTTCCACGATATATGGAAGATGAAGGGTTTTTTATTGGCAAACTACCTTATGTGGCTCCAACGAATCTACGTCATTTGGAAAATCGTATCATCAATGAAGTTCACATGGATGTGTCTGGCTTGAAATCTATAAATGACTATCAGTCGGCAGACAATGAAATATTGAGTGGAGCTGTCAGCGACCAAGAAATGGAAGTGAGAAAGAGGCTGAAAATTCAGGTAATTTTATTGAAGTGAAGTTAGGACCTAGTCAGCGGTTAGGTCTCATAGCTCGGCTGGTAAAGTTCCAAGCCGGTAGGTAACTTGGAGGCCACTGGTCAACTCAATATGCCTTTGTTCAATCAGAGAAAATTTTAAAAAAGGATTCCGTAGACCGTGTGAGACAAATTTTCTTTTCAGGAGGGTATGTAAACGACTACACTGGTGAAGCGTTCAGAAAATCTTCGAAAAGCAACAAGTATTTGTTATATTCCTGAGTTAACCTCGTAGCCACTTTCATAGAACTTTGTCTGATTGTAACTCGCGTAAGCACATGATTCTGCCGATTCAGTTTTAACGCTGACCTTGCACGTGATTGGTCTCCAGTTTGCTTACCCATTTTCATATGCCCAATCTACCAACACAGTGAGTCACGCAATTTAGCCCTTCCAACCATGAACAACAGAACACAAAGTACAGTAATTTTTGTCCGTATATTCCAGGCCATCTGATTCGTCGGTATATACAACCAGATCATCTGACTAAACACAACGGACCATAACTTATCAAGATGGAACAGCCGTATTCAAGTACAAGAAATGAGATGATATACAATAATGGATGATTTCACTCAACATGCAGTTATTTTCGAAATATAAATCATACATAAATGCATGAGGAGTCAATAGAAAGTTGTTGAACAAAGGGAGCTATACAGTATGCTATCAACTGACTTATCAGTATAATGAGTTATCAAATAAGTAAAGAAATACAGCCAAGGGTACTTTTCTGAGATTCATATTTTCTGCTTTTTAGGCTGATGTAACAATGTTCAAATCTACTTCCGTCTTATTTGCAAACATTTTAGTCAGTCAAATTGCCATAAACCTTTCGAAGGGTCTAATTTATTGTTACCGGGTTGTAGTGATTACTATGATCGCTGGGAGTGAATTTCTCGGAAAAAAGTTGGCAATAGGCTTTTAACGGTCCTCTATTGGATCAGTTTGGGGGTAGGGAGAAGGATAGTTTTTTTCTTTTGAAAAACTGGCCTCACATTTTGAAATCTTAGACGTAGACTGCACCTTTCAGAAAAGTATCATTTTAAGGGCTACGACAATGTTCTTCAACACTGCCTTGTTCTCACTAGCTCTCTAGTAGGTACTAGTCCGTGACACCCACTGTTTTTAAAAATGATAAGGCGAATAATTCTTCATTCAGCTAATTACTACTTACGGTTAGCCTAAAATATTATGTGAATTTGACATTTTTGTAATGCCAAGGTGGTGATTAATTAAGCAAAGATGGCGATTACAACACCTTAGACAAATGTAATCCCTGAAACTCCCAGAGTTTAGAATAAAAAATATTGCAGTTCATTGTCTGTGGAGTGCTGAAAGTAAGGATTTGTTATTATTATTTGTCCTTTGGGTTCTTAGTGGGACATAAGGCTTCATAGCACGTCTCCATTCCAGTGTTCTCTGTAATCTTTTGAAATTGACTCCACGACAGCCCAGAAGCTCTCATTTCTTCCTCACACCATCTCCTCCATGTCACCCTCACCTCGGACACCCAACTACTCGTCTCCTATTTGAATTCCACTCAGGGGCCTGGGGCGTGATGTCCCCAGTCGGCCTTCTCAGTGTACCCCCAATCCAATCACTCTCCATTTTTTTATGCATATTTCTTGAGCGATAGGTTGTTGGTTGGTTCGTTGTTAGAGTGAGTTCCTTGTTGCTTCTGGCCATCTGATCTTCAGTGTCAGTATCGAGTGAGCGTAGCTGGAGCTGTTGATGAACATCTGTAGTTTTTTGGAAGTGCTTTTCGTAACGCGCCAAGTTTCTGAACCATGTAGCAGCACTGACTTGACGTTGGTGTTAGAAATCCGGATGTTGTTCACGCTTTGTGCTGAGTGCAGTAGATCTCCACACTGATTTCAGACTAGTGGAAGCCTGTCTTGCTTTTCCAATCCTTGTATTGACATCCTCATCTGTGCCGCTGCCTGTAATTGAAACGATGCTGCCCAGGAAGGTAGGTGAAAAACATTACTTCCTTGAAGTTGAGGTAAAGATCCAGTTGACTGGCATTCTATGCTCTGTTCTATGATGATGCGCAGCGTAGCGTTGCAATTTGATCCGCTCATAGTTTGTTCTTCCTGAAGCCACCCAGCCTGTTTCAATCGTAATTTCGAATCCAGAGCACTTTTTAATCCCTCCAGTATGATGCAACATAATATTTTGCTTGGGGTGGATAGCAGCATGATTCCACGCCAGTTCTTGCAAACATTTAGGTCTCCCTTCCTTGGAAGTTTGACAAGGTAACCCTTCTTCCAATCAGCAGTACCTTTCCTTTCTTCCAAACCTTCTGCAATAGTGGTGTGAGGATGTCCGCTGTTGTCTTTACGTCTGTTTCCAGTGCTTCTGGAAGACTTCCATATGGTTCTGATGCTTTTCCGGATTTCAGCAACTTTATGGTGTTCAAGATTTCACTTATGCTTTGTCGGAGGTCTTGCATTCACTGTTACTTCTTCGGTTGACGGTGGTATTTCTGAACGAGTTGCAGGTGGTGATGGTGATGGTGGTGGTGGTCGATTCAAGAGTATTTCGAAGTAGTCAGCCCATCGTTTCCTTTATTTCTCCTCTTCAGTGGTAAATAAGTTTCCTTCACTATCTTTCATTGGTTTCATCTGAGTTGATCTCTTTCTTCCCTGCCAGATAGTAACCTGATTATTTGATACAATGTTATCAGGTTTCTCCTACCTGGAGCCTGTTCTGCTCCACTTGCCAATGTGTCGTAGAAGTGTGTTTTGTCTTTGCGTGCACTCTCCTTCACTTCTTTGTCCATTGTAGTGTTTTACAGGTTGTGTTCAGTTCCCTTATTCGTTGTTCATCCCTGTACTGCACTGATTCCTCTCTACTTCACCATCTTCCTCTCCCCACTCTATCAGCTTATATCTGTCGAGATCCATTCCTTGTCTTCTTTCTTTTTCCTTCCTAGCACAGTTATGCAGGTCTCTCTCCACACAGCTTTCAAAGAGTTCCGGTGTTCTTCCACACCCGATCCTTCAAGGATGTTGCCTAATGCCTCGCATTTTGTGCTGATGACTGACTGACATGAAGATGTCGTTTGTAGTTTCATCCTTCAGTTCAGTTTCTATTCTGGGTGTTGAACTTGAACTGTGTGTGGTATTTCATCACCAGCTTCTGTGAAGGTTTTCAACTTGACTTTGAAGTTAGGTTCCTTGGACTAGATAGTGAGTGATGTGAACCACCTACATCAGCTCCTCTTCTTGATCTTTTGTCCAGTAGGCTACGTCTCCATCTCCACTTTCTTCACACTGAGATGAAGTCGATCTGATTTTTAGCGTGTGCATCTGGTGAAGTCGATGTCGCTATGTGAATATCCCTGTGTCTTTACACACTGCCCCACTCCAATCATCAAATCGTTGAATGCACAGAAATCTGCAAACAGTTCTCCATTCTAATTCATCATTTCACCGAGTGCCTTCTTACCCATGAATAGTTCTCTTGCTGCATTGTCTGCTCCCAGTTTGACATTGATGTCACCCATTAGGATTTTGATGTCACCAACTGGGGTAGGGTTTTGTCCAGTACTGATTGCAGTTGTCTGTAGAATTCCTGCTTGTTCTCTTGTTCTGCATTATTTGTAGGCGCTTAGCGTAGCGTAGTATTGTATGATTGTGACTTTGCTTTCTTTTTGAGTTGGACCTTGCTGTCATGATCCTGATCGTGGAGGAGATTGGTTCTCACTGCATGAGAGAGAGCCTTCGATGCTCTTTGGAGGGGGACATAATGATAGCCACTGGTAAACTCAATGTGCTCGTGGTTGTCGTCTGGGTGACAATATCGGATTACATTATTGACTCCTCTCCAGTTGACAGTTGAGAGAATCCACTTCCATCCCATCTGCAGATTCCAAGCACTTCTATGCTATACCTTCTCATATCTTAGGCAATCTGAGCAGTGTTACTAGGTTCATACATGGTGCGGACACACCATGTCCCTATGCCTACTTTCGCTTTCATCGAGAGGAGCGAGGACACATCGACCAATTGCCTTCCTGAAGTCTTTCACATACTGACGTCATTTCATCTCTCCGATTCGAGAGAGGAATAAGTTTGTTTTTATTTTTTATATTTCTTTTGTGGTTTGAAGTTTGTTTAGTAATTGGATTGGTTTTACTGGGTGAGGTTGCTAGCCTTATGCTTAACCTTCCCTCTTTATTCTGGTTTAGGACCGTCTAGCAACTGGTGAACCAGTTTTTTTTAGGCGAGGTTGAAAGTAAGGATTACAGCGATATTAATAGTGATAATACCAATAACAATATCAATAATAATAATGATGATGATTACAACCGTCAACTGTTGCGTTTCTGTGGCTTAAAAATCTCTGAATCAATAAAAAGAAGTAGCCTACAATAGTAGCTAACTGAAAAGAGATAATTGGCTGAGGTTATTGCAAACACAAATCAATGAGATAGATTGGGGAAACCAGTCAGAACAATGTCACATGTTTTAAGATAGATAGACAGGTGAAAGTGAGTATGGTCGTACAAACGAATGACTTTAAGGGTCACACTAGAATCTCTAAGTTAACCAATCGGGTTGCAATATTTTCGCTAAAAATATAGATTTTGTATAAAATAAGGCAGGGTAATTGGTTAGCTCAACAGCTGTTGGGATGAATTTTAAAGTCACGCGTTAGTCGAACAGTAGATAGTGTTTGGATAGTAAAATTGCATTATAAGTACAACTTAATAGAGTGCGAAGACTAACTCAAAGGAGACAGAATAGTTATAGCACATTTAGCATTAATGGCAGTGCAGTGGTGCAATCTGCAGCTAGCTCACAGGTATGCTACAGTATTTGATAGTGTAGACTTTGCGGCGTTATTGCTCAGTATCAGCTTGTTTCAGTGCAGTTGTGGTCGATACACCCCAAGTGTTTCTGCCATCGTCATGTTATATGATGCCTTTGGCGTTCTCTGACAGTTTTTTCATTTACTTAATAACAAGTATGACAATATGTTCTAGAAGAGAATTTTAGCGTATTCTGAAGATTATTGGGTATATACTATAATGCATACGATAAGATTGATGAAGTCAACGGAAAATGATATGCCAATGGTGTTTCACAAAACAAATCTGTTAGGACTGGTTTAACATCTGTATCTACTACCACAGTTGTAATTATTTCGGCCTTGACAATTCTCACTTAATGAGATCTATCCCCTTAATCCCTAGGTTTTGGGGGATTTATTGATTTCAAGTCGTTACCCATACTGGAGTGACATTGGTTGGAGAACGATTGAGAGCCCGAGAGCACTGGATAGCCGTCTTGCACCTGTATGGGACTCCTCAGCAATGTGCAGGCACGGCCCCATCAGGGGTCGAGCCAAGGATCTTTGGGCCTCCGTGGCCAGCACGTTAGCTGGGGTATAGAGGTAGCAGGTAGTCCATAGTTAATGTCCAGCAATCATTAGTGACATGCTGCGAGATGTAATTTCTCGAAATATCAGTGAGAACTCGTGATTACAGGGGCGAACCAAGTTGAAGGTGAGGATAGTAACTCAGCGACAGCACTAGGTGAAGGCTGAGCTACATAGCGAGTTGACAGAAGCGAGAAAATATGAACCACTGGGTCCCGACCCAGGAGAACAGAGATAACTTCTCCTAAATATCTGAATGAAGAATATTCTTTCAATAAATCCTCCTCATTTTCTGCAGTTATTAAACAGAGTTGTCTATTGTCCAAGGAATTATCACATATTCTTCTTGACATAAGTATTTTAGTGGCATGTTTCAACACGCCATATATATTTGTATTTATCATCAGCATGGGAATGGATCTGCAACCCGTATATATATAGGGATATTTGGTAATGCTACTTTCACGAGTTTACCTGCGATAACCTTTAAACGATTTCTACTTCCTCTAAACAGTCAAATGAAGTCGCCTTTTTGGCATCAGTCAAGCGACAAAGCCACTTCAACGACACCGATCCAACGACTTCACCAGACCATCCAGTCAGTAGTAGCGATAGGTGGTATGTACAAGCAACGATTTTGGAAAATGTAATTTTTTAAAAATACAGTCGAATTAAGGAAGTGTAATCAGAATAATTTTTAATTTATCAGTATTATGATTACTTATATGTGGATAACGAATGTGGGAGTGAACTGAAATCTATCGTTAACGGTGTGAAACAATGATGAATTTTGATAAATACAGGCAATACTAGAGAAGAGAAATGATAATTTTTTTCCAGGGTATAATAAAGTAGTTTTCACTCTAGAAATGACATCACTTGGAAAACCATTGAAAATATAGAGACATTGGATGGGTGTGAGGTGTTGGCTTAACCGAGTTGGGAGTGGGACGGATACCTATCTACGATATTGGTGGGTGGCCGTGAAATATCACGAACTAGCAGAAATCGTGTCGGGGGGGGGTATGAAAGACATCTGATTGACTGGCAACACACTCTCCGTGATACCTGGCCTCGATCACTTGTAGGGTCATGGCTGCGTGCTTATGAGGAATGTGGAAACAGACGAAACAGGTTTTCACTGGTTCTGTAACTGATATCGGTTTGTTCTGTTGAAATGAAGTATTCATAATAATCATTTTCACTTAGAATTTAACAAATCCGTGATGGTTATTTTATCATGCGCTCCTTAGAGCAAATTAATCTTACTATAAATGATTACATTGGGTTTGTATTCCATCGATACAATGCTAAGAAAGTGAATGCACAGTCCACCTTTAGTCATTAATTTCCCTGAATATTTATTTCTTTTTATGTAGCCATCTTCTTTTCTTGTCAATAGCATGTTAAGAAAATGCATCGAGTTACTTTGTTCACTTTCTAGGATGCTTGCAAATGTTGAATGAACTCTTTTGTTGAAGTGATTCAGAACTGAATTACTCCATAGACATTTGTTAAAGAGTAAAATTAATCAAATTCATATAATGTTTAATATGATTCCAATGACTTTTATTTTAAATCATTTTATTCATCTTTAGTCATGGTTTCGTGAAGATGGTATGTTGGATTTACAACCTAACCCTCTAAAAAATATCCCTTCAAGGCCATCTTTATGGAATGATCAGTTAAATCCTCTACCCGAAAAACTTCAAATCTTCTATGTACACGTAAGTTTATCAGTATTACTTTAACCCAAGTTCAGGCACGTAGTTTTATAATATGTATATTCTGTAAGTTTGTACTCATGACACAATTGTCAGATTTCATCTGTCAGTAGTTTGAACAGTGGTAAATGTTGACCCTTTGGTAGGTGCCTTCGGAAACACACCTTCTCTGCATCAACAGACGTCTAAGTCTTTCACAGTCTTTAAACTCTCAAACCACCCTAGAAATATTAACTCTACCATTGTCTGTAGAAAACAGTTTAACATTATAAAATGCATTTTTATCCTTGAACTATTGTATTATGCGAAATACAAATGATTTTTATCATCCTTTTTAACAATCCCAATGACGTTCTAGCTCTGTGGTTTTATAAGCCTTCTCTGTTGCCAGGTAAGCTAAAGATCACTAACCAACGGGCTGGTATCCAGTTAAACACATAATGATTTCAGGTTGGTATTTATCATGAACTGATATCAGTTGGAGAAACATTAGAAGTGCATATTCATGAAAACGGTATACACAACAAGCCATGCACTTCTATTAATGGAGAAGACATCAAAGTACCGGGTTTCCCCTTTTACCTACTTGCCAGGAACGGCGGAGAGTGTCCGCCTGATTTATCCCGCTAAGATCGCCCTATTTCTCACTCACCACTATGCTAATATCAGTCCTCCTCCCACCGCCGTTTAGCAGTCACAGGTAGAAATTTCACTCCTTATTGCCTGAGTGGTTAGCAGAGAATAGATCAGATCCAGGAAAACTTTCTGCGAATGCTTCCGATGGCTGATTACTCAACCAGAAGAATAATATAAGGTTCATCCCCTTGAGCGTTCGATAGCTACCGCCGGCGCAGTCATCAGGATGAACCTCATTGTTGACCTACAACCCATCACAGAGATATGGGGAAGCATGTTGGATACCTTGGTCCTAATAGTATGTGAGAGATAGCAGGTTTAAAGACTACAGAATTCGTCATACCTCACGTGCATCGTGAAGCTCACACTTTCCCGTCTTTCATGACACATTGAACAACTTATTCCCTTTGGGCTACAGACAGGTTTGGTATCCTGGAAGGTCAATGTACTTCTGGTTATCTCCGCATTATCCATGCTAAGTGGACTTCTTAACTTCGAAACCCTAGAGCTGGGAGCAAAGATCTGACGATGAGTTGGTTTACTGGTTGATATCTGCTCAACAGAAGAAAACATGGAAGGTTCACCGTCGTATGGAACTGAGCTCTACCCATATTCCTCTGCTCACACACCATCCTCAGGTTTTATGGGCCAGTAACGCAAACCCAGCAACAACTAACTGCATCGTGTACAGTTTCTTAAAATAGACTCCCTGGCACGATTATATAAAGTGAATCTATGCTGTCTTAAGAGAGTGATGGTTAGGTCAGCACATTAGATTGCCAATAACTGAATATTTAAAATTAATTTGTCTTCGACAACCTCTCCACAACAATCCTATGTATTGAGTTCTACACAGAGTTTGTTCACCACTCGTAAAAGTGTAGGACTTTTGAATGTCATCGTTTGCCACTTATGTGATAAAGACTATGAAGAAATGTTATCACAACAGATAAATATTTCAAACTAGGTTCGCGTTCTTTAACTTAGCTGCAAAATACTATGTTTTCAAACCCTTAGGTGAGTATGACTTCTCATTATGTTCTACTAATTAAATAAATTAGCTGGTACTCCGATGTTTCAATACTCGTGAGGCTGGAAGTAAAGAATTCTGCCCTTTCTTAAATGGCTCATTGGATGACCGTGAGTCATTTGTCATATTTTCATTCCCTTCCATTAAATCTAAATGAAAACTTAGGTAAAATTTAAATAGAGCAGGAATAACAGCTTTAGCAGAATAGCGTTAAGAAGATGGCGTTCCTTACTGAGTCGTCAAACAGTGTTGGCACTGAAAAGAGGAACCGTTTGCTGTTTTATAATAAGCAAGTTGATTTTTAACTGCTTCACGTCAAAGTTGAACTATGAAACTTCATGCCTAACTCCTTGACCCTGATATTCTGATTTGGTTATTCAGCTTCGATCACTAAAACCCAGTAAGGTATCTGTGACTGTAGTCATTAGTCTAGTGTTAAGATATTCAGTTACTTTATTCCTGGAAACTTTAAAAACAAATAAATTCTACCTTATCTTAATTGCCATTGTAAAACTTGGCCAGGGCCATTTGCCGGTATTCGGTCAACAGCGAAAAACGATGATTCCTCGACAGATGAGCACAATCTAGAAGATCAAATACGTGAGATACAACTGCATGAGCCAGAGCTTAGTAATCAGACCAAGGCGCAGTTACACTCAGACGACTATTAAACTCAAAAGCGGGGTTCCACCTAGACATGCAAATGATAAAGGTTTCGAAGCCATTTCAAGCCAGCAAAGTAAGGTAACAAAACACTGACATCTGAATGGTTGGCTCAAGGTCGTCATGAGTTGTTCTAGGATGGCGGTTTTCTCTCGTCTTACCCTTATGAGTCACAGATCGAAGTTAATAAAAGTCAAGATGCTGTTAAAACGTGTACAACCGTTGTGATTTTACTTGTGAGTGACAAGATCGTGATGTGCGGTAAATCAGAAACATTACTTAAGGATATAATGTGAGTTTGTTGAAGATGTTTCATAACCAGCCCTGGTGACGTCCTTAACACCAACTTTGGAAAGTAGTGAAGTATATTTGAATGTTACATGAATGTTTAGCCAGTGTGTCTGACGACCTCAAACGTTTAGTTGGAAGTCTTTCTTATTTCATCCTGCATGAGAACTGTGGATGTCATCAACGTACTGGATTCAAATTTTGGTGTGATTAGAGAGATGACCATTGATTCCAGCCTCTGTAACACCGTTTCACCAACCAATCTTCATACTGCCGATCTCTAAGGCATCCCTTTTATTTGTTAACAAATCTCTCTGATCAATTTTGAACAGGTCGTGAGACAGATCGATCAACTCTATCAGGTTTGGAACCACGAGCTTCATATAGTCACAAAGAGTTAGTTCGTTCTTCAGAATAATATTCATTGTTCATTTGGTTGGATCCGAGTCGACTGATGTGAAGTGAGAAGTCACATTAAAGAATGTCATCCTTTCGTCCCTGCCTGTCTTTAAATCTTTGTTTTTATTGAGACCTTCAGTTGCAGAGTCGACTGAATTTTTACTTACACTGACTAGATGCCTTAGTTTGCTGTTGGAAGCACTGGATAGCTGTTTCGACTTAACACCCATGACTCTGCTAGAGATCTGATTCAGAACCTTTAGTTTTCGTGTTAAGGACTTTACCATCCAGTCACTGGGTCAGAGTTCAACGGTTCACGTATTCCTATTTCTCTTAACGGGTCATGATTTGTCAGCCAACCTCTAGACTTAAAAGATATCTTCTACAACTTACTTTTAGACGATATTTGAATGAATAAGTGATATTAATCCAAAACTAGTTGAGACTATTTTAATGTTTCAGTTATCCAACCATTAAATGTTACTTTCATGTTCTCAATTTATTCTTGGTAGCCTTTATCACCTGAATTGACGCATAATTATTTTCTGAGCAGCAGTCAAGCCGACAGTTTAAAATCCCAACATCTCTCAGGTTCTGGACTGAATTTATCTCGATTTGGGAAAACTGGTGCTGGAACTATGGATACGGATTGTCGTTTGGATGTCGATATTCGACAGATTGCCTTTGATTTCCATCCCTTATTCAGCTTGGAGCATGTTCACGCACAAAATCTACGTCAAATTGTTCAAATCTATGAATTAACACTTTCAAGGGATCAAGTTAATGCTTGTATTCAACGTGTAAGTCGAATAATCTGAGCGGTAACCCTTGTAACTGAGACGTATTTCGACAGTTCAATAGATTTAGATCAGATCCTCAGCGTGGCTGATATAAGTGTGATGTATGCCTAGTCACCGTTGCCTAATCTCAGTTGAAGTAAGTTTAGGCTGAAAAAATGTCAAAGGTGGTTAGAACAAAATAAATATGCCATCAGTTCATGAAGTCTCTGGTTGCTGGTCTAAACTGTGTTGGGATATGCAGACTTCTGAATTAGTCATACATGATAGTCAAAATCGATGGTTGAAGGTTCTAGATGAGAGGGCTGGGAATCGATCGTGGTGGTAGCCCGCACGTCTTATCTTCAACTTGACTGTCACACCACAACTGTGGTCAGATGTAAGGTAAGGTGACTTGAACTGTTACTCAACGATGCTCATACTAAGTGACTGAGTTCTACTACGAATCAGGTCTTCTTTAAACTTTTCATATCATCTGCATACTATGATGATAGTGGTTTATGTTTGCAAATGGTCAATCAAAGTGAAAAAACTTCATTTCAGTGTACGTTTATCTCTAAATATCCAGCAGTATCTCCTTTATTCTTGGATTATAGCATTTGTCTTGAGGATACTTCATAACTAAACTAGGTATGAATAGTCAGCTTTGCATATTCTTACTTCAGAAGTTGGATTATTCCTGGTAGATCAGTGGCTGGGGAAATCTCATTACGGATCCAAAAGGTTTGCTTGGCTTTCGCCAACTTATACCATCTGTGGCGTCGTCATGAAATCCGATTGCCTATCGAGGGCTGACTGTACTTCGTTACCGTTCCCTCTGCTATACCCTATAGGTATAAAAAATGGCCATTAAAGGTAGAGGACATGAGATGTTTGACCGCCATCACCCTCGTAGAGTAGGTCTTTTGTCGTGGTGTCACCAAGTTAGTAATGTATAATTCAAGCCCAGAGGTTTAGGGAGGAAAGGAAAGCCAGTTAATAAAGTTGTGAACCTTCAGCGATTGAGATGCCTGAGACATGTGTTACGCAATCCTAGTCACCGTTTGCCTCATCGCACAACACTTGATGTAGTAGGTTTAGGCTTAAAAAAGGTTAGGGGTGGCCAGACTAAAACATAGTATCATTGCATGAAACCTTTCACTTTTGATCTGCTTGAGGGACTCTTGGTTACACAACTCAGTATCGAACTCATTGATGCATTGATGTATCCACACATTACTTCATCTTAATCGCTATAGTAAATTTCAGTATTCTCCCATTCCTGCTTACTCTCTTTTCACCACTTTCTTCCACTTTTAACAGCTCACTTCTTTATTTATATATCTTCCATCTTACTGCATTCCCACTGAGTGTGCTAATACAAGGTGTGGCAGCTTGTGTCATTAAGCAGTAATGCTGGGTCTTGTGCTGATAAGGTCTATCAGCCAGCAAATTCTAAGGTAAGTAACCTGATGTATGTATGCGTATGTGTGAACCGTAACAGACCGAACAAAGTGAAATTGGAGTCTCAGACAAGTGTTATCATCTGTTATACTTTATTTCAAAAAGAGATTACGCTTACCACTTGCTATTTGGTCTTATGGTTTAACTCGGCTTGAGAGCTGTTTATTGACTCCTTACTGCTTTCCATATGACTCGTGGTTCCTAAACAATTATGTGTTCACTAAAACTATTTATCTTGAGTTATCGCAATGTAATCCAGCTGCATATATGTGTAACTGAGATGGTACAGAACACTAAGACAGGAAGCCGTTAGTGTGTACAATGAGAAAGGAAGAAAGACGCATGCTTAAAGGTTGCTAACATCACGTCTTGTGCTCAGTTCCGTGGGTAACTTATAGTTCTGGGTAAGGCATAGCAAAGTCAATAATACTCACACAGAGAGAGGTAGACGGGGAGAGAGAGAGTCAGAACCACGTGACTAACTTGAAGTTCTGTATTATACAGCATTTAGTGCCGAGAAGTGATCGGTTCATATGAAATTTCAGTAGTTAGCATTTTATTGTTTCTCTCAACATTACTTGGATCATTCCTTGTAAACATTATAGTGTTAATCACTGCTTCCTTACAGTTGGGACTGAAAAAGATCGAGTTAACGAGAGTTCTTTTACTCTTTTGCATTCCACAGTGTTTATGAGGGATAGTGGCTAGAAGTGGAGTCCAGCACGTGCATTTCGTCCTCGCTGAGACTCATCAGCCAGATGCATTTGGCTCTGAATGAGTGATGTTATCCCCACTACGACTTGTACCCGAAACTGATCACTTCAGACGCCAAAGCGCTATCAACTAAGCGACACATCTAGCTGACGAATCTTAAATGTGATGAAACGCGTGTGCTGGATTCCATTTCTAGCCACTATCCATCATTAATATGAAATTGAAAATATAGGCAATATCATGGCATTCGCGTTCGAGCTCATATGCCAATAGAGGCCGAACAATTCGGTCCAATCAGCGATAGCATAATACAAGCAACACCATATTATTTACATTTGAAACTTACTGATCTTCTCTAACATCTCTTGACTGCTTTCCCTAGATAAGCGCTTTGAAGAGAGCATTGAGACAACTTGAAGGTAAACGAATCGCTAATGAGGTAAGCTTTTATCATTTGACTTATTCAAATTGTATAATTATCCTTTAAGCGTGATGACGAATCATATCACTGAGTTGATGATGCTGACTTTCTGTCGAATGATGGACACTTAAGAAGTGTAGACTAACGGGTAATATTCATGAGGTAAACATTTTCAGCCACAATGTCTGGTTTCTGAAGAGCCATTGATTTCATGTGTTCTCTTTTTTCAAGTGTCGACCAACTCCTTTTATCCATTTTATTTGCAGCGTAGTTACCAAGCTAGGCTACTTGCAGTCGCCCTAGATTTTTATTGATTTTTGGTGATTGCAGACAGTCAGCAAGAGGTTTTGGTTGACTTAGCTTCATGCTTGTTGTCACTCACCAGCAAAGCGTATCTGCAACCTAGAGGGAATTGAAATCCCCTTAGAGATTACTATCCGTGTAATCCATTGCTGAAATCGAAGAGCTTACCACTACGTAATTTGGGTTGCTATCAACTTCCTGTAGGATTGGATTGACACACTGATTGTTCACTGAAGAGTAAGCGATTTCATGTTGTCTACTTGGAAGTGCTGGTCTGAATCTGAAGTCCCCGAGTGAATGATAACAAATACACGAACTTATATCAACGAGATGAGACACTTGGCCTGGATAACAATAGAGACTGTTCTCCCTCAGTACCTTCTGCTTCACAGAGCCACGGAAGTCAGAAAGAAAGGGCCTGTCTGCGACTGTAAGGAAGACACTTTATTCGACAGAAATACATCAGTTAGATGCAGTTTCTATGACCACATAAAACCACTAGGTCAAAAGTCAAGTAGCTTATTCTGACTGGTCACTTGTAGGATAAGATTGTCGAATAAGGTTTTTCCTGACCACATAATGACATTAAACAAAAATTAATATCCACAGCCTCTACTTTAGCGGCTGATGCCTTAAAATGTTAATTTCCATTTAGGCCGCTTCCCATCAAATTCTAGGATCGTTCGTTTTGCAATGTGGTCAACAAACTAGGTGACTTCGATTTTACGTTTGTTGGCAGTTCTGAATGCTTGTTGCGTTGTTATTATCTGACACGTGATTAGCCTTACAGGAATGGTTATCGGAGCCTGTTCATTTCAGGTAATATCAAATGACAACAAGAATGTAACAATACTGTAACAAAGTAGCTGTCCTCATTAAACTACCATATTATAAAGGTGACTAGATTATTGAAAGGACAACCACAAAGCTTTTTATCTGGTTATCAAACAGTTTCTGCGCCTTCTTTATTTTACTTCACTTAACCTCGGGAAATTTTTCTTCTGAGTGCCAACAACTAGAGTGAAATTTCTTGAAGTGTGCTGCTGTGTCTAAAAGTTCATCTGGAGATCTGATGACATGCATTTAGGTAGAACTAGTGGAATGACGCAACACCGTCAAAAAGAACATGTTTCTTTAGGAGTTATCAAATTACACTAGTGAATCGAATGACTGTTTTTCAACTTTTAACGTAACGTCAACCCAATTTTATTAAAAATGAAGGCAGAATTGACCACATATACCAGAAACTATGTTTTCAGAAAACAATTTTGAAATAATGGAGAATATTTGTAGCTCAGGTGGATGGTCTTGGTTGTATTGTGTTCTCTGAGCTGGGTTGTTTAATCGTGAAGCTTTCATCGTCTTGCTAGACGACGTCATCACCACTAACTTCAGTATGAAATGAACTCTCAATATCCTACGTGAGTGATTTAGGGGCTTGCTGTGACGATGTGGTCTGTGATTGATTGTTTCCTTCGATTGTTGTGTCATTGATTGTATAGACTTTCCTGCTGGCTGTTCCCTGCTTGACGTCTCACCTTTCTGTCGTTTATAATTTTCTTATTGGTTGATAAATGACGGAAAGGCGAGACGTCAAGCAGAGGAACAGCCAGCAGGAAAGTCTATACAATCAATGACACAACAATCGAAGGAAACAATCAATCACAGACCACATCGTCACAGCAAGCCCCTAAATCACTCACGTAGGATATTGAGAGTTCATTTCATACTGAAGTTAGTGGTGATGATGTCGTCTAGCAAGACGATGAAAGCTTCACGATTAAACAACCCAGCGCACAGAACACAATGCAACCAAGAAAAGTTTATTCAATTTGTAAGTTCGTGGGGATTTATCAGTCGATTTCATGTTGGTATTCACCATGGACTGGCATCAGTTATAGACCGACTAATAACCTGGGGGCACTGGATAACTGTTTCGTCCTAGTATGCGCGTCCACGACCCCACCAAGAATCGAATCCAGGTTTTGCAGTAGGCATGTTGCCATTGAGTCACTTCGTTCACGATATAGTAGTGAAATGTAGGCCGTTGGATTACGTCACGGTGTCTCGGGAGAAATGTGCTGGCTGGGGAACCCGGTGTTGGGTTTTATCCTCGGTAGGCTTGTGGTTGCCCACTGCTGACGAGCTCCGTACCAGGATGAAACAGTTGCACAGCGCTCATGGGTCTTCAGTGGTTCCGCAATTGATATCGGTCGGCGATGACTATTAATCTGAAAGAAGTAATTTATTATAGTAAACTATGTTGGTTGTAATGTTATAGTACGAAAACTATGAAATGATTTCATATTTGTCTTTTTTTGTCTGATTTGGAAAGGACTGAGAGTCACTTAGGAGAAAAATTAGTTACTAATCTAGTTGAAAATCGCTAAGCCAGGACTCTTAACGTGTAAATGTTAACCAGTAGGTTGAATGTGCTAAAAATAGAGGTTGAATATGGTCAAATACATATTGGTTAAAACAAAACCTTAAACCACCTTCAGCATCTGGAGACGGTCCAGCATTTAATTAGTGGGTATTTGCATATTTATTTTAGATCTAACTGTATTTCGGCGCCAGGAAGCAACACTACACACTAATTAGCAAGTTTGAGGGGGCTGAGGTGCCCTGTCACAGATAACCAAGCCTACATCATCCAACTCAGTAGTCAAACACATTACCACTGAGTTATTCTGTCACCTTAGTCGTTGTTGGTATTTTGTAAGATCACATCTGTTGTACGACAAGTAATTATGTTAATCTGACTTTTAGGATGGAAACAACAGTGGAAAAATACTATTTTGAAGTCCGTGATTTGTGCACTCGGTGATCTTGAAATATCTAACTTACTTCCAAGCTGGTGACATTCTTATTTAGATTGCTTAACATTGTAGTTAGCGAAATTGCTAGCAGTCATTAATATAGTCGTCTGACACTATTTTCTAATTCTCTCAAAATGGATGAAATCCTTGACAAAAAGCTTACATTAAGTAATGTTATAGTACCATATTTCACATCGTAGCACTAAATCAAAAGTTAGTTTGAATCCAATGGAATCTATGACATTATTGGAAGAAAGTTAGCGTTAACCATCGAGCAGTTGCTAAACAAATAACAAATACATCTCCATTAGAGCTGTTACGCTGAAAAGGGTACTTACTTACTGCTTATTCGCTGATTTATAACTCAGTCTCTGAATAACATTCTTTTAAAGCTGTAAAGTCAATGTCTAACCTTATAATCATTATACCTTATTTTATTTCGTAAGTCACGATCAATATCGGGAATGTAACTGCTCCCTCTTTTTCTTTCTTCTCGTTTAACAGACTACTTATAGTGAAGAGGAACTTCTTGATATAGATTACAGGATAGAAGATTACTACCAAGAAATCAGGTAAGCATAATTTTTTGTTATCCCATCCTAATAATAGCAGTATCTTACAAGTCTAGTCTCCAAACCTATCAAAATGTTACCTAACCAACACTGTTTGAGTATACGTAGGCTTCTTGACTTGTGACAATTGATCACAAATGTTTGGTCACCAAACTGATTGACTTTCTTGACATTTATTTCACAAGGAAATAAAAGATTAATGATTGTCAGTCTAAAGGGTCTTCAAGCTAACAATCAGCTAATCATCCTTAGTGATATTTAGTTTGTGAACTTGTATAAAAACAGATGGCCGGGACATGAGTTATTCGTGCTCAGTTACTGTCTACTCAAACATACACCATTAGCTAAAGTAGTCTCAGGTTGGAAAACGTGAAATACGATCAGAGTAAAGGGTTATATCACTCCATGAAATTGTTGGTTTTGATCTAGTTCGTTCAGGGAAATGTAACCCTCCTATTGGCATCTATATGAAATTTTGGATTAATGGATGGAGATGCGGAATCAATCTAAGTGACGCTTATGCAACCGCTGTTGATATTCTCTTCATTATAATCGTCATTTTTCCCCTCCCACTCCTCTAATGACTTTCTTAGATAGTCTTGGTGTTATCATGTTGTTGAACAAACAAGCGACTGAAAGAATTTGTTAGCGCATTATTTATGTAACGTTGTCAGGAAAAAATCTAATCCTTTGCCGTGATAAAACAAGTTACATCTTCACTTTGATATGAATACTTTTTCAGTTTAATGCGTCGTGCGAGAAATATGCTGAAGCCTACGAAAAAGGATTGTTAACCTCAGCCCTACGGGCATGGAAACGTATCAAAGAGACGCGGAAAAGAAGTGGTTGCACAAACACCACAGTTCGACTTAAAATTTCAAAGTAAGTGACCGTATAACTGTGTAAAGACCAACTTGTTTTGCTGAATGGCCAGTTATCTAATAATACTACTACTATTAATAATAAATTTATTCCAAACAATATATGTGACACAGTATTGAATTTTCATTAAATAATAGTTCAGCAAATTCGCTCCCTGTCAATATTCTTAAGAGGAATAATTGTTGCGTCCGAATACTGTTAAAGCCACTGGTTCGAAACGGGCAGCATCTAGTCTGGACTCAAGAATGAACACAAAATTGAGTGTAATTTTTATGGCGGTAGCGTAGTCACCCGTACAAAAATCTGCTATTCATAAAGATATCTTAGGAATATAAATGTGTTGTTATTTGAGCATTTATATGCCCATTTCAAACCAGCATAACGATTTTTCACTGTTTCGTCTTTAGCTTGAGAAACAACAGTTTAAAGACATCTTAAAAATGTGCGAAAGTACATGATATACTTAGAACACATATTTTAAAATAAAACAAACTGAAAGAGAATAATTAGATAAAATATTTTCGTTGGAAAATTTTCCGTAGCCCAAGGTTTAAGCAGGCCGCCTTTTCTAAGATTATAAACATCCAAGTCATATTGTTACAAATGTCCTGAAAGACGTTGGGACACAACTAACGTTTAATCATTGTATAAGAAAGTTTTAATAGAATCCCAGCGTGTTTAGAAAATCAAAACAAGATTTTTTTTGACCGTTTAGTCTGTTCATTAGAAATGTCACATAGTAAGACAGTATTATTTACTGGATAACGTTCCGAACGTTAATGACTGTCCATATTCATGCCTGATATAAAATGGACATTAAATAATATCGAAAACGTTATCTCCTAAAAAAAAATACTGTTTCATCTAGTGACATTTCTAGTAAACAGACTGAAATGGATTGGATTTCAATCTAATTAGAAAACCTTTGAAAGAGATAGAGCTGGCAACTATTATAGAACCAGTTATATTACTAATACCAAAGGAAGGTGATATAGTGCGACAAAAAACTGGAAGTATCATCTTGAATCAGAAACCTAGCACGTCAAATCGCACATGTTATTTTTGAACGCTTTTAAATTTGACAAATCAGTTTTGATAACTACAGCTGATAAAGGTAATGTCACAGTTATTCTAAATAGAGATTATGATAACAAAGCATTGGATGATATTAATTTAGGTCCATATGAACCAATACCAACGAATAAGATCTCCAGTACATTCAATAGAATGAAAGCTGAAGCATGCAATTACTTAGTCAAAACTGAAACTGAAAAATGTAACATAATATTCGTTCTCAGCAAAAACCGATTCAGAAGTAAGATTTTACGCCAGACTTAAAATACATAAAGTAAACTTTGACTAAGATTATTTATGGACTTCACCAACTCAGTATAACATATCGTTATGGAAATTACTGGAATTATTTCACTATGAAATTACTTCAAACATTAGAAACTCCTTAGAATTCAAAAATAAACTAATAGGTAACAAAAAAATTATGGCAATGGACGTCCCAACAACTCAAAATGTTGCCAGTTTATATATGTGGACATTAGAAGAACGAACACTAGATATTTGTATGGATATGTAGATGATACTTTTTTCATCATTAAAATAACAGAATATGAAGGTTTTTTCCAGCATTTGAATTCGACATCAAATTAAATAAAATTCATGAATGAAACTGAATCGAGTGTAGGAACTTTGAATTTCCTAGACTGTCTTATTCTCAAAGAAAGTCAGAAGGGGAATTTTCAATCAGAATTTACAGAAAACCTATTCATTCTGATAAATATCTAAATTTTCAGTCTGACCATTCAATGAATACGAAAACTACAATAGCTTTGAGCCTATTTCATGAGGCTAAAAATATTTCAATGGATCCGAAGCATATAGAAATATGAAATTTCTAAAGCAAAACGAGTATGGATAGAAAATGACTAATCAAAGCCTTTTCTGAACCATATTCTCAAAAAGAACATCCAGAAGAAAACAGGCAAGAAAAGTAAGACTGAAAAGAAGTCATGGATAACAACAGTGACTATTTCATATCGATGAGGTACCTCAGAGCAAATGCGAAAAGCTTTTGCTAGGTGTAGTACTAGAGTCTATGCTAAACCTTTAAATTTTTTGGAGAAAGCCTTAATCAAAGTGAAATATGCAATTCTAAAGACGACACGAAACAACTGTGTGTATAAGATAAAGTATACAGATTGTGATGCCAATTATACTGGTGAAAGTTAGAGTGAATGAACATAGGTTATATAGAAATACCCACAGAAGAATGAAGGGAATTGAAAAGTTCGGAAAAGAGGTTGACAATAGCAATATATGCCATTGAAAGTGGGCACAAGATTGACTCTGACAATGTTGATATATTAGGGAAGGGTTTTCATTCACATAAAGAGAGATTGACTGCGGACACTTTTGCGTCGACAAATGCGTTAAACAGAAAGGAAAGAGGAGATTTGTTACCTATCTGGCAGACTCTAATTCATCGGAAATATCGAATTGTAATTTTAACTCTGAGATAACCGTAGTTTGGCAGACTAGTACTGTTACTGGATAATGACTGAGGGTGAGATGGAAATTTGGACCGCAGCCGTACTCGATCCAGCAACCACAGGGTTTCCGTCTCGGTGCTCTACCAACTGAGCTACGAGGCTCGACTGCTGACCAGATTTTTATTTCGCCTCACTCACCGAGAGCTTATTCCCGACTATCATGTGAATTCGTGATGCGTTACTACCACTTGATCATATTCACACTGGCTGCCAAGTCAGAACTTCTCATCTCAATCCAAATCTAACTGAATTACGGTTGGTGAGCATTATGTTGATTATTATTTTGACTATCTGTGATAACCGTGGTTTGAGAGACTAACATTAAAAAAGGTCACCATTTCAAAGTTGACTTTCAAAAACAATATCGATTTATTATTATTCATAAATAAACATGTTTTTCATATTTTCATACAATAACCAAAGGACAACAAATACATTTTCCGTAACATACACACAGATACTTTGATTATTGAGTTATTTTTGATGACAAATAACAAGGACCGCATAAGTTTTGCGATGGCTAATTAGGAATAATCAGTCTGAATAACAGTGGCTTAAAGACAGAAATCGCTAAATATATCACTTGACAGTATATATTTCAGTGTTTAATAAGAAGTCTGAATATTCTGCTGAAGAAGCTATGACATACTCAGTGAAATGTTCAGAATAATCTTGTTTTGTTTTTTGAAAGACTTAAGTAGTTATCTAAGCTGACTAAATTTCTCAAAGCGAAAAGTGGGTTTGAATTCTGGTATGTATTACAGTGACTTAGGCATTTCACTTTAAAACAGTGTACTATGAGTTCGAATTCCGCTCTAACTACTTCAATCTAGGTAGCTAAGTAGCATTATCAACCCTTATATAGAAAGATACCTAACTTAGTAAATATGCATATATTAGGTTATTAAATCATGAATTACCATTGCTTGTCAAGTGTGAAAGGCAGTTTTTCAGACTTTATAGTTCTCTGAACGCTTACTATTTTTGTGAAAGTTAAAAAGAATCATCTATCAAGTAAAAATATTACCACGATCAAGTTCCATAGCCTAAGAAATAAAGTTTGTTTGTGGAGATAAACCATGACTGATTGGTTGAAAGTGGTCAGCAGGATATTACCAAACTGTATGAAGTGACCCAGTAAAAGTGACTGAAAGAATGATACGAAATACGAAAACGCTACTAACTCAGTGAGACAATGAAACCGGATACAAACAGTGACTGTCGTCTGTCAGAACCTTGTACTTCACTGGGCCACGAAAATCAGAAAACAAAGACCGGCCTACGACTGTAAGAAAGACTATCTGACAAAAAGCAACATTTATGTGCAGTTTTCATGCAATTAAGCCACTAGGTTAAAAGTTAGGTAGCTTATTCTGATTGGTCAGTTGCAGGATAAAATTTTCCAATAATTTTTTTCCTGACCAAACAGTGACATGAAAGAAAGTGAGATCCAAGACATTTACCTTAGCGGCTGATGACTAAGAATGTTGGTTTTGGCTTACCCCGTTTCTTATCACCATGTCTTTCGGTTCAATACTGGACTTAGGAAGAGTTTTTCGTTAGCTTCAACGAAACCAGTGATTTGTTAGACATCTAACGGTTTTTATGTAAAACGATAATTCAAAACGTTGCTATTGATCTAACATCATTACGTAGCCTCAAATAGATATGACTACCTAAAAGAATTTGTCAAGGAACTTATCTCAGAGATTTTCTACTAAGCCAACAGCCGGATTAGCGGAATCAAACATTTTGAACAGGAATCCCTTGCGTAGCCATCCAAGCTGACTGCCTAATTTACAGTCAACACAAAATCTGTCTGTGCTTTGTGTCACCAGCTGGAGCATCAAACATTTTAATCACCGAGGTACAAGTTAGACTATCGCTTCACGTACTAGGATAGTTCCACATTGTAACTTACGTGAGATGTTGTAGGTCAACCGATAGAAAGCCTTGATCCTATGTTTCATGTCTGTTGGTACTCAGCAGAAATGCGTATCTTTAACCCTGAAACAACTGATTTTTCTCAAGTGATTCGGACCTACGTCGCTCGGTGTTGGGATCGGAAACTTTATCACTAATCTGTGTAAGACCTGACCCACCCTCTGTAGTACTGAATCAAGTACGTAGGTTGGTAACCAGTCCTCAACCGGTGTAACTATCCCGTCCTTGCATCATTTCGTTTATTGGACAGATTGCTCGATAGGCTCCAACCAGTGCTAATCAGTAATTAACTGCTGTTCATATCGAGTACATAGTTCACACTAGCCGTCACGTGATCGCTTGGTTGTGCTATTATAACTGTTGTTAATTTATTATGTTTAGACAGTTGACAAATATTGAACAGGATCAGTTGGATTGGGATAATGAGTTGGATGAGATTGTCAAAGAAGCAAAACATGAATTCGATGGGAAATTTCAACAAGCTCAAAATAAGTATGACGAAGAATTGGAAATTTATAAGAAGGAAAAAAGAAAACAGGTTGGTCATGAATTGGTCTCAGAATATTAATATATTCTTTGGACCGTTATTTGCTTCCTGGTGGCTAGCAGTAGATTCCAGAACGCGTGTTTCGTCCTATTTAGGAATCGTCAGACCCAAATCTAGCACAAGAGGTGACTCATGCTTCATTGACCTAGTGGATAACGCTATGCTTCTTGAGTCGATTGGTCCTGAATTTGACTCTCAGTGGAAATAATATCACACTGAGTTGCAAGTACTTCCAGCTGGCGAGTCGCAAATCGGATGAAACGTGCATCCTGAATTCCAACGCTAGCCGCCACCAATTAAAATATAACAGTGAACATTTAGGCAATGTTGGGTCATCCATTTAGGAGCCCATACGTCAATAGAGGTTGACCACTTTGATCCGGCATGAAAATTGGAAATTACAAGTGTCAGTGAATACTAAAATATTCCAATCACTGGTTATTAAAGAACAAATTAACTTTAAGGTAGTCTTCATCGCAAACAGATCCCAACTGGAAATCCTGATAAGTAGTCGTGAAGGTATGAAAACTACCCTGACACAATTTTCCTTTAACTAGAAAGACAGTTTTCCACACCATTTCAGAGTACTAGAAATGTACCAGTAAGCTGTGTTTTAATAGTTACGAAATCCTTAAATATAGAGAATCACCTTTTAGGTTCAGCGTCACTTGTGTGATGAAAGAAGGCATATTTTGCTAGCGGCAACCGCAAAAGTACATAAATTCATATCCTTCAGATGCTGTTTTACCAGGTTTCTGATAGAATTACTACGTTAGGTTTGCTTTGTTTCTACTTAAAGTTAGCTGAGTAGTAATTACCTTTTATGTCATTTGAAAAAAGTTAGACTGCATTGTAAGGTCTCATGTTTTCAGAAAACCTGAAAAACGCTTCTAGCACAATGTCTTTAGGCTCTTAGGTTGATCATTTCAAGACTTCTAGATGTACATTGAAGCTGAAGCATATTCAGTATAGAAGGAAAAGGTCATCTTAAAGTCAGGCTATTATTCAAACGTTGAATTTTGGTTGGAACTGTTTGAATTGTTTCAATTTAACATTCAGCTCTGTCTAATGTATCCCTTCCTTCCAATCACCTAATCGTCGAATGCACTGAATTCTGCAAACAATTCTCGATTCTCTTTTATTTCACCGAGGGCTTCTCAACCTATCACCTATTCTCTTTCTGTGTTGTCTGCTGAAAGTTTGGCATTGATATCGCCAACTATTGTGAGGTCTTGTCCAGTACTGATTGCAGTTGTCTGTAGAATACCTCCTTGTTCTCTTGATCTTCATTGTTTGTAGGTGCATAGCGCAACATTGTATGGTTGTAACCTTCCTTCCTTTTGAGTTGAACCTTGCTGTCATGATCCTGATCGTGGAGGAGATTGGTTCTCACTGCATGAGAGAGAGCCTTCGATGCTCTTGGGAGGGGGACATCATGATAGCCAATGGTAAACTCAGTGTGCTCGCGGTTATAGTGTGAGTGAAAATATTGGAGTAGATTATTGACTCCGCTCCAGTTGACAGTTGAGATAATCCACTTCCATTCCATCTGCAGATTCCAAACACTTCTATGCCATGTCTTCTCAGATCTTAGGCAATCTGAGCAGCCCTACTAGGTTCATACATGGTGAAGACATACCATGTCCCTATGCGTACTTTCGCTTTCATCGAGAGGAGCGAGGACACATCGACCAATTGCCTTCCTGAAGTCTTTCACATACTGGCATCATTTCATCTCTCCGATTCGGGCGAAGAATAAGTTTGTTATTATTTTTTGTATTTTCTTTTGTTTAGTAATTAGATTGGTTTTACTGGGTGAGGTTGCTAGGCTTACGCCCAATCTTCCTTCTTTATCCTGGCTTAGGACTGTCTAGTAACTAGTGCACTAGTTAAACAGGCGAGGTTGACGAAATCATTAATTATGATGTTTTCAGATTAAAGTACAGTAACAATGACAATTACTGATAGTTTTATTAAAGTACATTAAAAACTACACATTCTTGTATGATTCGTTGACGAATGAAAACAAGCATAAATTTAAAGCAACTGGTCCCTATGATATATTTAGACAGCGTAATGCGAAAATGATGATTATCTGAAACATGTGATGTATTAGCACTACACATTTCGAACAATCTGATCATTTGTCGAACTATTTATATGAAAATTTACGAATAGGGTCAATGAAGTTAGTAGGAAACATAGAAATAGGAAGGGCAGATAAAAAACAAAATCTTAATCACGTTACTCTTGGTATGAAGATTGAAATCAAAACTACCAAGGCGTTTGAAGCGATTGCTCCCAAGTCCGAGTCCTGGTGGGGACAAAATCACTCACTGGGAGACAGGCATATCCAGCTGACGAGTCCCAAATAGGACGAAATGCACATCCTGGATTCCACTGCTAGCCACTGCCCATCATTACTACCAAGGTAGGTTCAATGTGAGCACAAATCTTCTTTGTGTTAATAAAGGGGCTTTGAATTGGATGTTTGTCACCTGCACTTATCGGATCTGCACCTCAACAAATTGTTTTTGTATGCATAAAGGTGGTTTGAATTTACGACGGTAAGAGCTTCAGTAAATTTAAGCACTGGACTCTCACCACCTTTATGTAGTATTGGTAGTATTGATTTCAATCTTCATACCAAGAGTAATGTGATTAAGATTTTGTTTTTTCTCTGCCCTTCCTATTTCTATGTTTCCTATTAACTTCATTGACCCTATTCGTAAATTTTCATATAAATACTTAGACAAGTGATCAGATTGTTCGAAATGTGTAGTGCTAATACATCACATGTTTCAGATAATCTTCATCTTCGCATCACGTGGTTTAAACAAGCATGAACTTGTAATGACCAATCTTAATTACTCAGAATAAATAGAAATTCACCTAACCAATGACCTACGTTCACTAAATATTATTTGATGTATCATTTGACGACATATTTCGCTGAAGAAGCTGTGACTTACACAGCGAAACGTTCAGAATTTGTTTTGATTTCTAAACACGCTGCGCATATTAAAATATATTCTTATAATAATTTTAACTGCTGTTCAGATCACTATGTTGACAGGTTACTCGAAGAATTCATGAATACCAACTGCCTACGCTCGATATTGAAGATTAGATAGCCAGAATAATAGGAATAAACCACAAGAAACTCTAGCAATGAACCAACCAAGAACCCATCGCCAAACAAATATGCAGAAAAAAGTGGAGATAGTTTGGGCATACACTAAGAAGGCTGACTGCGGACATCAAGTGTCAGGCCCTCGAGTGGAACCGAAATGGGAAACGATGAGTTGGCGTCCGTGGCGAGGGTGAGATGGAGGAGATGGTGTGAAGAAGAAATGAAAGCTTGTGGGCAGTCGTGGAGCCAGGTTGGAAAGGCTGAAGAGAAGCGAGTGAAATGATGGTGTGCTACTGAAGCCCCACATTCCACTAGGGACCCAAGGGACAAATAATAATAATAATAATGATATAATAATATAATAATAATAATAATAATAATAAATAACTTTCAGTATAGCCATATAACATAGCCTTTTTGCTTTCAAGGTGCGCAAACAAAGATGATCATAATTTAGCCTAGAGGAATGTAGAAATCTTCTAACGGCAGGTTCAAAAGATGCAAGGGAATTTCTAGAAGCATGGCATTTTGACGAAAAGCCAATCAAGTGACACGTGGATACAGACGCAATCTACAGTCTGCTTAGGAAGGAAACAATTATTCAGCAACCATGGGTAAATTAACCAAACAAATCTGTAGCGAAAGACTGTTTGATGGTAGCAAATAGCACAATCTTACTGTGACAAAAATTCTATACCGGGTAAGATTGAAGGTCAAAAAGGTCAAGTTGTGGGAAGTATCTATTCTCCAACTTGCAATCCGACGGCACTCGAGGTCAGCAAACACACTACTTAATAATTCATGTGACGTTTAAATATGCTTCGCTGCTTTTGAATGTTAGTAGTGAGAATTTCACTGGAGCTGGCGATGACAAAATGCCACTGCTCAGAGAACACCAAACCACCATCATCCTCATCTAGAAATACAAATCTTTTGCGTCATTTCAAACGTATTTTATTGTGTATTTTTTGGAGAGCAGCATTTCTGTAAATGCACTTTGGACCTATAATTTTTATATATATACTCGCCAGCTGTGTATGGATGTGGTTATGCAGCTATCGGGTGCGACTATTTTCTGCGGGAGGCTGAAGCAAGAGGAACCAATAACTCAGTTACCTTGGTTGAATCGATTGGTGTGTTGAAGACGCAGTATGTTTGCAAATTAAATCATTAGAAAATAACTGTCACCTTCTCATATAAATGGCTTCGAGTTTAAGCAATTGTCTGGAATTCAATCACAGAGGGATTTTATCCAGGAGTGATATTCTCTAAAGAACGACTGAAGGTCTGGGATCAGTAAACGGCTGTTTTGTCATAGTTTAGGACTTCTGGGTAGTGCGAACCCATGACCCATTGAGCGGTTAGTTTAGAATCGTCAAATTTCATGTTGCACAGTTTACTATCTTTGTTCAGAACTGCTTTGAGATCAATCAATTCTGCACAAATTAATCAGATATTTAATTTTTACGCTATCAATCTATTCTAGGAGGCAGCTCTTCGACGACAACGTTTACGTGAATCAGGTCAAACTGGTGATATGGAGGTAAATTTTGATGAATATTTATTTATTTATATAAAAAATATCTTTATTGGAAACCGACTCACTTGAGAAGTAATGTAAATCTCCATTTCCGCTTAGTGTATTTAGATCTTGGTGATAATATTTTTGGAAACATTCTGGAACTTTCTTGTTACTTTTCTCGATCACTCTGGCAATATTCTGATATATATGTAATCCGTTCCAGCAGAAGGTCAATGACATTGAGAATAGCTGAGTGAATAGGTCGCTGAGAGCGGCACGATGTGAAATGGCTTCGAATCACTTAGGAAACAGACATTCTCTTGAAACTGAAAATACACCTTACTGGCGAGTGCTAACAATCACAAACCTAAGTGGAGTGGGATTCATGGTTGATTGTCTTTCAACAACTAACATTGCTCTGATATTCCTGTGATTACAGTTTCATTCGTGTAGGAGAATAGGATGAATTATGAAAAACGCATTAACTGTTGTATTGAACATTTTTGGAAGATGTAGCTGACTAAAAGTTTCGATAGTAATGATGGATAGTGGCTAGTGGTGGAGTCCAGGACTCATCAGCTGAATGTACGTGCCTATCAGTGGGGGAATTTTTCCTCAAGCCATAACAACAAAACTGGTTTAAAGTTGCTTGAAATAAAAGGCAAAAATAAAGTAACGTAGTTGGATATGTTCAATAAAATGTATTATTGAACCAGGTGAGTAGGTGAACAGCACTCGTAGTGATAAACAAATGAATCAAGCTATGTTAAGGACTTCCTCACACATGGTAAAATGGAACTAGAGCATTCTTATCATGAACTAACCATGAAAACCAGTTGACTGTTAAACCTGACGAGATTTCGTTGCTCATATCAGTGCACATGGACAGTTGTGGTTATGAATTCAACTTTGAAAATGTAGACCTCTAAAGTAGAGGAAACATAGAGAAAATCAGAGAATTCCTAGAAACTTAGCCTTCAGTTCAGTCAGAAAACACTAGATGGATACACATAGTCTCAATTCATCAAATAACATAAAAAATGACAAATGCAACGGCAAAATATATGGAGTGAATGACACAACAATTAGGGGAAAGTGCCAGTGTCGTCAGAATAAGCTAATGAACCACTCACTGAGAAATCCTGATAGTTCATTTCATATTGAAATTAGTGCTGATGACATTGTATAGTAAAAAAGTGAAAGCTTCACAATTAAACCCCCCAGCTGAGGGAATACGACACAACCAAGACTATCCAGTTGAGCTATAAATATTCCCCATCATTTCAAAAATAAACAGAACATCTCAGAAAACAACTTGGATGACCTCATAAACGATAAGTCTATTGTCGGCTGGGAAGAAGAAGATATATAGAAGGAACTTTAATTAATTAGAAACCAAGAGATGATACAGTAGATCAACGCCGTTCAGATTTTGAAGACGCCATCTATACAACCAGTTCTAGTTTCATCCAAAATATTGGCTGCTTAGAAAACATGTCATTTACATACAGTATTAACCTAATGGAAAATAATACTAGCTAAGATGGGTAGTTTTGATCGTGTTCCTTTCTCTGATCTGGAGGACTTAGTCATAATGCTTTCATTATCTTTCTGGACAACAATGTCAATGAGACTGATTTTGAACGAAAATCTCAAAGTTTGTGCTGATGGTACATACATTGTTGGAAAACCTTGCTGCCACTGTTTTCGACTAAACATGTATCTAACATATTCCTTATTTGTGATGGAATTACCTTGTAAGTGATTTGGAGGTCAGACATGCTATACTTGGTAAGGAAGGCAGGTCTGTTGGCGAGGTTATGAACCTTGGCCGACTGAGGTGGCTTGGACATGTGTTGCACAAACGAAGGCACCGCCTACACTAAGATGCAGTGTCAACCGATGTAGGGTTGGACTGGAAGAAGACTGGCCCTTGAAGTCGTTGGCTGCTGGTCTCAGCCATGTAGATATGTGTAGACTACCTAGCTGGAGTGCTGGAGATAATATAAATGAGTACTTGGAGATTCCTGGTAACATGGCTAAAGATCAAATTCAAATAGAGCAAATGTATTCACTCTTTGACATCTTTGAAAGCTTCTTCATTTTCACTAAATTTTATCGTTTTAAATTTTCTCTTTCATGTAACTTTGTGTGTGCGTTAATGTCACTTTTCTTATCCTTTTGTGTTTTTGCACAGTGTGATGAAGTCTAAGAATTTGAATAAATACACTGTTGTGTAATGTTCTACCTTGGTATGTCTGTTTGTTTAGTGACTGTATCTGTGACCTGCTTAATAGGAATGGCTATCCAGCCAAGTTTGTTGGCTAAGCATACGGATTTTACTAGGTTAAGACAAGAAAACCAGCAGTTGCTAAGAAGCAAATCTTCTTTAAGCTGAAATTTAGGAGTGACATTGCCAGTGAGATCACACACCGCATAAAAAGAGTCTTGCAAAAAGCATTCCCACCCGATAAATTATAGTCCATCTTCTACAACCGCGCGATTCTAGGTGGAAGAAATAAAGATAAACTGTCTGATTCTGCCACTTCCATGTTCATTTACTACTTCAACCGCTCCTGTGGAGCTGGTTACATTGACCTTACAATGAGGCATGTTCCTCATCGAGCACCACCCATCATGGTTGAGCAAGGGACAAATTAAAACAATAAAGAGTTCCATACTTGGATATTTAATGGACACTGGACATCAAGTGAGTACTAAGAAAGCTTTCAAAATTATTCATCATATTCCAATTAATTTACTAAATAGATTACGAATTCACTCATTTTACATAGCAGAGGCGATTGCAATCCACTATTACAAACCTGACCTTTGTATAAAAAGAAGTTTGTTCGACCACTTTCATTACCGTGGCAGTCAACATGATGTAATTTTTAGAGTTGTACTTTGCACACCAATTTCCCCTCTTGTTTCTATCAATATTCATTTATTTTCTTATTCTTACGTAACTATTTATTACTCACGACTGAACACTCATCAAAAATCACTCAGTGCCCAATATTTGCCATACTATACGATCAACTCTTGATTATAGTTTATATAAAAATCACTCTATTTGCCTAAGAATAAACTGCTTCATTTTACCAATTTTAATTACTCGATTAGTCTTTGCAAAAAGTGGCGCGGAATCACGCTCCTGTCCACCTGAGCAAAATATTAGGTCGCATCATCCTGGAGAGACTAAAGCATGCACTGGATTCAAAACTACGACCGGAACAGGCTAGATTCACGAAGTATAAATCATGTGCAGATCAAATTACAACGCTGTGCATCATAGAACAGAGCATGGAATGGCAGTCAACTCAACTCCACCTCAACTTCATCGACTTTGAGAAGGCCTTTGACAGCGTCGACCGACAAGTAATTCGGCAATTGCTTCAACACTATGGAATGCCACAAACATTTATCAACCTCATTCAACAAGTATATGAAGACGCCACATGCCAAGTAATTCACAAATGGAAAGCTCAATGATGCTTTTGAAGTGAAGACAGTGGACAAGAGTAAGACAAGGCTGTCTACTATCACCCATGACATTCCTGATTGTAGTGGACTGGATCATGCAGCAGACAACAGTGAGGAGCGAGAAGAGGGGGATACGCTGGACCGTGGAAAAAACCTAGAAGATTTGGATTTCACCGATGACTTGTGTATGATGTCACACAAACTTGAAGATCCTCAGGCGAAAACTAACAAGTTGACAGAAGAGAGGGGGACAGCGAAAACTGGACTTCAAGTGAATGTAGAGAAGACTTGAGTGATGATGATACCCGACAAACAACAACATCAACAACAAGCACCATTGACTATCAACGGGGGAAACTTAAAGGAAGTAGTCTCTTTCATTTATCTAGGCAGCACTGTTTCAACTACAAGAGGCACAGACGAGGATGTCAATGCAGCCGGGATCGGAGAAGCAAGACAGGCTTCCACTAATCTGAAACCAGTGTGGAGATCTACTGCACTCAGCATAAGGCGTGAACAACATCCGGATTTTCGACACCAACGCCAGTCAAGTCAGTGCTCCTGTATGGCTCAGAAACTTGGCGCGTTACGCAAGGCATTTCTAACAAACTACAGACACTCATCAACAACTGCCTACTCTGGATCGTTACTGAAGATCAGATGGATTGCCAGAATAATAAGAATAAGCAACAAGGAACTCTGGCTGGCTGGAGATGAACCAACCAAGAAGTTTTCGCTGAACAAATATTCAGAAGGAAGTGGAGATGGATTGGGTAGATACTGAGAAGGCCGACTGGGGACATCACGTGTCAGGCCCTCGAGTGGAACTTAGATGAGAAGCGTCGAGTTGGGCGTTCCAGGCGAGGGTGACATGGAGGAGATGGTGCGAGGAAGAAATGAGATCTTCTGGGCTGTCGTGGAACCAGATTCGAAGGTTTGCAGAGAACAGATTGTAATGGAGACGTGCTACTGAAGCCGTATGTTCCACTAGGAACCCAAGGGACAAATAAAATAATAATAATATAAATAATTACTCGATTGATTATGTGCATCTTAATTTCTCAAACTTGTCATCTTCATGACTTACTTAAGACCCATAATTATTGTTCATCACGCCCTCACCACTTGATTGATATTTTTATTGAATTGTAAACCTATGTTATATTAGTGTAGAGTCTAAGACGAAGACCTAATTGGAAAGGAATACATTTGTTAGCTCATTCAGTCTTTTTACTATAACCTAAGTTGAATAAGAAACTGGGATGTCCCATACCTGCGGCCAGAGAGATGCTCACTCAGAGCCTTGTTGACTGAGGTAACAGACAAAACTTCTAATCAGTTCTTTAATTTGTTTAAAAGTTCTAAGAGATCCGCCTATATATCGTAAAAGTTAACGGTCTTTAACTGACATAGTTTTCGTTAGCGAACCAATTCTTCACTTAATGACTAACTAGAGAAAAAAGACAACCCATTCACTGAATAGTCAGGTAAAACTCTTAGCGATTGAGGCAAAAGTGACAGTTGACTGGCGACTGCGTCTCCAAGCTCACTCAATGCAGCCTCAAGCCAGTGGGAACTCAGCTTTCTGATCAAATTTATTTATTGTTCTTGCAAAATAAAACTAATCCGTAGGCCAAAGCTGCAGTACTGGCGTTGAATAGATGACCTACTGGCTATATAATGTTTCCTTTACCAGTGATTTATAGACTCCTATACCTTAAAAGTCAAACGATCGATTTTGATATCTAACTTCTTGATTCTAACACCCAACTTTAGTGATTCAGATTCGGTTCGTAAACTGGAACGGGTATTTGTGGCCGTAACTCCTAAGCTACTAGAAAAAGTATTCGTTCACTACCCTTAAAAACTTGAAAATCGAGCAAATTTAGGACTACATCAGGAGCCTCTGGAAGCCGAAAACTCATTAACAAACCACTGGTTATTGACTGATCGTTTCAAGGTCATTCAAGCGTCGATCTACAACTACAGAGTTCTTCATTTCTATAATGAGTAGTTAAGTGAACGGAAACAGTAATACTCTGAAGAAACGTTTGCAGAAATGTTGGTTGGATGGAGGCAGCCCATTAGAAACCGTTCTTTACCTAAGTTTCGTGCTTTTTGGTACTCGTCAGTAAGTCACATCTCGAATGTCGACGGAACGTATGTCCTGCCTGAGGTTTAAATTCACGTCAGTCAATGCTGCAGTCAGAGACATTACCAGTGAGCAATCCGTGCAGATATTTACCTCTTGTAGGACTAGATTCTGTATAGCTTGATATATATGGTATACATAGTCGTCCTCGACAAACAACACATATCGTAGTGGAGTATTCTTAAAATTTGTGACGTCTCATGGTTGTCCTTTAGTAGACTTTGAATATAATGATTACGTAATTTTGTAGATCCTGCGTACATTTGACAGTCATTTAAAAATCAATCAACATTTTCTAATCTGCTCAACATTTGTAATTAGGATAATGCAGAAGTTGAACGTGAGGATGCACAGGTTTTAGCGAAGAAAACGTTGACGAACCCACCGACAAAACCAAAACCTTTTGATTCACAGTTTGTTAGAGATGAAGCAGAAATAAATTTGAAGAAATGCAGACGATTACCTAATGAACCAAAAATCACCGTCAGTCTAGCTGAAGATACTGTGATCTCATCGAACAATGAATGTCCTAAGTAAGCGATAATGCTTTCATTTGAATTTTTAACGCATTGTACCTTTTTTCCGTTAGAACACTAATATTATATCAGTATTAGGTGGAAAGAAGGTTGAAAACGGTTTCTTTATGCTCAGAGTTTTAAATACTTTATTCCCAAGTATATTTTCATATTATACATTATAAATAGCTGGTTGTAGTTGCTATATCTCTGAATTGACGGTCTCGCCAGTCGTTCGGGTCCTAATCTCCATTTGAGTTTCCTGTTGGGTCGTATAATTACTAGGATGAGGGGAATATCGCAACTATAATTTTTCTCCTAATTACTATCTGTGAGTTTATCCTACGACTACTAGATTAGCACCATCTTACTCAGAGAAAAGGCGAATTTACACTGCTATCCTACAAAACGCATGATTATTTATGTTTAGCAAAATATGCGGGAAGTTTGCAAGGCTTTGAAGCGTGGGCAGCCGATTCAGAGTGCAAGAGAATGAGAACAAAGATACAGACACATGTAGGACAATCGTAATTGGTTGCTTGTGGCTTTTATTCTCTCTGACAACGTATGCAAGTGTAATCAATTCAGTCATAAAAAGGTGTCATGTCCTGGTCGGTTCTCGAGTTAGACTAGTGTAAGTGACTGAAGTGTTCTGTTCTATGATGAGGCATAGCGTGGCGTTGCAATTTGATCCGCTCATAGTTTGTTCTTCCTGAAGCCACCAGCCTGTTTCAATCGTAATTTCGAATCCAGAGCATCTTTTAATCCCTCCAGTATGATGCAAAAGCAGCATGATTCGGTGCCAGTTCTTGCAAACATTTAGGTCATTCACCCTTCTTTGGCAGTTTGACAAGGTAACCCTTCTTCCAATCAGCAGTACCTTTCCTTTCTTCCAAACCTTCTGCAATAGTGGTGTGAGCATGTCCGCTGTTGTCTCTACGTCTGTTTCCAGTACTTCTGGAGGACTTCCATATGGTTCTGATGCTTTCCGGATTTCAGCAACTTTATGGTGTTCAAGATTTCACTTATGCTTTGTTGGAGGTCTTGCATTCACTGTTACTTCTTCGGTTGACGGTGGTATTTCTGACGAGTTGCAGGTGGTGATGGTGGTGGTGGTGGTCGATTCAAGAGTATTTCGAAGTAGTCAGCCCATCGTTTCCTTTATTTCTCCTCTTCAGTGGTAAATAAGTTTCCTTCACTACCTTTCATTGGTTTTATCTGAGTTGATCTCTTTCTTCCCTGCCAGATAGTAACCTGGTTATTTGATACAATGTTATCAGGTTTCTCCTACCTGGAGCCTGTTCTGCTTCACTTGCCAATGTGTCGTAGAAGTGTGTTTTGTCTTTGCGTGCACTCTCCTTCACTTCTTTGTCCAGTGTAGAGTTTTACAGGTTGTGTTCAGTTCCTTTATTCGTTGTTCATCCCTGCACTGCACTGATTCCTCTTCTACTTCACCATCTTCCTCTCCCTCCTCTATCTGTCGAGATCCATTCCTTGTCTTCTTTCTTCTTCCTTCCTAGTACAGTTATGCAGGTCTCTCTCCACACAGCTTTCAAAGAGTTCCGGTGTTCTTCCACACCCGATCCTTCAAGGATGTTGCCTAATGCCTCGCATTTTGTGCTGATGACTGACTGACATGAAGATGTCGTTTGTAGTTTCGTCCTTCAGTTCAGTTTCTATTCTGGGTGTTGAACTTGAACTGTGTGTGGTATTTCATCACCAGCTTCTGTGAAGGTTTTCAACTTGACTTTGAAGTTGGGTTCCTTGGACTAGATAGTGAGTGATGTGAACCACCTACATCAGCTCCTCTTCTTGATCTTTTGTCCAGTAGGCTACGTCTCCATCTCCACTTTCTTCACACTGAGATGAAGTCGATCTGATTTTTAGCGTGTCCATCTGGTGAAGTCGATGTCGCTGTGTGAATATCCTTGTGTTTGTACACACTGCCACACTCCAATCACCAAATCGTTGAATGCACAGAAATCTGCAAACAGTTCTGCATTCTAATTCATCATTTCACCGAGTGCTTTCCAACCCATGATTGGTTCTCTTGCTGTGTTTTCACCCATTAGGATTCTGATGTCGCCAACTATTGTGAGGTCTTATCCAGTACTGATTGCAGTTGTCTGTAGAATTTCCCCTTCTGCTTTTGGTCTGCATTGTTTGTGTGTGCATAGCGCAACATTGTATGATTGTGACTTTGCTTTCTTTTTGAGTTGAACCTTGCTGTCATGACCCTGATCGTGGAGGAGATTGGTTCTCACTGCATGAGAGAGAGCCTTCGATGTTCTTGGAAGGGGGACATCATGACAGCCACTGGTAAACTCAGTGTGCTCGTGGTTGTCGTCTGGTTGACAATATCGGATTACATTATTGACTCCTCTCCAGTTGACAGTTGAGATAATCCACTTCCATCCCATCTGCAGATTCCAAGCACTTCTATGCTATACCTTCTCATATCTTAGGCAATCTGAGCAGCGTTACTAGGTTCATACATGGTGAGGACATACCATGTCCCTATGCGTACTTTCGCTTTCATCGAGAGGAGCGAGGACACATCGACCAATTGCCTTCCTGAAGTCTTCCACATACTGACGTCATTTCGTCTCTCTGATTCGAGAGAGGAATAAGTTTGTTTTTATTTTTTATATTTCTTTTGTGGTTTGAAATTTGTTTAGTAATTGAATTGATTTTACTGGGTAAGGTTGCTAGGTTTATGCCCAATCTTCCTTCTTTATCCTGGCTTAGGACTGTCTGGTGACTGGCGAGGTTTTTTCAGCTGGTGTTTATCACAAATTGAAATCATTTGGCGAATCACTGAAAACTTGTGTGTACTGGACTGCTGTCTGGTCATAGCACGGGACACCTCAGCAGCGAGCACAAATGACCATATCAGAGACCGGACCCTGGACTTCCGAGTCTTGTGGTGGGCACCTTACCAAGGAAACACTGTGTCGAAACTCAATAGTCAGCGTTTCCTTAATTCTGTCAATTCGCGATTGTCATCAGTTACCATCGGCAGGTGTTTGTCCTCACTTCCGAGTTGGCGTAACTCACAGGTCATGAATTCTCATCAGAACTTCGGGAAATCCAACCTGCCAGATGTCACCAATCAGCTGTAGATCGTAATTTAGTTTGAAGTTTGAAAGTGGTATTTGTCACGGAATGATATCATTGAAAGAACTACTGAAAACCTGACAGCACTTGACTGTTGTTTTTCCCAGATTGAATATCACATTGTAGTCGCTAAATCTCAGTAAACCTTCAAGCTGAACAACTTTCCTCATTGGTAAATTTCATGTCACTCCGAATCATGGAATTTATATTTCAGCATTGTTGCACGTTTGTGCTAATCTGTGTTAATTTACGTGTGTATAATATATTTTTTCTGAGTGATAGGTCATCTTTTATCTCCTAACATTTCTATGGCTCAAAAAGGCGTAAATATACAAGACACTTGTTGTTGTTCATGACACTGTCTGATTATTTTCATAGAGCAAATAACATTACTTCACTTTTGGTGGAATAGACCTTTTTCCCAAACTAAGTAATCTTTCTATTATCTCTATAAGTGGTCGTTATTCCTTGTCTGATAAAACTGAGCTTTTGTGACCGATATTTTCTGATTTTTGTGTCATAGCAGTCAAAAACAGGTATTATGTCACACTATTCAAGGGACTGGATGCTGTAAAATTGTCTGATGCAAATTCAACTGTGAATTCCGAACACATCTTTATCCTATTTATTAGCGTGGAATTTTCCGTTGTTTCATTGGATAAAATTGTTCGACCTCTATTGGCATATGGGCTCCTATGCAGATGCCGTGGCATGGTGGATAACGCCTTGAAGCTTGAAGCGATGAGTACGAGGTTCGAGTTTCAGTGGGAACAACGTCACCACTGAGGTGCAGGTACATCCAGCTGACGAGTCCCAAATAGGACAAAACGCGCGTCCTGGATTCTTCTGCTAGCCACAACCAAACAAATTGCATCTTTATCCCTTCAAAGAAACATCTATACCAATTTCTTGAATGACTTTCGGCTTCCAGTATAGTCTTGAAGCTATTCCTTCAAGCCAGGACTAATGTAGATCAGATTGCTCACGTATGGTGAAATCATCGGGGGGGGGGGACTTAGGAGAAGGGTACTAGACAATGCAGGTAAGTCAGTCGACGAGGTTGTTAAACTTCATCAACTGAGGTGGCTTAGATATGTGTTACGCATGCCTAGCTATCGCCTAAGTCTAAGCGTAATATTATCAGACGAAGGATTGAGTTAGAGGAAGGCTCATGATGGTGAAACCAAGGTGTGGCACCACTGTATGAAGTCTCTAACTGCTTACTTGAGTCATATACTGAGGAGTAGACTTTGTGGTTGGAGTGCTGGAGTCGATATTTACCAATGGTTGGAGAGCGTTGGCGAAATGGCTAAAAATCGGTCACAGTGGGGTAGCCTTATTCACTCTTTAGCATGTTCGAAAGTTTGAAAATTTTCACTTGTTAACTAGTTAAAGTTTGCATTTGTCACCTGTTTACAACACACTCACTTTCTTTCACCAGTTGTTTTTTCCAAAGTTGTTTAACTGGATGACAGAAACTCTAATAGTGTATCTGAATCTGACTGTTCAAATACGCCAAATTTTGTGATATGCCCTGCTGACATCATCGATTAAGAGGATAAAATATTGTACGATTCGAAGTAAATTGAGTGGAGATAATTTAATTGGCGGTGACAAGCAGTGGAATCCACGACGCGCATTTCGTCTTATTTCGGATTTCTCAGCTGGATGTGTCAGTAAGCAGGCAAACAAAATCAACGTAGAACCTCGCACACAAGTGCATCGGTTCAAGTCTCCACAATTAACACCAGTATAAAAGCAACAGGTGGATAGGAAGGACTGAAATCAAAGTAGACTAGGGTGTATGGGATGAGAGAGAATATGAAAATGAAGTTCATCCAAAATTTGGAAGCTTTAGAAGATATCGAGTGAATACATCTACTCCATTGCAATCAATTTCTAGCCTCTGACTAAGTATCCTCAACTACTGATTCCTGCCGTCTCAGAGATCTCACCAAGTCAGTTTATACCACCTACACTCCTCAGACTATCAGTCAGATGTTTCTTGAGCTGGTACCTTATTTCAGCCCAGTCCAACTTCTACTAGTATTGTACATCGAGGTAGGCAGTGACTCATTGTAGCAGCACCTCAGTGAGTAGCTGAGTTTCTAACGGGATTCCTTCAAACGCCAAAGCACCATCCAGTGGGCCAGTGAGGCACAAAAGTCACATTTTGTGGAATGGATATTACTTATGATAGTGGCTGAAAATGCAGCACGTAAACCATTAAATTTGACTACTGATAGAGGAATTCGACACCCAAAAAATTCAACCTGATTGTGATTTACGAAAACATAGCTAACTGTTCGAGGTGAAAATTGTAAACTGGTTTCCATAATCATATGGACTAACTTACCCAGTCATCTTGACTCTGACGTTGTTGTTAGTTTGATACAGTTTCTTTGTGGAAGGGGGTTAGCAAATGCAATACTGCCTGCACACAAACAAAAGCTGGTTAATTTGCTCCCAATTAAGGAAACAAGGAAAAGTGATGGGATATAAAGTAGTAAAACTGGTTCCTGTTGTTCAAGAGGTGTTTCTAAGGATTTACTAGCTACCTTAGTAAATAACAATTCGACGTTTCAGGTAAGTGGTACTAGGTTCCAGTCTTCACGGAGAGATCTTCACTCACCAATTGGCATGCAGATTCAACTGATGAGCCTCAAGTGAGACAAAGCCGGTGTCATGTTTTCCAAAACTGGTCACCATTAAGAAGATGAACATAAATCACTTCTAAATATAACATTATGAAGTGTTCCGTATCGAAAAGTAATGATTATTTGGTATGCTCAGTATTTCGAAATTTACTCATTCTTATTATTCACATGTGTTCCATGGGTACTTAGAATAAACACTAAATATTACTACCCTTTGTAATAAGTCTAACTTTGCTACTATTTGTATTTCCTTTTAGGATGGAATTGAACCGTCGTTTAAAGATGCTTGAATATACTTACTTCATTAAATTATATTACAATGGTAAATTGGTTGCAACTACTCAACCACAGTAAGTAGACTGTTTCACATTCTTTATTTCTTTTCGTTTATCAGCACTGTATGCTCAGTATTTACTTATAGATCTGACAAGTAGGGTTGATTGCATTTATCTATTGTTTACAATTCCCCGTTGTTCACTGAACAGAATTGATCCGTCTCTGTTGAAATACGCCTTCTTATGTAGATACTTCAATATTGCTTGAAAATTCCTTATGATCTAATTAGTGGTAGCTGACACGCTTCGTCTCATTCAAGACTCACCAGCTGGATGTATCTGTATCTAAGTGAGTGATAGTGTTCTCACCAAGATTGCAACCCAGCACCCCTCACTTTACGCAACAGAACGTTATTTACTAGACTGCTGAGTTAATCTAGAGGTATGTAACTGCAGTGCGTATTACTGAGCATTTACTGAACATTGAGTTGCATCACACTAATCTATCATGGTTCAGTAACTGGAACACATGAGTGGCAGCATCCGTTTCGGCGAAATTATAAAACCAGAGGTGGTCTGTAAGGATTCTCCAATGAGCTACTGTTCGCCAGAAAGATCAGAAGAAGAGCCTTAGTTTACAAATTCTCACTTTCATCTACATTGATTGATCACTGGAGAGAAATCAGTTTTGATGCTGTCTAGTCCTAAGTACTGATAGAATGTTACCGATCATTTCTAAATGTGGTTATCAAGGTGGGAGACCCAGGATTACGGCGCACTTTGATGTATGTTAGTTAGCTGGAGGAGTTCGGCAGGAAGCTCTGGACTTAAGTTTCATATTTGTTCATACTTGTAAGAAAGGCGTATCTGCAACCTCGAGGGAACTGATATCCTCGAATAGCTCAGTGGTTAAGTCACCAACTATGGTACTGAGTGTCGCGGGTTTGAGTTTCTGAGGGGACATCAATCCTCTTGAGGAGGCAGGTACGTCTTGCTGAAGAGTGACAATAAACATGAAACATAGCTAGGTCAAGCGAACCTGATTGCCAGTTGATCCTAACCATATGATATGTCATCTTCATATATTAAGCAGTACATGCATTTTTGCTTACTACAGAAGATCATTTGCAGAGAGTAAAAGGTAACTATTAATGAAAAACTTTCCCGTTTCTACCTCTAAAAATCCTAAAGACTATGTTGCTACTGTTTAGAATGTTTAAGTGCTTCTCATACAGTTAAAATATCTACTGTCTGACAATGTGGCATATCCGGAAGCAAAGTATTGTTCTCAGAATCGAATTGTTAAAGCATCCTGTAACAAAACTCTAACCATCACTGTACACATAACATATCAGTATTTATGTCTGACCATTTAACCTAAAGGTCTCGCTAAGGTACATTTCTCATTGCACCACCAGGTACTTTTTAAAGTTTGACTGATAGAATTCGACTCAGGGTTAAGTGTAGTACAGTTCAGTTATTCCCTTTCATCAATAAAACTTTGGCATAACGTTTATATAATTAACGATATGGTGATTTATCAAACTTTTAAATTAAATAGATTTTGTTTTAGAGGTTAATAGGGATTTGTTTTTAAGGTAGCACTCATCACAGACTGATATCACTTTGTCTTATTTCGATTTCTTATTGAATTTAATCATTTTCCCTTTTTTTCTAATCAACAAACTGTCGACTATTATTTTATTTGGAATTAGACTACTCACGCATCAATTTACACTTGACTTTCGTTGGATTCTTCCGATACAAATTCGCAACCAACCAGAGTCGATTGTAGCAAAAGTAAGTATTTTGTCAATCTTTTATTATATTTCTCTAAGTCAATTGGTTAGAAATTTTGTTTGATTGGTGTTTTGCGCTTGCTGTGACTCGTCAGCAAGATATGTCTGCAAACATAAGGAAACTGGTGTTCCCCAGGTGATTCCAACTAATGTCAATTAGTGATGAAGTCAAATACTCTTCCACTAAGCTATACTTAAGTGACCGACTGAATAGTGAGAAGTATACGAACAATACTAACGGGATTAGACACTTGGTCTGCATACTAACTGGATCTATTCTCCCCTAGTACCTCATACTTCACTGAGCCACAAACACATCAGAAGACAAAGACCGAATCTTGACTTAAGATATCGATTTACAATTAGACTACTTACTATCACATAATATGCCACAACTAATCCCCAGTAGGAATGGATTAAGCATAAGAGTTGGTCGACAGTCGGTAAACGATATAACCCTTTAGTCCTCAGTAGGCAGCTCAACGTTACATCACTTCACTTTACTTAGTGACCACACTACAAACTTAACTGAAAGCCTTAGATCACTGCTGGGGAATGAGGGCTAGACAGTCACATCAGTGACTCATCGGTAAATAATTCCTGTATTTGTTTTCTTACTGAGTTTTAATAATCAATGATAATAATTATATTTTTCTACCAAAAAAATAAGTAAGTAATTACCTTCAACTTAAACTTATCAATTGGGAAAGGATGTAAACCTGTTTTGAGTACGCTGGTTCGTTTTCTAGTTTGATGTACCATGGTAACATTTTAGTAAATTTTACTCATTATTTCATATCCGGTTAACGCATTTTGTACTATCCGAGATTTTTATCCTACATCTTGAATTTCTCATGTTCGGTTGGCTAATTTGAATTAATTGCCTGTGGGTTCTCGTTCAGATTTGTCATTCTGAGAAGGATGCAACACGTTTCACAGCCCAAGAGCTGCAGACATTGTATCTTAAATACTGGATATCCAGTTAAATATCTCTCTAACTATTTATTTTTAGATAACTGACTTGTGCTACTTTGCAATTCTCATAGAACTTTTCTTCTACTATGTTAGACGAAAGCACTGAAGAAAACGAAGTCTTTTGAACCCTTTGAGTAGAAATCTCACCTGCCGATTCTAAAATGATGCATCGGGTTTGTTCTGTGTCAACTATTGGTTTAAGTATACAAAATGAATTGGTGGTGTGTTGGCTACCTTGTTTACTAAGGCCGTATCAAAATCCATAATTAACTGGTTGCTGACGAAATTTGAACGTGGGTTCAAAATGTATGTTTAACACTTACCAACTAACGTCATCTCTAATTTTGGCAAGAAGTCCAACTACCTGTCAGAGGACGAGTATATTGTGTGATAGTTCGTTCTGTCCTACTAAACAGTTGTGAGATGTGGATACTTTAAGTGGATATGAAGAGGTTACAAATGTTTTACCAGAGGTGTTTTCGTAGTATTGCCTAGAAATGGTGGAATCGCCGTTTAGGCAATGTTGAGGTTAGTCCAGGACAACAAAACAGTCAATAATTTTGTAAATCTTCACCGATTGAGATTTCTTAGATGTATTGCATATAGCTGCAAATTTAGTTCTTCTTGCTTTGTTCAAGCCTGAATACGCATCACATATGATGAGCACGATCAGGTTGGAAGAAAGCTTAAGATGGTCAGACCAAGACATTTTGCCAATCTATAAAGTTTCTGAGTTTTGGTCTGAGACGTATAAGCAGATAAGAGACTATCTGACTGGTGACTTTGAAATGATAAAAATTGATGTTTAAAGAGTATCGTTGATATGGCTATGCAATTTATGACTGTTAATGAACTGTCATTCAATGCAATCGTCATTTCGATTCGGTTAACACTGAATACTTCAATCTGATCAGCTAATTCAAACCAAGCTGTAACTCAATTACTTTTAACCCCTTTTGGGTGTAGTGAGATTTAGGAAAGGTTTTTATTGTGGGTTTTAGCTGGGCTGCACATATTGAATAGTTGCTAGTTAATCGTTTCTGATTTATGTTTTGTTGGTGATTAGCCAGTTACAGTGATTGATATCACACCATAAAAGCTTGTTTCGTACAGATGTATCCAGATGAATTAATGCCAGAGAGGAATATTTATTCACATTCGACTTCTGTTATCAGCTTGTGTATGTGTGTGTGTGTGTGTGTGTGTGTGTGTGTGTGTGTGTGGTAGTGAGTTTCAGATGTAGATTCTGAGGCGTACATTCTTCAATGTAACTTACAGGACGGAAAGTGTCGATCAGTCGACCGATAAGGTATGATACATACTTACAATATAAAGAATGAATGGTCAGTACTATTCATGATTTGTATGGATTAGTGACTTTTGTAGTAATGATGGAAAGCGGCTAGCAGTGAAATCCAGCACGCATGTTTCGGCCTATTTGGGACCCGTCAGCTGGTTGTACCTGCACCCCAGTGGGTGATGTTGTCCTCACTGTGATTCGAACCAAAGAATGATCGCTTCAAACGCCAGAGCGTTATTTGCTAGGCCGAAGGTCATGACTTCTACTTCTTATGCTATGGTTATAGTTTATTTCAATGCTGTTGCATGTATTATCCCGTTGTTGATTTCACCGGATTGATCGATCTTTACTGGCATATGGGCTCCTGCTCCGATGCCTCGATGATGGCTGTCTTTTTAGTTTTGTGGTAATGATAAATAATTCAAGCGACAACATCAGAAAATAAACTACACTCATTACGTAAGAAGTGGAAAGCGTAACTTGGTGGCCTATAGGAAAACACTGTACCGTTTGGAGCGATCATTCCTGAAATCGAGTAACAGTGGAGACATCACCCACTGGGGTGCAGATAAATCCAACTGATAATCATATGAATATGAGCAATAATTTATGCTCGAAACGTCATCAAGTAAATAATACTAGATCACTGTGTGTTATAAAACGAATAAACAAATCTAATATGGAATCATATTCTGTCACAGTGCCCAAGTTTTACACCTATACTAGAAAGCACTACTTTTGTTCGGTTTTTCTTATTAACTTATTGGTTGAATATTGAAACAATTGACGATCATCTTTCATAAGTAGCACAGATACTAAGTCAATAGTTCCAATTTGTGATTTCTGGTAGTAGTAAACCTTAAGGACGACCAATCAGGTTTCAGATCATGGATATCACGGTCATTCACCTACGTCCTTTTACAATTTTGTTGAAGCTGCAGAAGATGATTGTGAATTGTGACGAGCATGACCTTGTCGGTTATGCATAGAGAGTTGGAGTGCTTGCGAGAAGTCTAAGTTATGAATGTGGTATTGTATTGAACTAAGTATGAAACGTAAATATAACTGACGAAGACCACTTAAACTGATCTGTGTAAGTTACATATATGTGTTTTGACAAATCACAGATTCTTGGTATATACTACCGAAATATAAAGAAAGAATATTTTCAGTGGATAGATCAAGAAGAATTTATCTTACCAGTTATAGAAAAATGAGTAGAATCGGGCACTACGATATACGCAGATGCTTGCTTGGAAGTGATACATGAAATTATCTGAAATAGGTTACCCTCATCAATCTATTCATGAAAAGCACTTTCTTGTTCCGACCACTGGATTGCATACAATGTTGGAATTATGTGGAATCCTCTTCGAATGTTTCTAAGACCTTTAGCGAGATCAAAAGGTCTCGTGATTCTTTAGGGGATATGATACGGTCTCACATAGATAAAGCGCAATACAGTGGATGGTAGGTAATAAACCTACTTGAGAATCTAGATATTTTCACCCTGCATATAAAACAGATTTAGAAGTTGTGGATAAAGTACCATTTTCCTTGATAATTACCTTATTCTTCATATGCCTGAATGTAATTGTTCAGTGCATACTCAAAATGATTGGGGTCAATAAAGTTTAGTTCTGTTTGACTTCTTAATGATTACCCACCTACTAGGAGATCTAAATTATTTTGGTGAACTAACATTTCACATGTTACTGAATAGAGTTTGAAGTTTATTGTGTTGAAGGATTATAAGTTGAATACAGCATGGATTTGAAGTTAGTGGCTTTAAGGCATTACATGATATACATTCAACTTTATTTTAAACTCAATAGTCGTTTGCAAGTAAGTACTGAAAAGGCGAAATCTAAAACCAATATACTCGAAGATCAACTTTTCATTCCATCAGTTTCTTAGTTGTAATATGCGGTGAGTGGATTCTTCAGGATACATGTCACCTCTACCGAGTCCACTGTCTACCACGAAGATCTGTAAGTTAGATATGAGATGGATGGGGTTTAGGCTAAGAACAAATTGTAATAGATGATAGCAATCTATGTAGATATTGACTGTTAGTCTAAGCAATGAAGGGTAGTCTAGGTTGTCCGGCAAACAGGTTAGAAAACCTAAGCGATATGGAGCGAAATTGAGAAAGTTAAGTAGAGATGTACCCACTGTCTATTACTCTCAAAATCTGAAGCAGAAAAGACTATTGGCCTTCCCTTATTTTCGCTGTTCTTACATCCTTGTTGGTTGTTTCTGTTTTCTTTGGCTGCTGTTTTGTCCTTCTGAGGTGATAAGTGGTGTGGTAGCTTGTGGTAGTGTCATTTTATTGGTATGCTTAACGTTAGTTTGCCCACCTGTCTGACATGAAATAGATACTCATTGGAACGTGATCCTATATGACTAGTTAAACCAAACTAATCGAGCTTTAGTGGTCTACAGACTTTCAGTCGGTTTCCTGAGAGAAAAAACTCTGAAAAAGGAATATTCTTTTCGATAAATTCTCGTCTGGTTCTACATGGATAAAAAGCATTTGTACAGCGTAAAAGAAAGCCAGGTTAGATACCAATACATTTAGAAAATCGTATGAGTCAGAAACTGTATGGAAATTACTGATTTTTTAAAAAGTTTTTCATCACAGTATTAAGATGACATATACTGATGGAGAAAGCGATAGTAAACGAAAAGATAACAAACAACGAAGACAGAAGGGGTCCTGGTTTATTGCAAGCCATGGGAGGAATAACACCTGAACGTATTCCTTCTGAATATAGAGCTCAGGTTTGATCAGTCTTATTACAACAGCCTCAGATATGTTGAGCAGGCGTTGGCAAGCTACATATTGTAAAGCTTTTGGGTACACGATGTATGGCATCAGAAATTTTATTAGCATCTGTATGAGGTGCTGTGTGGGGTGGGGGTGGGGGTGGGGTAGCCCAACACTTTTCATTGCTTTCACTTCATCATTTGTAAACCAAATCGGTAAATGTTTTCGTATCCGGAGACACACTTACTTAATAGTATATCCTGTATTACTTTTTCCACAGGAACAGTTAAGTTGATGTGTAAGATGAAGGGACCACTTTTAACCTAATAAGCGAAAGATGACATCACTTAGTAGTCTGACAGATGACTTCATAACTTTTGGAATACCAGCTAGGTGTTAGGATTTGGTCCCCGTGATATTAGTGATCATTCAGAGAGATGAAAATCAGCTGATATCTGCCAGATATGAAGTAGGAAGCATTTTGAATTCTACCACTTGATGTTACACTCACATACTGCGTAAATGCGAACTAATGCCACCTGTCGCACTGATCTGACAGGTCAAGTGTACTGCGCTGCATTTTGCTCTAATCTACCATATGTCTAAGAAGCATGTTAGGGGACACGGTGGCTTCAGGTACTTGTAGCGTACACCATGTGTCGTAGTCGTAACACGTCAGGTGTGGAGTTTTGGGCACAAGGGGTTATTTCATCGATGAGGCTTTGAAGCGTCATCGACGTAGACGTTTGGGACATATGTTACTCATGCCTAGTTATCCTCTGTCCAGTCGTACGCTTAGAATAGAGAAAGGTTACAAGCGGTCAAATTTAAACGTGACATCAATTCTTTACAGTTAGAAAACTATTGATATGAGACATCCAGGGGGATGTAAACTTCACAGTGGAGGTCAACGCGACAACAGACACCAGTGGTTAGTCATTGTGGGTAGTGTGGCTCAGAATCGATGTCACTGGCACAGACGCACCAGCATCATCATACTGAATCTCAGTATTGTCTTATTCCACCTTGTTTTCTCCTACTTTTGTTTTCCTTCTCCATTATTTCTTTATTGTGCATCTTGGTGCCTTTTGCCCCGCTGTGTTGTTATGAGGTGTGGCAACTTGGACCATCACGAAGTAATAATGTTGACTCAATGATTGACTGTGTGTAAAGACGTTTCATAACGGTTCTAAGGTGTAGAGAAGAATATTCTTGTATGAACACTGAGTAATTAGCTCTACTCAGTATATGGACAAGATTCTGATTTTGTGTCAGCTTTTCTCCGCAAAAATGCTTTTTCTTCTTTCACTAGTTATTCGAAAAACGTGGCTGTCATTCCCATCAAATAACTGAATTTTACATTACCCCACCAAATTATGAAGAGATGAGGTCGTCTTCAGCAGAGCGAAGTAATATTCCACTGGAATTAGATTTACAACGTCTCCGTTTCACAATTACCACTGGTGCATCACTTAAACTTGTCCAGAGCAGCTCAAACCAGAATGTTTCCCCTTCGTCAGCATCAATGTCATCATTTGTTGGTGCACAGCCAAAGATTTTACTGGAAGAGTTAGATGGTTCTGGTGAGAAAATGGTTTGTATACCGATAACTGGTACATTATATACAACGGTCAAATGGGTGCCGACAAATTATGAGTCAGCTGATACTATAGATATTGAAAGAAACACTGGATATCTGCAAAACAGGTGAGATTAGCCTAATGTTATTTCATAGCGTAATTCGCTTTCAACCACAAGTGACCGAGTGAATAAGAAGAAAGATGTGAGTAGTACTAACGCAGTGAGATGCTTAGGATACAAATAGTGACCGTTCTCCCCTAGTATCTTATACTTCACTGAGCTATAAACACATCAGCAGACAGAAGCTTGGCCTGCGACTGCAAAGAAGACACCTAATTCGACAAAAATACATCATTTATATACAGTTTTCAATGAAACATAAAACCACTGAGTCAAAAATTAAATGGCTTATTCTGACTAATCAACTGTAGGATAAAATTGTTGAATAAGGTTTATCGTGACCACATAGTGATATGAAACAAAAACTGAAATCAAAAACTTCTAACTTAGCGGCTGCTTCCTATAACCAATATTTATTTAATTTCGGTATTGATGTGTTAGCGCCTGTTTCAAGGAAACTGTGAACGTGTTTGTTGCCGCTTATCGGAAAGGTATTCGATGAAAAAGCTTCAGCAACCGCCTGTAGATTTGTGTACTGAAAGTCAGAGACACAGATTTTGTGAAAACTAAGAACACCACAAGATTGCTAATATCCTTTTAGGTAGATTGAAACTGGAACCACTAATCAATCGGTTTAAGGTCAAAACCTCAAAACTTTAAACCACTTGTTTCCCGATATAAATTTAAAATAAGCAACAAATGTATGGAAAGCAGGATCTGGTTAATTCATTAATATCGGTGGAATGAGTACATTACATCCCCACTTATTTATATCATGATGTATTTCATAGTGAGATACACATGTGCATTTAAATTCAGGATAACGAATTAGACTGAACAACACAACGGTATTTCTAACACTGTAAAGTAGACATGTTAAAAGGTTGAGAGGGGTATGTTTGAAAATTTACTGAAAAATTGTTTGGATTAAGTAATAGATATGTCACCGTGAAGTGAACTGTTGGTATGCGATTAGAGAATAAAAACTAGTGATAGATCTCATTAAACACAACGAGTTAGTAAGGAATACAGGAATAAGACAAGAACAAAAGTAATTGATTTAAGTTGATATTTACCCTGAACTGACGTCAGCCAGAAGACCATTGAGAACCTGTGAAGGCGAGTGTGAATGCAGACTGCAGAAGAGTATCACACAATGAGCAAACAGCAGTCCAATGTTCTAGAGTTCTAGATAGTTCTTCAGGTGATGTCAGCCAGAAATGAATACCAACTTGAATAAATTACTTCTTTTTTTCTTACTCTTATTCCAATTTCATGTTGTCTAGTCCTGAGTGCTAGCGGAATTCTATCGGTCATTTTTGCAATGTAGCCACTGATCTAGGAGGCCTAGCATCGCGGTGCATGTTGGTAGATGTTAGTCGGTTAGTTGTTATCACTGAGAAAAGCCGAACTAGGGTTTTGTACTTGTTGACACTCCTCAAATAGGTGTTATTAGCTTATACATGAATGTTAAACTCTTGTTTACTGTTTTAAAATATTATCTGTTTACTTACTTTTATATAGGTCTGGATATTCCAGAAGTTCAATGAAACAGTATACTGCTAACTTGCAATCATTTCTTTATCCAGCAACATCTTTCTTACATTCAATACAGATGAATCAGTCGAATCCATTATTTTTAAATGACACATTGAAGAGTGATGAACGTGAAAACTTTAAGACACATAGACTTGATCCAAATAATACAATGGATGCGAAATTGTTAAATTTGATACAGGTAGGTGAATACTTTTATTGATGATAGGTGATAATTGAACGTGAAGTGAAAACCCCCACTAAGACAGAACTTGAACCAGCTACCTCTGGTTTTTGGCCTGATGTCGTCCCAGTTCAGTTGGTCAGGAACTCGGAGGTCAGTGGTTCGAATCCTGTTGCTACCCAGACATAAGATTTGCCTTCAGTCATTACGCAATATCATTACAAATCAACCGAACCAAGTCTATATCAGATGGTTATTCACATGTATATGAAGAATTAGATAATATTCCCCTTGGGTCATTAGAGTCTGAAGTCTTTCTTTAATATAATAAATGCCTGGAATCTATCATGACCCAAATTAGCTTAGTGGTGAAGTTCCTGATTCCACTACTAAGCAATGAAGACTGGAATCACTGGGTGAACACTAGTCTCCTTAATGTTAAAAATCATAACAGACACTAACACGTCGATGTACCTGACACTAGAATCAATGGTTAGATACTTCAATCTCTCTCAAGGAATTCTCAAATTGGTGTTGTCTAGTCGTCCTTTACTTAGCAACAACCTGAAAGACATGATCTCGTATCTGGCCAGCTCTGTGTGTATATCATATGCTCCTGTGGAGCAGAATATATCGGTCGTTTGATGCAAGTCTTGTCTAAACGCTATCCTGTGTGGTTGCGATGCGGTATTTGCGGATGTTTGGGAAATGCGATAATGAAAAAGGCTGGTCGACACTTTCCATTCAATCTCAGCAACTACCTCTTTCAAAGTGATTTACAAAGTGAAAAGAAGCCTGTCATGATCAGTACACATTTGCCTCTTTCGTGATGCGGAGGCTTTAGAAATTCAAATTGGAAAGCCTGAGCTTTTCGTACAAAGAAGACTTGTTCAACCCTTGTTCCTATCATGGTCCTAATCTTTAGCGTCTCAAAGCATCCCCCCTTCTAACTTTTTCATTCCATTCATTTCATATATATTATCAACTACCCCCTCATACTACAGTTGGAATGAAAATGATATTTTGATTTCTATATGTGTTACCTTGCTTGTTGCCGTAGTTAACTTGGTGCTTTCACACATGGAATAAATTGTCCATTCTCATCCAGAAAAATTGTATATAAATGCGATTGTTACAGTTCAGTGAATGAAATAACCTAAAAGAGTCTTTTCTCTGAACTATTTATTTCCACTTTCTTATATGTCTTTATGGGGATTTTTCTAGAATTTCTGATTATCCTTAATTTTGTATTTGTTCGTATTCATCAACCAGGTAAGTACATATGTAGCTTCATAGAGATTGATTTTCTTTCAGAGATTTGAGCCTGTGTTACTCGACTCTTTAGTCAGTAATGTAATCAATGGACAAATCAAGTTACTACTTTGGAACTGGCACACTCTTTAACCGTTAGACAGTAACCAATGTCATCATCCTATTAATCATAAGAGTACCATAAGTGAAGGATATTTCAGTACTATTATGTACTAAAAAATTCCTACTGTACCCATGCAAACTGAACTTAGTGAAGTAAATTTTATTGCTATTGCTGGTGAATAGTTTATGTTCTCCTATGGGCATAAGTTACTTCACAGTATTTTTTGAAAGTAAATTGAAGATTTTAATGAAGAACAATGTATTTAAGCCAAGAGCCTCTTTTTCGCCCATTTCATTCTCATAGCTGTAAAATAGCAAATTTATATATTTTTCTAGTGTTAGGGTCTGGTAGTTAGAAGTGGTTTGTCAAACATGGCAACAAAAATAGTATTAATACATGAGCTGTTATTAAAATCAGAAACTGTGATGAATAGCGAAGATTGGTTGGAATATGACTGGAGTTACTAAGTTTTGGATAAGTTTCGTAACACGACAAAATCTTCGGAAACTTAAGTGTGATCTGTAAGAGCAAAGAAATTACATAAGAAGTAAACGATGGGAAAAAGAAAGATGATTTCATTGGTGAAAATTAAGACCATGAAAGGAGAAGAGGTTGAACAATTTTCTTATGTGTACAAACCTCAGGTTTCTCCATATGGATGGCAGATGCAGATAATAGGAAGATATACAGATTTTGGAAGGTTTACATTCACTGCCTAAATGAATTTAAACAAGAAATTTCTCGAAATAGGTTAACTCGTGTTGATGATTTGTTCACTTGTTGCACGTCTTATTGCTCCTCTGTTACTTTCTTGTAACCATGCGCAATAGTGCTTCTGAAGCCTTTCTGAAACAAGTCACATCAGAGGACCTATTTAACTTCCTGCACAAGAGCAGGTGAATTGATATACACACAAGAAAGTGGTAAGATGGAAAGATTTGCTCTTTTAGTTGTTCGAAATCATTGGATGACAGTGGAATACTAGCCTTAGAGTTAATGCAAAAGATGTTTTCCTCAGAGATTTTGGTAGTCTCATCTTTAGAGTATCAGCAGCAGAATCACTTTTTTCGCATGATAGTAGTGGTCTCTTTTCGAGGTTTCGCCTAGATAATTTTATCTAGAAAGTGTACTGGGAATCCATTTTCAGTTAGAATGTTCCTTAGAATGGAAGTTTCCTCTTAAAACACATCGAAACTGCAGATTCTTCAAGTGCGAGTGGCAAAAGTTATGATCAGATTCTTTTCCCGATTCATGGGCACCCAACTATAAAAGTTTATCAGTTGATCACTTCACACTGGCTTTCTGTAAATTGATCTTCTCAACGTTCCTTAAGCTGTTGTTGTCACCTTTATATCAAGAAGATTCATTCATGTGTCATTAACAATATTTTGTTCATGATAAACCAAAGGCGGTTTATAAATGTACAGCACTTAAATGGTCGCATCATGCACAGTATATTAGTGCGGTGCTACAAAAAAATGCCTTCTGTTCAAGTATAATAGTTTTATTTCTATTGCTTCTTATGTAGACTGTGTCAGGAAGTCATCTTCTACCAAGTCAAGTACAGAATACAACAGGACCAGAAGTACTATTTCGAACTAGAGCTGGTGGAGCGAATTACTTTCATTTAGACTATTTGATTGAACGTTTCAATTTTTGCACTGATGAAGATTTAGACAATTCTAAGCGTTTACGTTTACTCCATCTTAGACAAAATCGTGTGCCAGGATTTCAAAATATTATTATACCATCATTTGCAAGACATATTCCAGAGGATATTTTTGATGTAAGTTGTATATTTTCATTGCGGATAAGCTAATGTGTACTGAAAATCACTACATATAATGCTTTCTTTCATTACTAGTTTGACTGTTTAAGATGGACGTGGTTTGGCAGACTTTTATAGTTGAATGCAAACTGATTTTAACTTTTACTCGCCTTTTTATTCAAGGTCTTTCTGTGGTACTAGTTTTATTTTTAAAATTTCAACTAGATTGTTTTATTAGACATAAAACCTACAGCAACAAACTATTTGATTCCGAAGTCAATCATTGACAAGCATATTTTTCACTGATTGTTTGAATATCTGACCATTTTATTGGAATTGGTGCTTGTATGATTGACCTTTAAAAGTCCTAAAATTGAGGCTAAAATTATCACCTGTGACCCTCAACTTTTACTCGAGGTAAACGTAGACTATAAACACAAGGTATTTACTGAAGAAAATTCGATTTCAGGTGTAATCTTAATCTGATGTCTATTTAAAGATGTATTTTCACGAAAATCATTCTAAGTGTCATGGCGATAGTTGCAAACTGCTTCAGTTATTCTCAATTAAAGACATTCATTATAAAATTTTCGGGACATTTTTTGGGAACAAAGAAATTTCAAAATGACTGGATGAAAGGGGTTTAGGCTGCCTACTCATGTGATATATGTCATTATACCTGCTTACAACTTTCAAGTATTTCTTACATTGATAACTATTTTACAAGGTCATACGAATACCCAGCAGCGGAATTAATCAAGTCAGAGGAAATTGCAGAGTGGACTATACCTTTCGATGAAGCATTTTTAAAGCACATTTTTAGTGATTTTTCTGAGTGATATTACGCAAATGCATGTTTTCTTGTTGATGGGGACTGTGTTACACTTCACTTTACAGAACCAATAGATAGTTAGCCAGAGATATGACATCCGTCTATGAATGCAACAGTCTTCAAGATCCCGTCCAAAAGTCCTCAAGGTCGTTATTGATATGGATAAAATCTTGCATGCAGGGAAGCTACTTTCCTTGCTAATCATCTCCAAATTAATATGCTTAGTGTAGTCTGCTTGGTGGCTAATAGTGGGACTGAGGATGCGCGTTTCTTCCTATTCGGGACTAGTCAGTTGGAAGTACCTGCACCTTAGAGAATGGTGGTGTTCCCACTGATGTTCTAACCCAGGACGAATTGTTCCAAACTTTAGAGCGCTAGCCCCTAAGCCGCTGTAGTATGAGAGCCACCTCATGGTAACGGGTGTCAGTGGTTGCTTATTGATAATTCTAGTTCCAAGTATTATAAGTATTTCAAGTAGTCACAAGTGGCCTATTAGATAACGATTTGGAGTTTGAAACAGTTGGCACTGTGTTCGAGTCGCAGACCCGCATCCTGGTTTCTACTAGTAACGACCGAGCCGACTACAATATGATGAATATCAGAGCGGTATCGAGGCATCCTCATAGGAGCCCATCTGCCAATAAAGGTTGAGCAGTTCGAATCATTATAGCGACGGGAAATTAATAGAATCAATAAGTTACACGCTTAATACTTAGGTAATCGGGTGAAAGCAGAGGAAATAAACCGTACTGAAATCCTGACGTTCGGATGATACGATGGAAACGATTTGTACCCCAGGATGAGCATGATGGTGATTTGATGTTCTCCGAGCTTTGGCATTTTGTCCTGCTCAGTAAGTTGAATAAAGGTATTCCAGATAGTAACAACTATTGGTCGTGGTGGAATATCTATCATATGTATCCTAGGTCGACGGCAGAACCTTGGTAGGACTGGGACATTTGTCTTCATCCGCCATTATTCTTCTTTTTTGATTTCGCTGGTTTCTACTAAACTCCTCATTTTCCTCTGGCCAACTGTTTAATTCGACCGTAGTCCAGTGGTTAGTACACACTGTTGTCCTTTAGTAATTCCAGTGCCTTTTTGACATCATCGTCATCCTGAGCTACAAATCTTTTCCATCATTTAAAAATCTTTTGAGCACAAAGCGCTTCTCTGTGCTCCAAAATGGCAGAACTTTTCTGGTCGGATAGATTTCACTCGAGAGCAGCTTTTTATCTCACATGAATGTTTGGGACAGAACATTTTACCAAAAAGTGTTAGATACTGGCCACCTATCAACTGTCCTACTGGATGGGAGATTGCACAACAAAGTGTCAAGAAAATGGTGCGACTAATGATTTCTGATACATACAACAGATCTACCAAATACAAGAAGATAATTATAACTCAGCGACAAATATTGAAACCAATCATCGGAACAGATATGATGAACAAATTAATAGCAGCTATCAGTATAACAACTAAGACCAAAGGTAAGATGAGGCAGAAGTTGAATGATAAACTACTCAACCTATCACAACCAACAGAGGAGAAATTAAAAGACAACTGGGTTTTGAATCTTTTAGAACCATCACTGTCTTCGACAGAACACGATTTACTTCAGAAGGGACTGAACCACAACATTAGGATCGTTGTCATGAACAAAACGGACTATGTCAATAAGGCACTAGAATTACTAAATGACAACAGTGTTAACCAACCACTAGACCATAATCCAATTAAACAGTTGGACAACCATATCCAAAGGAAACTGAAGATTGTAGTAAAAACCAACCAAATCACAAAAGAAGAATAATGGCGGATAAAGACAAATGTCCCAGTCCTATCGAGGTTCTGCTGTTGACCTAAGATACATATAATGGATATTCTACCAAAACCAATAGTTGTTACTATCTGGAACATCTTTAATCAATTTATCGAATACGACAAACTATCAAAGCTCAGAGAACACCAAACCACCATCATTTAATTGATAACGCTGACGTGCCATTTTCATTTATAAGCATACATCAGTAGTGAAAAGACTGTTATTTTAGTCAGCAGACGCTTTTGCTCCCACTAAGCTATACTAGTATGACACTAAGAATGATCTCAGACAAATATATCACATGAAATCCCTCAAGAACACAACTGTCTTTTTTCTTACCTAGTTTTTATAACTTTACTTCCATTGTCACAATCAGTGAATGATCTAACCCATTAGTGCTGATAATTTTTCGAAAACGTTCTTGGTAATTTTAAAGCTGCTTACTTATTTTTTGTGGTGCTAGATGATGAGGGTGAACCGTTAAGAAATCACAGATCTAGACTTCAAACTTGCTGGTATTATTATTATTTGTCCCTTGGGTTCCTAGTGGAACATACGGCTTCAGTAGCACGTCTCCATTACAATCTGTTCTCTGCAAACCTTCGAACCTGGTTCCACGACAGCCCAGAAGATCTCATTTCTTCCTCGCACCATCTCCTCCATGTCACCCTCGCCTGGAACGCCCAACCCGACGCTTCTCATCTAAGTTCCACTCGAGGGCCTGGCACGTGATATCCCCAGTCGGCCTTCTCAGCATATACCCAATCCATCTCCACTTCCTTCTGCATATTTGTTCAGCTAAAACTTCTTGATTGGTTCATCTCCAGCCAGCCAGAGTTCCTTGTTGCTTATTCTTATTATTCTGGCAATCCATCTGATCTTCAGTAACGATCCAGAGTAGGCAGTTGTTGATGAATGTCTGTAGTTTGTTAGAAATGCCTTGCGTAACGCGCCAAGTTTCTGAGCCATACAGGAGCACTGACTTGACTGGCGTTGGTGTCGAAAATCCGGATGTTGTTCACGTCTTATGCTGAGTGCAGTAGATCTCCACACTGGTTTCAGATTAGTGGAAGCCTGTCTTGCTTTTCCGATCCCGGCTGCATTGACATCCTCGTCTGTACCTTTTGTAGTTGAAACAGTGCTGCCTAGATAGATGAAAGAGACTACTTCCTTTAAGTTCCCCCCGTTGATAGTCAATGGTGCTTGTTGTTGATGTTGTTGTTTGTCGGGTATCATCATCACTCAAGTCTTCTCTATAGTCACTTGAAGTCCCGTTTTCGCTGTCCCCCTCTCTTCTGTCAACTTGTTAGTTTTCGCCTGAGGATCTTCAAGTTTGTGTGACATCATACACAAGTCATCGGTGAAATCCAAATCTTCTACGTTCTTTTCCGAAGTTCACCGTATCCCCCTCTTCTCGCTCCTCACTGCTGTCTGCTGCATGATCCAGTCCACCACCATCAGGAATATCATGGGGGATAGTAGGCAACCTTGTTTCACTCCTGTCATCACTTCAAAAGCATCATTGAGCTTTCCATTTGTGAATTACTTGGCATGTGGCATCTTCATATACTTGTTGAATGAGGTTGATAAATGTTTGTGGTACTCCGTAGCATTGAAGCAGTTGCCGAATTACTTGTCGGTCGATGCTGTCAAAGGTCTTCTCAAAGTCGATGAAGTTGAGGTGGAGTTGAGTTGACTGCCATTCCATGCTCTGTTCTATGATGCACAGCGTTGTAATTTGATCTGCACATGATTTGTACTTCCTGAATCTAGCCTGTTCCGGTTGTAGTTTTGAATCCAGTGCATGTTTTAGTCTCTCCAGGATGATGCGACTTAATATTTTGCTCAGGGTGGACAGGAGCGTGATTTCGCGCCACTTTTTGTAAACACTGAGGTCTCCTTTCTGCAAGAGTTTGAGAAGGTAGCCCTTCCTCCAATCTACAGGTACCTCTCCTTCCTTCGAAACCTTCTGCAACAGTGGTGTAGCATTTCCGCTGTTGCCTCTGCACCCGCTCTCAGCGCTTCTGGAGGGATTCCATCTGGTCCTGCTGCTTTCCCGTATTTCAGTAGCCTTATGGCGTTCAGGACTTCGATTTTCGTTGGAGGACCTCTGTTAACTGGTAGTTCTGTGGCTCTGCTGCATGTAGTATTTCTGGACGTAGTGCAGGTAGTGGTGGTGGTCGATTCGAGAGCTTTTCGAAGTGATCAGCCCATCGTTTCCTTTACTTCTCCTCTTCAGTGGTAAATAAGTTTCCTTCACTATCTTTCGTTGGTTTCATCTGTGTTGGTCTCTCCCCTCCCAGATAGTAACCTGGTTATTTGATACAATGTCGTCAGGTCTCTCTTACCTGGAGCCTATTCTGCTCCACTTGCCAGTGTTTCGTAGAAGTGTCTTTTGTGTTTGCGTGCACTCTTCTTCACTTCTTTGTCCAGTGTAGTATTTTATACTTTGTACTCAGTTCCTCTTGTCGTTGAGCATCCTTGTACTGGTTCTTCTTCTACTTCACCATCCTTCTCTCCTCTGTCAGCTTCCATGTATCCGTCGAGATGCCTTCCCTATCTTCTTTCCTCTTCCTTCTTAATACGGTTATGCAGGTTTCTTTCCACATCTCTTTCAAAGAGTTCCAGTGTTCATCCACGCAGATTTCTTTAAGGGTGTTCCTCGCTATCTCCCATTTTGTCTTGATTGTTGTCTGTGAAGATGTCACTTGTAGTTTCGTCCTTCAGTTTCTGTTCTGGGTGTTGAACTTGGACTGTGGTCTATCACCAGCTTCCTTGAAGGCTTTCAAGTTGATTTTGGAGGTAGGTTCCTAGCACTAGATAGTGAGTGGTCTGAACCACCCACATCTGTTCCCCTTCTTGATCTTTTGTCCAGTAGGCTACGTCTCCATCTCCACTTTCTTCACACTGAGATGAAGTCGATCCGATTTTCAGTGTGTCCATCTGGCGAAATCCATGTCGTCATGTGAATATCCTTGTGTTTGTACACACCGCCTCACTCCAGTCACCAAATCATTGAATGCACTGAAATCTGCAAACAGTTCTCCATTCTAATTCATCATTTCACCGAGTGACTTCCGACTCATGATTGGTTCTCTTCCTGTGTTGTCTGCTCTCAGTTTGGCATTGATGTCACCCATTAGGATTTTGATGTCGTCAACTGGTGTAGGGTCTTTTGCAGTACTGATTGCAGTTGTCTGTAGAATTCCTCCTTCTGCTATTGGCCACCATTGTTTGTAGGTGCATAGCGCAGCATTGTATGGTTGTAACCTTCCTTCCTTTTGAGTTGAACCTTGCTGTCATGATCCTGATCGTGGAGGAGATTGGTTCTCACTGCATGAGAGAGAGCCTTCGATGCTCTTAGGAGGGGGACATAATGATAGCCACTGGTAAACTCAATGTGCTCGTGGTTGTCGTCTGGTTGACAATATCGGATTACATTATTGACTCCTCTCCAGTTGACAGTTGAGAGAATCCACTTCCATCCCATCTGCAGATTCCAAGCACCTTCTCATATCTTAGGCAATCTGAGCAGCGTTACTAGGTTCATACATGGTGCGGACATACCATGTCCCTATGCGTACTTTCGCTTTCATCGAGAGGAGCGAGGACACATCGACCAATTGCCTTCCTGAAGTCTTTCACATACTGGCGTCATTTCATCTCTCCGATTCGGGCGAGGAATAAGTTTGTTTTTATTTTTTATATTTCCTTTGTGGTTTGAAGTTTGTTTAGTAATTGAATTGATTTTACTGGGTGAGGTTGCTAGGTTTATGCCCAATCTTCCTTCTTTATCCTGGCTTAGGACTGTCTAGTAACTAGTGAACTAGCTAACCAGGCGAGGTTATGCTTGCTGACACTCATCAACTATAATTATCTGCAATCGGTGTTTCTAACTCTTATCATCCAGTGTGGAGGTCAAAGGCAACCGCTAATCTGTTACTGCCATGAGTGACCCCTGTGGGATTGTATTACGTACATTCAGTGATGCACGTTCGATTCACCAAGGGAACAATAGTTTCCTTATGGTCACAGATACGCTTTGCTGGCGAGTGTCAACAAGCTTGAAACTTCAGTTCAGGACTGTGTACCGATTACTTTCCACCATCTCACTCTAAATTACAGTGCACCGCAGTGTTGCATCAATTCACTGACTGACCAAGTTACGAAACTTAATCGACAGACTCCTATTAGTGCTAGGTACTAAGGATTAAAGAAACAGCTACACCGGTAGCAAACTGATGACGTATTTGTGCATAGTTCTCTGTTTTAAAGATTGAAAAAGTATTTGTAAGGTTGGCCATTATATGAAAGGATCACAACTACTTAATTCTTAGTTTAGAAACAAATTCTGTTAAACTTAATAGGGCGCCATTTCCCCATGAAATGTGATCTATTGTAGATCATTGGTCTAAGGAGTTGACATCCAACCGACGGGTTACGGGTGAGCAACCCGCTTCACCTACCGAAGTTTGGGTAGCCAGGTAGTAAGAATAGCTATCACACAATAGGTTTAGCCCATTACCCACTGGATGAATGTGAACAAGGTTGGTGCGTGCATTTTGAAACCTGGGTTTCTATGGAGCGTACTGTAGATTTAGCGTCAAGAACTTTTCGAAAATCTTGTGTAAACTTTTGTTAATATGCAATAGTTGGCATCTTCTCTGAGTAAAAATGGAAGTAGAAATATGAAGAGGTATCTATTCAATGATTTTAATGGTATGAAGTTAATTTACACCTATCTGTTTCTCACTAGTTGTCAATCATATCGACAAAAGTAATATCATAACAGTACCTCGTTTATGTCTTCCTGATATGTTTACTTCCACGTTTGCTTATAAGGCAGTGACGAAAAGTTACAAACTGCATAAAATTGATCCGACGAACAGTTGGTATCACGGCACTCTTAGAGAACTAATTGTATTGTCAGTTTGTTTTAGCAATATTTCTGTACTACTTTACTAATAATTTCTGCTTACTTCTTTTGGCTAATTGTTTTGATTTCAACAGTCATTGAATGAGAAGAAAGATCCTGATTCTTATCATGGGACTCTGAAAGGCATGAAAGCATACAAGCAAAAGCATAAAATGTATATTGAAAAGGTAAGTGACATGTGAACCATGAGAAGCTAATAATAGATTACTATTTTGTTTGTTTTTGATCGGTGGTAGCTAACAATGGGATTAACAGTGCATCTTTTGTCCCATGTGAGACCCCCTCATCTCGATGCACCAGCATCTATGTTTATTTTTCTACTGAGAGACAAATCCAGCATACATCAATTCGACTATCGTATTATCATCCAGTAGGCTGTTGGATTACAACGACTACCTCTTTTGAAGCATAAAACGCATTTCTTATTATCTTGAACTCATTAGCCGGATTAGCCTCTGTGTCAGCGATTAATGGTGTCTCATGTTGTGAGGCCGTAGTTTAGCATGAAACATTTATTGATCTAAACATTTTTAACTTGGTATCCTCACACCGTTTTTACGGTATGACTAGTGGTTTATTTTCTGCCCCCATTATAATATAATTCGCTGATTGGTTAATCTTTACTCTTACTATGCCTCTGTCTCAAATTGCAGACAAGGTCATTTTTAAAGCAACTGGTCCCTTTGATAAATTTAAACAGCGTAATGAGAAGACGAAGATTATCTGAAACATGTGATGTATTAGCGCTACACATTTCGAACAATCTGATCACACTTGTGTGTGCATATTCTCACGTGTTTTGGGATTGATTTATTATCATTATATTCTCACAGGAATAAACTCTCCCATCATCCAGCTTCGGTCTCCTTTCTATATGTCCCGGGGTTGTAGTCAGTGGCTCTTGCGTACTAAGTTAGCTGTCAGCTAAGCGTGTGTATTATATTCCTTCGAAATACATAACCGTTGGCGTTTGAAGATGTAACTCTCACGTACCACTTTAAGTAACCTTGTAAGGTGGACCAAAATCTTCTGTATGAGAGGTTGAAGGAGACTGCTTCCAATTTGAAGTTTGACTTATCTGCTGACTCTGATATGGATCATCTTGAAGTCTAATATAGATAATCACACGCTTATGATCTTCGCTTTCAAAGATAAATACTTTACAACTTCTAACGGTTCCATGTAACAAAGTCCTAACAGCAGGTCAATTGAATAAAACTCAGCTGACTCATTTGTGACGTTTCTGACTGCAACGCTGAGTGATGCGGGTTCTAATCTCACAGGCAGTGTCGACTAGGTCTTCTTACAGATCGCCTTCAACCAACTAGCATCAATCAGAATGCTCCATGATACTGAGTTCCCTAGCTTGGAGACCATATTATAAATTGATCGATAGAATTCGGTTGACATTCAGGACCAGACAACAGAAAGTGGGTTACTCTTTAGGGACCAAATAATTTAAACACTGAGAATAAGCACTATTTGTTGATTTATTGAGAAGAACATAAATACTTTACAGGATTGTAAAATATTCTATGTGGATCTAGGTCGTCTGTTCTACCTTACTATCACTGAGGTATACAGGCAACTGGCCACTATTTCATCATTGGAGCCAGATGGGTGCACTGTAAACTGATATATGTATCGTGTTGGTATGTTTCAGTGGAATTCATAATATTTACTTAAAGTGGAATTCATATTCAACTATGAAATGAAATCGATTTTCTCAGCAAATTAACTATGCCATAAAAGTATAAACGGGATGACGATAATACAATACTTAATTTATCAGACGATACTACTACTACTACTCAACAACTTGAGTAGTTAGAAACCACTCAAGTTGACCTGTAGATTTCAGCGGCCGGATCAGAATGATCGTTTAGGTAAACCAGTCCATGCAAGTTAACTAGACAGGATCAAGTGATCTGAATCAATTCGGCTGTATAAGTTGAATTTGTGCGGTTATATTATTATTCGGCCAAAAACAAACGAAACAGGCTTTTATATCAGTCTGATATGACTGAAAAAATTTACAGATCGGCCTGAATGGTTTCTAACTACTCAGTTTGTTCAGTAGTAATCACTTTTACGACACTTCTTTGTCAGAGATCACACCTCCTAATTTTGGCTGCGGGTGGTTTCCAACAGAAAGATTGTTGACACTACAGTTAGGTAGTTGAACCACTATTCAACCGTGAGAAATGTCAGTGTGGAACAAGCAATTCGCAAATCATTTGCAAACGATTACGAATAATTCCAACATCAAGGCATTACTTGTCGTTTAACTTTTGATTTAGGTTACCGTCACAGAATGGTGGTTGTAAGTGAATCACCTTTTAGAATAGTTACTACTCATATGTGAATATAGCACTATGATATCAATGAAGGTACATCATGTTGATAGCCTCAGTGGCTTGGACATGTGTTACCAACGTTAAGCCAGTGGCCCCCAATTGTTCATTGCTTGTTTGCCTTAGAACACGTTGAAAGAAGTGGAAAGATGACCAGTGTATGTAACGTGACGTCGTGAGATGAAGGGCAGTTGTGTGCGCTAGCATCTGCAAGTATCTTATGAATCCTATGATAGAGGGCAAGAGACCGTGCTACTGATTAGTTTGACATGATAGGAAATATGGCTGAGAATCAAAAGCAGTGACGACCATGCTACAGTTTTGTTTCTCCTATTGCTTAAAACTTAGATGAAAATGATGAATGCTTTTGCTTGAATGCATCTTTGAAACCGTTTTTTGGATAACCAGTTTCTGGCCTTGTTTTCATTCCTTCTTTCATTTTTCCTGTCTTCATCATATTGTATAATGCATCTCTTAGTGCCCACTTTACTACTAAGTCTCAGATTTAAATAAAAGTTATCAACAAAAGTCAGATACCATACACAGGAATGAAAGTTCTCGAAGTTCACAAGTGGGCAAAAAGAGCATATTTTAGGTTACTTGGCGGCTAGGAGTAAATCCAAGGCGCGCGTTTTATCCTACTCGGGAATAGTCAGCTGAATGTGCCTGCACCCTAGTGAGTGTTGGTGTTCCCACTGAGACCCGAACTAAGCAAAAGTCTTTCTAAAGGCCACAATGTGATGAATTTGGGCGCAAGAATCACCTCTTGTGCAGCGAGTATCGACTGTTGTTTGCTGATGCTTGGAATTACTACAAATACTTGAAATCAAAAGTCCCAGTGTACCACCTCTGATACCTTTGGCATAAGAAGTGACTCGTGTACTCCAGTGGCTTCGTGATACAACTGGTTTTTGAAGGGGTTCACACTGGGTTTGAGTCTCAGTGGGAAAACATTAGTCACTAGGATGCAGGTATTTCAGCTTCACGATTCCCAAATAAGACGAAATGCATGCTCTGGATTCCACCGAGTGAACGACAACAGACAGTATTGAGGCATTCGCATAGGAACTCATCTGCCAACTGAGGGGGGCTACATGTATATGTGGAAAGAATTTTCATGGATTCGAACAGTCAGGAAATCTAGGTTCGATTCATTTCTGACATATGCTTTTGAATATATTTTAAAACAAGCTCACATTTGTTTACATACCATTTACGTTTACTGTCACACTTATAGATTAAAGCTGAAGTTAACCAACATTTCCAAGAAGCGTTGAATAAAAAATCGATTCGTGAAATTGTCATTGAGGAAGAAATACCAAATATTTTGTGAGTTTACCTTGAACTGAATGATATTCTAGCGAAGTTGTCTACTTTAAAACCAGATGGTGATGATTTTCTTTCCATTTGCTTTTCCTAAATGGAACAAGATAAATAGTCTAGTGGGTTCTTTGTTTTATCAGTGATGGATAGTGGTTTGCAGTTGAATCCTGGATGTAGGTTTCATCCGGTTCTGAACTCGTTAGCTGGGTGTTCCTACCTATCATTTGTTGTTTTGCAAATGATAGTTATCCTTCACTCACTCCCACTTGTGGAGGACAACATGGAAATTTAGTTTTTTTTTCTAAATGTTCTGTTAATAAAAAAAGATGAGTCATTGAGCAGAATGGAGTGTAGAAAGACCACATTTACAGGTCAGCAGATACATATCCTCTGATTTGAACCCGTTCAGTATTAAAGAAGCTTAGTTCTATAGGTTGCAAATGGAATCAGAAGAATGTGCTCCGACGAACTGACACAAAAAGAGTTAGAATGCATTCATACTATGCTATTAGAAATGGGTTGCTCTACATAGGCAAAGTGAGTCAGATATCTGAACAAGCGATTGTTCAAAAGAAATTATTATTCATGAAACTGGAAAGTGATAGTGATGCATCTAACATATTTCTATGGCGGAGGCTGTATAGAGTCGTTAGAATAGCCCTGTATGCTACCGATCTTTGTTCATGAATTTCTACTTGGTTGATGATTGTTGCTCAGAAAACAGTTTTCACTTTTCTATTTGCAAGGTAGTATTCTTCACGGAGTGATATCAGTTGGAGAAACACTGATGATTTTGGAGCGGTAGACATCTATTTCACTTAGTGTGGGACTCTTCAGTAGCGCGCACTTGGATACTCTATATACTTGATTACATATAGCAAGAAGCAATACACGAAAAAACATGCACGCAAACGTAAACTGATACGTCGATCGAGGCATGGCAACATGGAAATAGACAATTTTTACATATCAGTTAGTAATACAGAGGGTAGGAGTGGATATTTAAGTTGAATCGGTTGAAGTTGGATAGCATCATTCTGAACATAGTACTTGATAGTAATTTGGGACGTTTTTATAATAGTGTAGGGTCTAACATCTTGTGAAAACGGGATGTATATTGAAGTTAGTAATGATGATGCTAACAACAACGGCAACAGAAGAAAGGTGAACTGAATGAAACGGTTCGAGAACGACAAATCTGGACGATAAGATAGAGTTAGTAGTTGAAGGAAAGGAGGAAGTAGTGTAAAGTTAATGTGACTAGATAACCTTGCAGTGACTACCATGGCAGATTCAAGTTGCCTACCATTTCCTTTTACTTGCGTAGGTTAGGTTCGACAACTCGAATTTCACAGGATTGTACGATTACAAGCATCTTATTCTACTGTCTACAGATGATCGTAAATGAATCACAAGTACCAGTGTCATGTCCATACTCCATTAATTTAGTGAGTTGTCAAGCTTCTTGGAGATTTTTCCTCGTTTCAACCAATTAAGTAACTGTTCACCCATAAAGGAAGATAGACGCCACTCCATACGAACTCTGTATCTGCCTTTCCATAACCATATTTGAATTGCTCTATATATTTAGTGTTGAGAATTGAAGCGTAATCACTCCCTGATTCTTGCAATACCCATTTTGCGGCGCTGAGGAACATCAGCTTAGCAGCACAATAGACTGTTCTAACCGACCTTTCTAGTCTTTGTTAAACAATCCTAATTCATCTTCAACCTATTCAGTCTCAACGATCACTTCTACCTTCTACATTACTAAGTGGCATGTAAAATTTGCTCATTGCTGTGGTACTAGATCTCATTGCAACTACTATCATTATACTTATCATGTTAGCTATTACTTTATTGCTTCATAGCTATGTTGTTACATGCTAAAGAAATCACCATAATTGGCTTTAGTTTTGTATGTATAAGTACAATTGTGTGTATTCGAGGGAAGAGTGAGGAGATCTAATCGAAAACAGCATTGTTCGCTTACAGTGAGAATGCTGTAACATTCGTGATATTCTTATCAGTTGCAAAGATGAATTTGTATGAATGATAACTCCCTGATAGTATACGATAATTGAGATTTCATTACTATAATATATATTTGTTTGCATAATAACTAGAGACTAGGATCTCAGTGACATTCGAGTAAGCAACCTCTGAGTTAGCAGCTTGGTTTTACATCGATCAGTTAAAGATAACCAGCTAATCATGTTTATATCTGAAGTCAAATTAGACTGCAGTATGTTCCGCTTAGTCTCCGCATAAATTGAAATTAATTTATAGTACTGATCACGTTGGCCGTTTAGTTGGGTTTTCTCACGAACTCCAAACTCTGGTGAGTGAGGAAGGCGAAATGATGGGTAAATACTCCTGGTTATTAGGAGTAGTAAAGATGTATGTGGTGAAATATTCTAATCTTATAGATATGCTTGTTTGTGTACCACGCTCTCTGATAAAATTATTCACCCTTGGGCTTGAAAACGTGTTTATTTATGCCTGACAACGTGGAGTTTTTTAGGGGGTCGATTGATTTCAAAGCGATTTTCATCAGCCGGAGAACTTTTGAACACCTGGGAGTACTGGACATCTGTTTTTTCATAGTTCAATACTCCTTAGCAGTGACCATTCATGACCGTGTGAGAGATGGAAACCAGTGCGTCAGATTTTGTGGCGAGCACACTACCACACATTGAAGGTATTGGACTTCAGTGGCCCACCTTTTCCAACTTCTGTCGATTCTTAATACAGCTGATCCACCACCCATTACTCAGCGACCATTTATCTTTACAGCCGATTTGGTTAACTTCACACGTTGTGGCTTCTCAACAAAACTTTTCATGTCGTAGTAAGTTACTAATGAACATGAGATTCTTATCCAGTTTGCAAGTCTGTGGGGAATCGGGTGATTTCAAAGGTGTTGTCATCAAGAGGTGATATCAGTCAGAAAATCACTAAAAGCCGTTTAGGGCTAGAAATCCATTGCGTCCTAGTTTAGAACGTTTTAGCAGTGAAAACTTAGATCCACTCGGACATTCAGACTGGAATCATCAAATTTCGTGGCGGGCACAATAATAACGGTGATGAAAACTACTCTCTAAGTGTAGAAGCGAGAATCAACTTCGACCTCACCTTCCTATTCTTATCCTAAACTTCCTAGTTTTCGTCAGGCCTTTCTTAACTGTTAACTACATTAAATAGGTCAACTCGAAATACCTAGCAATTTTAGCTATTTATCATTTCATTGAAATCAAACTGATGTAACCAATCACATCCTTCCGAACTGTAATTTATTTTTAATGGGCCATGATAGCTATTGGGCTTAATTCGATTAGATTCATGTGAACATCCCAACAACGATTTTAGGAAAGAGACAAAATTTTTAACAGCTCTATTTTAGCACATTTGATGGATTAATAACTTAGTAGCTTAATATTGCTTTGTTTTTGATAAGTCTTCTTCTTAATACTCTTCCAGACATCACAACCCGTTTTATTTTGTTATCCAAACTTAGTTTCATTCGAAATTATTTTATGAAACATTCGTTTTCCGTTGCTATTCGGACATAACAGTTCTATGCGAATGTACAGCCTGAGAATGATATCACTGAAAAGAGAGATTTTTCCCTGGATGTCTTCTGTTTTCTAATACATCTCGATTTGTTGTAGTCCTGTGGAATCGGTAAATCAAACTAGTGACTGTTAATTATCCAGACTGAATGTTTACAGAGATGTGTAGGTTATGTATATTCATCAGTTAGAAATAGTTTCATGCTCAAATGCACTATAATCTACTGATTTCAAATCATTTCACTTGGATAATTTTAAGCGTTCCAGAAGCTATGGAGTAGATCGTGTGTGGAAGAAATGAAAGCTTCTGGGCTGTCATGGAGCCAGGTTCAAAAGATCGTAGGAAACAGAATGAAATGGAGACGTACAACGAAGCCCTATGTTCCACTAGGAACCCAAGGAACAAATAATAATAATAGAAACAACCACTTGTGAAACGTGATATTTAGGGGCAATATTTCGGTGGTTTTGTCTTCTCTGAATTGGATAGTTTCATCGTGAAGGTTTCAGTAATATAAGTATAAACTTGTGCACTGTGGTAGGATTTAATTTCATATTAGATTTGTTTATTTGATTTATAACACACAGTGATACACTATTATTCACTTGATGACATTTCGAGCATAAATTAGTGCTGATATTTATATTAGTGTAACCACACTATTTCCAGCATCTGATATCTATAGTCTTGTCATACTCTGTTTATTGATAGTAAAATGTTCCATTTATCTGGTATAGGTATTGCGTCAGGGTGGGATTTAAATCTATAAACTCACTCGGCTTAATGATCTGACAGAACCAATTAAACAAACCAATCTCATCTATCAAATTCCATGTAATGACTGTGAGGTCAAGTACATAAGTCAAACTAGCCGATCGCGGTCAGTTAGATTAGAATCTGAGGGGATAGGACTATGGAAATCAAATGTCGAAAGTTGTGTGATTACATTGATATGATTATGAGCAATAATTTATGCTCGAAATGCCATGAAGTGAATAATAATAGATCACTGTGTGTTATAAACCAAAGGTTTCACTAACATTTCAGACTACATCATCGGTGCAACCTGTTCCCTAGTTACAAACTGCTTAGACAATCAAGGTTGGTTAAAGTCTAAGCTAATGGATATTTCCCGTCAATTCCATAGTTTACATTTAAGATAAAGAGGTATTCTAGTTCATTGCATGTTCCTGCGCGTGGTTATTGAGTTCGATTTACTCACTTTTTACACCCATTTTGTAAAAAAAATACTTTGGAAGTAGTGTGATGTTGGGCAGTATAAGTGAAGACTACAAGTTCTAACCGTAAAGTAGTGTATAAAAATATGAAAGTAATAGCAAACTGTGACCCGAACAGCTCAGTTTTGACGTCTCAAACGGGAGCATTGGGTGACACATACTTTGGATCTTCCATGAGACATAAGTTCGTCCTAAGTAGCTGATAAACTTTGTTGATGATCCCCAACAAGTCAGAAACTGAGGTCGATTCCTTACTGTAAATCGTCTACAATTATCTAACATACAGGAATATAGTTATTCCATTGTCTCAACTATCAATTAGAGTCATGTAAACTGGCTTATAGTCGGAGTTGCGTAACAGTCACATAATATTTGGTGTGAATTTCAAGCGTAAAGAACATAAAATATTCAATATCCTGCAAATAATACTGTTCCACTGCGTGATTATTCTAATAAACAGGCTAAAATAGGTTTGTAATCTCCCACATTGCTCAAGTTTTACTCATATATTGATATAATTTCCAATATTCACCCTAAAAACAGCTATTGTATGACCAGTGATGAAAAAAAAGACCAGTCATGGAGACTCTTCAAAGCTAGAGGGCATATAACAATACGTACATATTTACAGCTGAAATTAAGCGAACGGTAAAAAGTATGCATAGCATTTCTCATTATTCACCGTTAATCTGTGGTTAAAGTTTTCAGTATGAATATAGCTACTAACCACTTGGTAGTTAAATTAGCACGTTATAAAATTTCCAACCTATTCTTTTATGTGGACAGATTTTTACTGCCAATGTTAAGAAGATTATTTGAGCCTAAACGTCCTCTCAGACCAAAACATCAAGAACGTCGCCGTATTGGACCACAGTATGTTCAGGATTCTTATCTAGAATTGATTGTTACTATACACGGGGCTTATAATTTACCTATTCGATGCAGAAAAAGAAGGGACCAGTCAGATTACGGCGATAAAAATGGAGTTAAAAATGACGTAAGTTAATTGATTGCATAATTAAACCCATTATTTTTAGTAAGGATTGCTTTTTGTTAAACAAGCATAGCAGATTCCAGCCTTACATATTGAGTGATATGATGGGATATTTTGTTTAGTTGCTTCTGAAACTTCATGACCGTATTCTTGTAGTTTTACTAGTCTTTATAGAGGCTGGATATTTGACTGGCCATCATTTCTCTTTCAAAGATTTCCTTTTTTTATTGTTGATTGCAACACCGTTCGATGCCTATTAGTCTTGTTTTTGTGGGACATTGACAAGGATAACAACTTGAAAGAATACGCCTTCGAGCAAAGTGATGCCTTTATCCTGTCAGTTTCCATAGTAAAAATACGTGTTATTAGACAGTTGCCCATTTCGTCAGGGTACGCTACTAATTGATGGCTTGTTTTACACTGAAGTATTTGTTGGTGATACTGTTGTCTTGATAGATAATGAAATTTGCATGATTAAACCATCAAGCTAAGAGGACGTAACACAACTGAGATTACTCATTCAACTACATTTCAAATATTCCCTATCATTTCAATACACTTGATGAAAAACAAATAAAGCAGATTTTTGAATGATCTTTTTTTTCAGTCAAATTGTGAATATCAAACTGAAATCAATAAATAAATCCCCATAGACCTCCAAATTGAATTTTTCTTCTGTGCTCATTAGTTACTTGCTTCGAGATGCGATTCCCGAAGTTCTAATAAGAGGTCACCACCAGTGGGGAATCATACTGGATGTGAATACAGTTGCTCAGTGACAGCATTGGATGGAGTTCGTGTTATATCGTGAACTGACAGAATTCAGAAATGTGTACCATTGAATTCTAGCCCAATGGCTCATTGGTAACATGATGGTGGCGGAACCTGGAGATCATGGGTTTGACTCCTAATAATGTAATGAGTGTGTACTACTGAGGAGTCCCATGCACGGACGAAAAAGCTGTCTAGTTCTCTTAGGTTCCTAGTGGTTCCCCAACTGATTTCAGTTCATGATGAATACCAACCTGAAATTAAACGATTTAATTGAGCATAAGCTGAAAAATTACCATCTATGTACTACCTTGGTGGTAGTTATGCTATATTGTGAATTGACAGGAGTAAGAAACTGTAGACCATTGAAATCCAACCGCGAAACTTGAAGCTGCTGGGTTCGATCTCTGGTGCCTCGTGGATTTCGCTGCTGAAGATTTTTGAACTCGGGCGAAACAAGTGTACATTGTCCCAACTTTTATAATGGCTCTCCAGCTTATTTCAGCCTGTTATAAATCTCACCTTAGAAGTGAATGAATACTTTCTGTTACTATCTGAATGAGTAACTTAACAAACTGGTCAAAGAAGCTTATTCCTGCTATGCAAATAAAGTAACACAAAACTGGCGGTTGAAGAATCTTATTTGGCTGTGAAACATTCAGTGAAACGATGAGTCTCTAAGCACGTATAACAATAAGCTACTATACAGGGAAAGCTCAGTGTGCTAGGAATAAATCGTCTGGTGTAATGTTGTAGAGTGAAATTTAATTTTTAAAAAAATTCTGCTTATATATAATTTGGAGATTTTTATGTCAGTCACTAATGTTTACCATATTTGTGGAATATTCAATCCATCTTTCGCATCGATCACAGAAGGGTTTGAATGGATATGCAAAGCTTCTGCAATGACCTTGTCTTTGTGAGCAAGAAAACCCTTTTACAGGATGTTTACCTGTTCAGACGACATCTTATGACTTTAGTATAAAGGTATGAGACATGATGGCAGAGGGTTTTTGTAAAGTTCCTTCAGTTCATGAGAATTTTCTGATTGATATTTGTAACTTAGACAATGTTTAGTTAAATATGTCAGTACCTGATGTTATGTTTCTCTAGTGTGTATGATATCACATTCACTACAGTCTGCGTCACAGACAAAGTTGTGTTATTCCAGTGGAAGATTTGATCTTTTAAGCTGAACCATTGTGAGTATAGACTGTTCGTCACTTTTAGAAATATTCTCATGTTATAACTGTCTAGGATACGTCTTATTTCTTCTGATGTACTTGTAGAATAAAGGAGGTTCTATAGTACTCATCCAGTCTCTTTGAGCTGACTTTTTATATCTTTTTTCGACAAACGCTTTTCTTTCCAATAACTTCTGCGGATAGTTGTTTGGTTTTATGACTTTCTGAACAGTTTACCTGTCTAATTTCTGAAACTTTTGCTTACTTGGTATCTTTTGAGATGTCATCCATCATTAAAATTTATGCGTATACTTATTTTATGTGACCGAGGGATAATAACCGATTACCGGCAGATATATGAACTCATAATGACTCTTGATTATAAAATCGAAATTTATTATCAACATTATTTGATTACTGGAGGGTGACCAATTTAATATTGTCTACTCCTGACTGCTGACCGACTTCTACCAGTTATTTTGCAATATCGCTTACCAAGCTACGAAGCTCAACATCTCAGAGTACTTTGGGTGTGTGAGCTGGTTGCAGGTAATCTCACTGTTCAGCGGTAACGTCGCTGACTTCAACACTGGGTAAGGAAGGTTCGAATCTCACAGGGGACATTTCCTTCAAGGTTTCAGGTATGCCTTACTGACGACTACCAAGAAGCAAGAAACGTAGGTCAAGTAGGGCTTCCTGCCGATTATCTCCAACTAACGAAGATACAAAAGAAAGAGAAGCAAAGCCACTGACAGATACATTAGTACACAATAGATATTCATTGAAATTTATCAACCTATAAAATTGGTAGGACATTGAGACCGAATAATCTGTTTATCATCCTATCACAAGGATAGATGAAATAGCCTAATCTTGGGAAAGAGCTCAAATCAGTTGTTAGCACGAAATACTACGTAACCAAGGTCATTCTAGTGGAGAAGACAAAGTCCATGCTTCAACGCAAACCTAAACGGCATTTATCATATGCTTACGTCTACGGATTTTCATGCATATGTGGAGATATACAAAGGGGAGGAGCAATCGTGACGTGTGGTTAAGAGTGGTTGAGCATATGCATATATGGGTGCAGAAACAAATAACCTCCAATAGTTTGCCAGGTACTGGCGACAAAGATCCTTCCTCATCGATCTCCAGACACACTGCAATTAAGTCATTAGAATGGTATGAAGGCAGCCTTTACAGTATTGCATAGATACGGTCAAGGACGAATACTTAGACTTATCGAAACACATGCTATTCTTAAATTCAACTCGCTTTTGTGTGTTCAAAAACAACTTCTACTTACCATAGACTACCCTGGTAGTATTAAACTCAACTCTAACAACTGCTATTTCAACTTGGCATTCATCATGGAAACCTGGGAGCGATGAACATCTGTTTTGTCCTAGTATGGTACTCTTAAAAAGTGTACATCTCTGACTCCGTAAGTTATTGAAATAATTATGTCAGGCTTCGTGGCGAGCACGTTACATTTCCCACTTCTGTAGATTTATGATATAACATGACTATCACTCAGCGCCATCGTAGATTATTTGTCCTTATATCCGACTTGGTTCGGCATGCCGGTCACGACTTCCCATAACAACCCAGGAAAATCTCATTACTGAGGACTAGATAGTAATTCGGTGCTGAGGTTTGTGGGGATTTGTTGGTTTCAATCCAGTGATCGACAAGTCATCCATAGTGTCGACAAGCTGTTCACCATTGGTCAAACATTTATCTAGTAATTTCAAAGCTTATATAACTGATAATAACCACATAACTCCTTACACTTCTAATAAATAATCGGTATAACTTTCATTCATCTATCTTATCAGCCTTTGAAACCGTTTGTTGAAATTAAATTTCAACAGAACAAACGATCCACTATTCCGTCGGAAGGGAGAAATCCATGTTGGAATGCAGAATTTCGATTTTCCTTCATGTAAGTTAAATAGCCGTTAAGTGGGTTGTTATATTACAAATCTGTTCTAAAAAGATCAAATCCACTTGTTCACTCGTATAAAACTTCCGATGAAGCATGTGTTACGTTACTTGATATTTTGATAAAATTGGTATACCACATATCAATTGACTACATTTTCATGGTGTTAACTTGAACGAACATCTAATGGTTAATTTTAAACTCATTCGTTGAGTAAGCAAGTTGGGGCATAACCTTAACCTTCCAAGTACTTTTGATGCACTGAGAAGCTGCTCAACACAACCTAAACTTCGAAAAGCAAACTGCGATTGTTTCGTTGACAAGATGATTGACTCAGGAAACGATGCCGTTTCAGTACTTTCATAGGTATTAACGGTGTTCTTCTTTTAAAGCTGTTTACTTGTTATGCACCAATAGACAAAAGCGAAATAAAATTGAGACAAAGAGGAGAATTGGTGTTTTATACTACTTTGAATGAAATGCTCATGACATCTGCTTTTAGTAAATTACCTGTTAACTAAGTATCCTAGTGTGTAGTTTATTTTAAATTAAATTTTGTGTCAAACAATTTTAGAAGTTGTCACATTTGGTCTGTATAGATGTGGAGATCAACCACTGATTCGTTGTTCTTGTCTGATACTGACAGACCAAGAAGATACATAGTTGGGTAGTCATGATGAAATTGTGTGTTTGACGATCTAAGTGACAAGAAGATTGTGGACGAGCAATGGAAAGTAACGCGACAACGTGCCGAATAGCATGAAGGCTTGATCGTTACTTTTAGCTAAATGAGTCCATTAAAACACTATGAAGATCAACACCAGTGTTGAATGTCAATGAACGTGTTTCGCTGTTGATTTTGGGCGATTATTTATCGCTACAATTTCATCTACATTAAAAAAAATAATCTGCTTCCATAGCATCTTTCAATCCATATGACAAAGATATAATGACGGAGGAAATTTTCTTCTAGACAATCTTATTTTCAAAAGCTGTAGAACAACATATTGAATAAAATTATTTGAAATCAACTAGATAATGACTAGGGGCTTCTAGAAAATTCATGCGCCGCAAGTAGACTAATCTTGAAGGGATCTCCGTTTTCTAGTGTATTTGTTGAACAGATCTGAATCCTTTAATGCTGTAAATGTACAAAGTCATGTTTACTAGTCAGAAGAAAATTTATTAGATTTCTAAGTTCTAGTGTGCAGGAATGAATTTCCTAAGCTTTAGTATTCATTACCTCATCATCACTGAACATCTGACTAATCCCAGAGATTCCTTAGAAGTAATGTAAAGAGTCGATCGTAATCATTTTGTAGGGATTCGACTACGTCATCCACACGCAACCAAATCATTGACAGTTCACTATCTGAAACTTGATCTTTCTACTCACAAACATTACCCACACTCATCAACCTTATTAAGGTTGGTAATTTGGGGGTTCTCTGCGATTCGGTATTTTGTCGTAGACATTTTGTCACCAGGCTCGGTGAAATCCTCAACACTAAGATCAAAAAGAACAGAAGCACATTCGAATGTTAAACGAATGTTTAGGTTGTCTTTGCTGACCTTGACTTTTGTCCAATCGTAAGTTGGAAAGGAGATTTCACCTCAGCTTGACCTTTCTGATCTGACATTCTACTCGATCACGGTATTAAAGAATCTTTGTTGATTGGCTTGGTAAACTTGATCTCGGTTAATTTATGGCTGTTTTTCTTCTCAAATAGATTGTAGATTAGATCTTTAACCACGTATTTGTTTGTTGCCTTTCCACTGGAACGCCATGCTACTAGAAATCCTCGCTTCGACTAGAAAAATGAGGAAATCCTCTGAAGAGCAGTTTTAACAGATGCAAAGAATTTTCTGGAAGCATGGCATCTCCTCTCCCGGTATTTCGCCTGTACATTTTACCAACAAATTTAAATTGACCATTGAAAGGTCATCTCAGAAGTAATTCTTTCAAGTAATGTTTTCGCATACCTACGTGGGATTTATCATGTCAACTAAGGTAACATACCAAATAGATCGTTTGGGTAGGTGGAATATTAGTGAGGAGTGAAGTGAAAACGAGAGAAATCTTTTGTATATGGGATATATTTATTCAAATTGAGAAGAACGCCGATACATATTGAAGTGAATGGGTGAGTGATAAGAAGTCCGCAAGTGATAATGACACGATGATGCACTTGGACTGGATACGACTAGCAACTATTCTCCCTCAGAACCTTACGCTCCACTGAACCGCAAAAAGAAGTTAAAGACTGACCTGTGACTGCAAGGAAGTCAACTTATTCAACAGAAATGCATCATTTATATACAGTTTTCGCTGATATATAAAACCACTAGGTCAAAAGTTAAATACCTCATTGTGATTGGCCAATTATAGGATAAAACTGTCGAATAAGTTTTTTCGTGACGACTAAGAGACATTGAAATACAAATACCTTAGCGGCTAATGATTCGTACCACATATTTGTTTGAACTTTACAGGATAGAATATTTATAGTTAGATCAAATGGTTTTTTTTGGAGTTGATCTTACCCGGAAAATCGACTGTGTAAACCATTTGCGATCTGTGTAAAATGCATAAAGGGTATTTACTTGTGGTGAATAGATTTTTTAAAATTCTTATTCATGATGCATTTTTGATGAAATTTCTCTGAGTTGTTTATTCGTACCAACAATGCTGTTTGTTGGCCACTGAATTGGACAAGTAATGTTATTTTCCACACACCAATGATTCTCCAGGGCAAAAACTTAGATCACAAAAGGAGTCTGTGGTGCATTGGTCATGTACTCTACTGATGCGATACTAAACCACTTCTCAGTTGTAAGTAATCATAGTGTTAAGTAAAGTAATTGTTAGCATTCTTTTATACTTCGCACAAGTTTGTAAGGATTTTTTTTATTCTTCTTTATTGAACAGTTTGACACCCGGAATTTCAAAGTTGGAATGCATGAAAGATCCAATTATAATCAATGTGTATGATCAACTTACATTTAGTCAAACTGAAGGCGATCAGCCTGAATCATCTAATTATATACAACATGTAGAACATCGTCTTATTGGTTCAGCTGAAGTCCCATTGTCAACTGTTTACTTGAATAGTAAGGTAGGCGATTTCACCTAAAACTTGGTTAAAAAACCATTGCATAACTATTGTCAAATAATTTATATTACTTTTTAATTCTTCAACACAGTTGGCGAATAAGTTATGAGTTATTATGATGTCATGCAGGAGTACTGTTAAACTCTTTATGTTCATCGCACTGGACAGTAAATTTCAAAGGAATCAGGGTATAATTAATAAGGATTGTGTTGGATGCTTTTACCTCCGTCTGTTTCTCTTGCAGCTGAAGAGAGGCAATGGTAGGCAAATAATCAAGTCCTGCTCAGAATTTTCCAGACTTCATTGGGCTTTAGACTTATCCACACTGACCAAAGTAGGTGTGCACACTGAAGTAGGATTTGAATAGGGTGACTTCACACAAGTAGTTCTTATTTCTAGTGGTGTGTGTACATTTTTCATTCTCGTGCATATGAAGGTTAGAGGTTATCAGATAATCCCTCTGGCGCTAGGTGGTATAACGTAGCAAATGTAAGTGAACCTTTCCTATTCATCCAAAGATTTCGTCGATCACTGAACCTCGAGGACTGATTTGACTCGCCAAGTAAGTGAGTGGGTAGCACACTGGGGTATAAGGAACCAACAGAGACCAGTTCCGCAACGACAGCTTGCATTTTGCAGCTCAGGATGTATAGAATACTACATTTTGTTGGCATTTTCACCTAAAATGTCTATGTTATCTAATTAATCTAGGTCTACCGGGAAGTTTCATGTCACAAGGTGAAATTTAACGAGAAGGAGATCTTCATAAAAACGTCAATGATAAAGTTAAATAGGAATGGAGGGTGTGAATATCCTTGACGGACACCACTCAGCATGCACAACTCACCTGATATCTCGCCATAAGCACTTACACTCCCACGAATGTTCATAAACAGAGCATTCAACGTAATGATGTACGTACCTTGTACTCGTTTCAGGAAGAGACACTGGCATAAGACCGCTTGATCAACAGAATCGAATGCCGTCTTCAAGAAATATAGGTGGTGTCACGCGCCGATGTTTCTGTGTCCCAAAACATTCAGGAGGAGGAACATCTTGTCAATACATTCACGGCCAGGTCTAAACTTGCCTGGTTCGCCGTTTCTGAGCTTCACCTAGAAGGTATATTGCAACAAAACCCTGGACAGTAAACAGTGTTCGTCACACTGATTTCCTCGTGGCTATAATAGGTTGACTGCTCACGCTTCTTTAAGACTCGAAGGGCCTGTCTCAGTTTTCCATTCAGTACGTAAATGAACAGTTGGAAACAAAAGAGTGGGCAGGTGTTGGTTCAACTACTTCTCGAAGCGTTCTGCCCTTAGTTTGCTTTGAGTAAATCATAACCTCATTTTTCTCCGTTAACTATTGACTTTTTTGCCGCAGTTTTTTTGACACATTCAAGCATCCCTTCAGCCTTCACTATCTATCACTGATCGTGATGATTGGATAGACTCCCTTCCAACCTACATTTGAGTAGTTTAATAATCTCCACTAAGTCATAAAACAAAGGATGTCTAATGAAGTGTTGCTCTCTTAAGCAAGATGTTTCTCAAGCTGTAAAGCCGCATACAAATATTCTGTTTATATGGTAACAGAAGAGTAATGTTTCATAAAATATTTTTGAAGGAAATTCAGTTTCAATTACAAATCAGATCGGCAAAAAAGTTTCGTAATGCTTGGGATGGTAATGAGGAGAAGATTTATTAGGATAGAGGTAATATTTGGTTACTAAGTTAAACGTTGTACTATGGTTAAAGAGATTGGTGAATGTAATAAGAAATCAGAATTACAGGGGGTGGGAGAGTGTAGTTTGTGACAGGATGTGTTAGAAAACATTTTGAGGGTGAAAGGTTATTATCGTTCACGTCCATTGCAGCCCAGGTGACTAGACAACTTTCTTCTGAATGCAGAGATCTGGCTTCAGAATATGAATTTCAATGGCTTTTACAGTTTGAAGCAGTCTCAGGCCTACACCTTTCATGAGATTTGCAAGAACTCTATAGATGATGCTGAAGTTATTTTCTGCATTTCTCGGATGGTCATAATCGATCAAGTGATCTAAAGTATAGTTGGTAGGTACCTTTCTTTCTTTTTCGTCGAACCATGCTCACATATGTTTGGAAACGCGTTTGGAAAGCTAACACTGAATACAGACAATATATCTTACTCCACGGGGGAGGCAAAATGAGAAACACACGTCGATCTGACCACGCGAGGTAGCTTATCCTTGACACATAGTGAGGTCATTTGGAAAAAGAGAAAATAAGCCTAAGTTTAGCAGCATAGAAATTCTTTCTCAATAAACATCCCATATGTTTTATTCACGTTCCTTATTGAATTTGGAGCCTTGAAGACTGCATTTACGTGCGTTCATTATTTCAGAAGGAGCTGCTTAGATTCAGTGACTCTTTAAAACATTCTCTGAAAAGCGGTTACAGTCTTTATTGCCTTTTTGACAGTAAATTGGAGACCGCCCCGAACTTTACAGGGTAATAGATGTTGTCCTCTTCTAATAATCGTCTCACCAGTTAATTGAAAGAGGTGTTAGAATTCTTATCAACGAGCTACGCCCGGGATTATCTTATAGCTTTTGGTCTGGTACCTTTCTTTAGAGGTGAACGCAATGAAGATGATTGAACTAAAGTGGGGTCACTGTTCAAGTTCATACTCTAGAAGCAGTGGCAATCTTTAACATACCGTCTACACAGGCAAATGATAGCAATATGATATCTCCGTGTCCATCGTTGAGTTGGGGTTGGTGCAGGGCACAACACACATAGTTCCTCGTTACGTCCGAATTTCGTGTTGGCAGGTAACTGATAGCTGTTTTATCACAGTTGTTTCAATCGACTGCCGTTCTCCATCCGTTATTTCCCCGATCGAAAGCAACCACCTCGATGTGGTAGTCGGGCTTGCGTATCATAGTGGTCCAACGAGCTATGCGTATAAAAAACTTGTTCCCTCAAGGTTCCTACCATGTCAGAGGGGTCTTTTGGATAGTGGTAAGACGAAACGTATTTACTGTTTTAGTGTAAATTAATACACTATGGTGAGGGTCTGGGAGCGAGGTCGTACTGTTGCTAGCTGGATAAGGTGTGACAGCAGTAAGGTGGTAAGCGTGGATGACCAGCAGTGCTACGCAGATTCCGCTTTCTCAACACAAAAATTGGGGGGCGGATAGAGAAGGTTGGTACCAAAAGTAACACACACTCACCTCATCGTGGCATGCCGATGCTTACAACAGGGACTCAGTTTGAGTCAAAACCAAAATATCAAAGTTTCAAAATAGCTAAAAGTTCATGTGTAACCGGCCTAGAGCAGATGCCCATGGGCTCTGGGGTTGCACACTATCTCTTCTTTTCCAGTTAACTCAAGAATAACTAACCTTCCTGGTGTGGGCAGTCAGGAGGCGTCATCGGTCTTCACGCTTCCAGTAGTACATAAAACCCAGTCAAGCATAACCTAAACTCCTCAACTCTGTCATCTCCTTCGCCTTCACCTCTTGATATTAATATTAGGTCTCTACCTTCACTCTAAAACCATTGCCAACGATCCAAACCATCGAAATCTCATTCCTAGTCTTCTAAGAACATGTCGATTTCATGTTGGGTCTTCCAACATCCGAACTGTATGCCAAACCGGACGGCATGCGTCGCCCACCAGAACTCTGAAATCCCTAGCCATAGATAAGTGCTCTCTTTGAAACACGTATACAGGACCCGAGTATGGTTATTAAATTGGCCTCACCTGGTCTTAGTGGTGAATTTTCAAAATTCACATAACGAGTCTCCGGGGACCCGGTGGCTAGCTCTCGTGCACTCGATGGTGTAATCATAGCACTAAGTTGCAGTGCAGAAAGTGCCCTCGTTGACTGGATGCCAGTCAACAGCCGTCTATGTGCTGTTCGATTGGATGGACCTGCAATGCCTAGGAAGGATCTTGAGACTAGGCGGTGCTTATTCGTAATCCCCGCCTACACACACTGGATGTATTTCGGATGATGCAAAAGATTGATCCTATAAGATGCCAACTTTACTACAGGAAGCAAAACATGTAATTATGATGGCAGGTGACTTTACGCTCAAGGGGGGAGGCTGAGCCAATCGAAAAGCAAGCATCATGGGAGTATTTACGGAATCGCATGGCAACGAACTGACGACAGTGATCATCTGTTGTAATTTTTTTCCCGCAGTCACTTGTTTCTGGAAAGCACTAACTTTAAGCTAAAGGAGAGGCTTTGTTTCACATGGTGTCCACCAATATCAAAATAACGACGGACACAGATCATTATACTATGAGCCGTCGTTGGAGAGGATTCATGAAGGATTTTCGTTCTTCGTGGCATGTCTGTTTGAACTTTGATCACACGCTAACTTAGACTAGTTTATGTCTGCGCCTTACTGGTCGGAACAAACAGGAGATAGCGAGGCCAGTATGTGCCTGATGGGTATACGAGGACGTGATGCATACATTTAGAGACGAGTTAGCTAAGCACTAATCTGAATGTGACAGTAATGCTTATCCTGAGAAAACCTGACGTCATATCAACTCTGTTGTAGAAACAAAGGTAAAGCTAGCAAACCTCATTGGATTTCCGTGACTTTATCTGAACTGACTGATGCGACAGGACTGGTTCCAGCTGGCCTTGACCATGATGAATAGCGAAAGCAAATTAAGCGTGAGCTGACCAAGAGTCTTCGGATTGATTGCTAGCAGTGGTGAGTGGTGAAAGCGACAGAGATGCAGAGAGCATCAGCGTTGGATAAAAACCTATAACTATCTAGACTTATTAAGGATACCAGCAAGAAAAAGACGATGGTGAGTAAAACCATCAATGAAAAGGATGGGACGCTGATAAACTCCTGGGATAGATGGCTAGAACGTTGGGCAGAACACTCTGAAGTTAAGTTCAACTGGCCCTCAATTGCCCAAAATCCACCCTGAAGCTGAATGGGACATAGATGTTTGTCCACCAACTCTCCATACAGTTAGGAAGGCTGTGTGGAACCTGAAACGATAAATAACAGCTGAACCTGAACTTTTCAAGGACGGGGCTAAGAAATTGCTGCTTAAGGTGACGGAGGTACTAGGTAGTGTGTGGGAATCAGAAGTGGTGCCGTCATACTGGTGTACTTCACTGATTATTCCAGTCCACAAGGAATGACAGAAGTCTTCGTGTGACAACTATAAGGGGATTAGTTTTACTAAAATTGTATCCAAGGTCCCGCAGGTTCATAGTTATCCGACGCCTAACTGGAGCTCAAGAAGAGTAAACTCGAGAAAACCAGGCAGATTTCAGACCTAGTTGAGAGTGCATTGCTCATTTTTTACCCTCCGACAGGTTCTGGAACACAGATATATGTGCCGGCCAATGGATTATACTTGCCATATTTCTTGACCTAAAGGCGTATTTGACTCTGTTGTGGCACTGTCTGACTATGAAATGAGTACCCAGCAAGTATTTAATGCTAATCGAAGCTCACTACTCGAACTCATGCAGCCGTGTAACAGCTTATGGAGAGTTGTCATGTGAATTAACGGCCATTAGTCCTATTTGCCAGAGATGTCTATTGTCACCGCTCCTATTTAACTTAACCACAGACGTACTAGTAGGCATAATCTTAGGCTTATCTTACTTCACAAGGACTAATATGCTCCCAAGAGGTCATCTGGTTGACTTGGAATATACGGACGATATTTTCCTGCTAGGTGAAAACGCTGGCAAAATGCAGGGTCTTGTGAACTGAACGCGTTGAGCAGAAATATGAGTATGTTTAGCATGCGTTTCGCTGTCACCTGTCAAATATAAGGCGATGCTCCAGGATGGGTTTGCGACCATTTCCAGTTTAACGATAGGCCGTGAAGTGGTGGAACGTGTCGACCACTTCTCTTACTTAGGGAGTTGTACCATCCCGAACGGGCTGGTTGTTGACGAAATCTCAGCCCGGACACAGAAGGCTCGTTTAACATTTGTCAATATTCATCATCTGGGGCGCTGACTAGCGACATATCTGACTGTCTATCAAAGGACGAGTATACTGCGCTGAAGTCCATTGTGTCATATTGTATGGGTGTGAGACACGGCCACTAAAAGCAGGAGACTTGAAAGAGTTACAGTTTTTCTACCATAGATGTCTTTTTAGCATTGATTGTGTGCAGTGGGATCACCGTGTGAACAGTATTGAAGTTAGGCAAAGATACTAGACAAGACGGACAAGTTGGTCAGTCGACTGAGATGACTAAGATATGAACTGCGCTTGCGGAGTCACCGCCTACCTCGACGTGCCATACTGGGTAAGTTGGATTGGGTTGGAAAAAGGTTCAGGGTGGGTAGACCAAGACCTTGTACCAGTTGGTGAAGCCTTTACTGTTGGTCTGAGTTGTGGGAGATGTAGACTGCTTGGAATGAGTGGTTGAGGGCTTTTGGTGACGGCTGAAAATCAGTCAGAATAGCGCATGACATCTTCTAAAGCTTGATTATTCTGACTAACCTTTATCTTCGGATTGTTTATTCTCTCACACTACTTTGTCTACTTTTATATCACTCCTTTTTTATCCACCTGCTCTTTGTATAATTACTATGGAGTTTAGCAACTGGAACCAGTGCACTAGAGTGAGAGGTCCTATGTCAATTTTGTCTGTGTATTCCTTCCTGTCAGATAACCTATTACTCTTATGTGTGGTAATGTGGCTTTTGTCATATATTCTTTGAGTGATGATTGATTATCTATATTTTCAGAGGATTTTGCGTTTTCTTCCAAGAATCTAGACGTTAATGTTGCGCACCATAAAAATGTGTAGCATCACAAACCTTCAGTGTGGATCTGAGGCTAAATAGTCCCTTTCATGGAGACTTGAAATTTGCGGATGTAACAAATCAGTCAATCAATCCATCAATCAGTCCCTTGGGTTCCTAATGGAACATAGGGCTTCAGTAGCACGTCTCCATTTCACTGTCTTCTCTGAAATCTTTTGAACCTGGCTCGACGACAGCCCATAAGCTCTGATTTCTTCCTCTCACGATCTCCTACATGTCACCCTCACCTCAGACGCCCAATCATCGCTTCCCATCTGGGTTCCACTCGACAACCTGGCCTAGCGTGTGGTGTCCCCAGTCGGCCTTCGCAGTGTATGCCCAATCGAATCCATCTCCACTTTTTTCTGCATATTTTTTCCGGCGATAGGTTCTTGGTTGGTTCGTTAACAGCCAGAGTTCCTTGTTGCATATTCTTTCTAGCCATCTGAACTTCAATAACGAGCGTAGGCGGTTGCTGGTGAATATCTGTAGTTTGTTGTAAGTGCTTTTCGTAACGCGCCAAGTCTCTGAACCGTAAAGAAGCACTGACTTGACGTTTGTGTTGAAAATCCGGATGTTGTTCACGCTTTATGCCGAGTACAGAAGATCTCCACACTGGTTTTCATCCTAAACATCCTGGTGAGTGATGTGAGTAATTAAATCCTTAAAAAAACTGTGTATTAAGTTATTTTTTGAAAATTAGGCGTCGACTAATATAAAGTTACTAATCAGATTGATGGAATTCTGTACCACAGTACGGTGAATCCTTTCCATTCATTGACTGTAATTAACAGTAACACTTCTACAATGATCCAGCATTGCAGCCTCACTTCGAAAGACTGAAGAAAATAAAGATTCATTGTAATTATCTTCACTATAAAAAAACTAGCTCAGATTTTTGATTTGTAACATTCTTATGAGTTTCAGATAAGTGGCAAGATCAATTTATCAATCCCTTTAATTCTACAAGGATATGAAGTAGGAAATATTGTGAAATCTTCAATTCGACCAATGATAGATGTTCTGATGACGCTTGAACCATCGATTTATCCACCAGCACCATTATTGGACTCGGTAAGTTGTCTTAGATGCATACTTACTATCTGAAGTTCTACAGATTTTTTTTCACTGACAAAGAAATTTACCACCAACCGTTACAAACCCCAGTAATCGGACGACCAGTATATTGTACAGCAGTCCGCTCAATCCTATTATACGACTATTAGGCAAGTAGGTGTGAAGAAGCTATTGGTTTTCTATCACAGACTTCTTCTTAGAGTGTCTGGAATACAGTTGAATCACCGTCTGGGCAATACTGGGGTCAGGCTAGGGTAGAAGACAAGGAAAGCATGTCAATCAACGAAGTGGTAAATCTTTATCGAAAGAAATGGTTCCTACATATGTTGCGCATTTTGAGTCACCGTCTACCCCAACCTGCAATGTAAACCGAAATATGATTGGGTTGGAAGAAAGATAACGGTGCCCAGAAGAAGACACGGCATAAGTATGTGGGACCTCTGAATGCTAACCTGAGTTGTTTATGTAGATGGATACTGCCTGGATGGGGTTCCTCGATATGATAGGAATCAACGATTTGAGACCGTTAGTGATATGCCTCCCTATCTGCATACCTTTTGAACGTAATTTGTCAAAAATAAAATCTTCGCTGAGTCGTCTTTCCTAAACTATCGTGACTCATTGAGATTCGTAAGTTATAGGTCCAGTTGATGCTAATCAATTACACGGTTCTTAATGCTCCTGAAGGCAGAGAGCAGGGTAACGCAGGATGAGTTTGCAAATGATTTACAAACTGCACCATCCACGTTGAAATTTCTGACAACCGAGTAGTTTTTCAACTACCCATCCTTGGCATCACAAAGATTTCTGCTAGAACCCATTCAACCAAGATCACAAGGTGAGATCTTTGACGCAAAGGTGTCATAAACTAATGAAATATACTGTTAAATACTTGAGTAGTTAGAAATTGCTCAGGCTGGTCAGTAGATTTCACCGGGCAGCCAGATCAGAATGGTCTAAACGCTGAACGGCTTTTTAACTTGTTAGCGACGGAGCTCACCAGATATATTCAGCTTACAGAACCGAATTGTTCAGCCTACCTGGTTTCTGACTGCTCAAGTCGTTCAATGGTATAGAGCAAAGGAAATTTTCTGGACGAAATAAAGACTTGTGTCACAACTGATAGGAGTTCTTCCTCTTCCTCAGAGGTCTTCTTCATATATGGAATCACTACTGTCTTTATCCCGTCTTTCGGTGATAATACTTACCATTCTGAGTTTGGTTATTCTTTATACCTCATCTCCTTTCCGCGTTCATCAATAATGCTTTCATAATAGTGTAGAAAACTACCATAGCACTCATCAGCGTAACGTAGACTCTAACACTTCAAATCCAGTTGGTTTCCTGTTCACATGAACACACAGTATATAGTTTGTCTTGTTAGAAAATATTACCAACTGCTACTTATTGATACTTGTAATTCCCCCCTGTTCTGGGTCGAATTGATCAATCTTTCTTGATATTCTCGCTCTTATGAGGATGTCTGGATATTGCCTGATTATTGATCATATTGTATTCGCTTGGTGGTAGACAGTGGTGGAACCCAGCAGGCGCGTTTTGTAACTCCTAAGCTGGATATACATCCATCTCAGTGAGTGATGTCTTTCTCGTCGAGACTCAAACCCAGTACCCATCGCTTAAAACGTCAAAGCGTTTTCCACTAGGCCACCGCCCCGGGGGATGTAGGACTAGAGTCTCGGTGGGAACAACATAACTCACTGAGATGTAAGTGCACTCATCTGATGAGTCCCATCTAGAACAAAACGTGCTTCTAGATCCAACCACTAGCTAACACCAAGCAACTACATCTTTTCATTCGGTTTGAAATCAGGCTTCCGATGTGCTGATTTCGTTTAAACTGTATTTTCACGAATTATATTTTAGTTTATCACCATGGAACCAGTTAGTATCCAGTCAACACTGTCAAAGTGGTACCAAAAACTAGCAAAATATAAATTTATGACTGATAGACAATTTAAACCATTGGTAATGAATTCGAACTGTCAAGAGGTGTTGATGACACGTTTCTTAAGACCATTAAATCCGCCAGAAGAATTTCTACCAGGAATGAATACTGGTTTAACAGTGCCAGAATCTATGGTAAGTCATTTCCTTGAGTGGCTTCCACATTGTTTTATCCCGATAAAAAGCTTTTGTTGATCACAGAGTCAACTATTACGCCTGTGATCACATTCTTTATAGTCTCATGGGAAGGCTGCTGAACTCAGTTATCCCTGAGATCTTGTTATATTCTCACTGCTTGAATGATATGGTTTCCATGACCCCAACATGATCATAACTAAGTTCTACTTGTCAGGTCAGTTTACGTATTTTGAGGTTAATGTGGATTTCATTTTTAAGGTGGTATTCATAATGGACTGATACCAATTGGAGAACCACTGAAAACTTGGGAGCGCTGAACAGCAGTTCTGTTCCGGTATGGAATTCCTCAGCAGTATTCATTCATGATATGTGTGATAGACTAGTAGGAAATGAAGCAGATGACAAATGAAAACCATGGTGGTTAGTTAAGCTATTTCACGAATCGACAAAAGTAGGAGACTGTGAACCATGGAACCCCGACTCAGTGACTGCGTAGTTAAGGCGTTCGCCGTGAGACCTAAAGTTCCTGAGACTGATGTCTATCGGGACCTTGGGTGCCTATTGCTAAGTAAAGTTGCATAAAACTGAAAACCGGGATGACAAAGAACCGCTGGGATAACAGGGGATTAGAATTAAGGGAGCTGAGGGCAAGAAGGAAAAGTGACTATGAATTATGAGTAAATTTATCATGAAAAGCTTACACACAATGATAAATTTTTATTTTGGTAATATTTCAAGCAAAATTACTCCCCATGATCTTACAAACAGTTGGAATACTTTGGCAATATTTATACACATATTTACCTGTTGGTGTCATATATATGTAGTCTTTGCTATTTTTTGTTAGTCTGTTTGTTTAATACAATGTCCCATATGGTTTACAGTTGTGTTGATCCACCTTTGTTGTATGTGTTAAGGCTGACATGTGTAGATATGGATTCTACTATTAACCTTTCCCTTCATTTGTCGTTGTAGGACTTTAGCATGGTAGTGTTGTTCTTGTCAATTCTGTGTTTTTCGTCCTCTGTATAAGCTGTACCTTATTACAAACTTTTGTACTTTTGATCCTCTATAGGTTGACCTTTATTTAATCTTTGATGTTCAATGAGTTTGGTTTTCAAAGATCTTGATGTTTGTCCTAAATCGCTTACTGTGCAGTCTGCACACAATATTTTATATACCATACTGATCTTGTCCTCTTTTTATCGGGTCTTTTAGTTGTAAAAATCCCAAACTTTCTAAGGTCTTGTCATTATTGCCTCTGATGCACCTTTATTGTAGATTGATACCATTGTCTGCTTTAAATCATCTTTCTTGTGGACCCCAGTTGTTGACATTTGTTTCTTCTTCTCAGTGTTATCTTTTGTAAATTGCTCTGGTTAATGATTCTTCAATAACACCTTGAATAAGACATTCTTCTCTTTTCGTTGGTCATTAGGCCATGTTGTTAATTTACGTATTCTTCTTGCCAGACCCTGTACTAACCCTCATTTCTCTGTGATTAGACGGGCTGAGTGGTAATTGAGAAACCTTCCAGAACGCATTGGTTTTCTATGTAGTGTTGTTTTTAAAGTGCCATCTATTGTTCTTTTGATTTCACAGTCCAACACTGGTAGCTCCCCCAATTCATTTTCTATCTGCATAGTGAATTTTCATTGGGTCCACCTGACTGTTTATACATGAATGGAATCTTTCGACATCCTTCATATTTATTATAACTGGAGTGTCATCAACATATCTCCAACAAATTCTAATCGAAGATGTGTATGGTTTCAGTGTTGTTTCTCCAAAATCTATAAATGCATCCGATATTATTGGTGAAATAGGTTAGTTGTAATGTAATGTAATGTAAAAATGAATTGTTTCTACACTCAAAGGTTACTTCAATTTGCGTGTGGCTATTGCTTTTGAAATTCTCTGTACACAACCCTGACCATTTCCATATAAAACTTTGAAAGCTGTTTGAACATTAGTTTTGTGACCTGTTTCTACAATATGTTTAGCTGAAGATAAAGGGGATTGTCTCCCATCTATGCTTATCTGTTTTTGAAGCCAACACGTTAGGTACATATTCTCCCACCTTCAGATGTACGACTGCATTACTCCATATATATATATATATATATATATATATATATATATATATATATATATATATATATATACATATAATATGATGCAGTCACTTGGAGTAAAACCTGAAGAGGATCTAATTCTTGGTTGTATTGTGTTCTCTGAGCTGGGTTGTTTAATCATGAAGCTTTCATCGTCCTTCTAGACGACATCATCAGCACTAACGTCAGTATGAAGTGAGCTGTCAGTATCTCTTCATAAGTGATTTAGTGGCTTGATCTGACGATGTGCTCTGTGACTGGTTGTTTTATTCGACTGTTGTGTCATTGATTGTACAGATCTTCCTGTTGGCTGTTCCTCTGCTTGACGTCTCTCCTTTCTGTCGTTTATCATTTTTCTTATTGGCTGATAGATCGGGTCTATGTCTATACATCTGTTGATTGCTGACTGACTGACCTGACCTGCTCAGCTTCTAGGATTTCTCTGACATTCTTTGTGTTTCCTCTGTCCAAAATTTCTACATTGTCGAAATTGAATTCATGTCCATAATTATCCATCTGCATTGAAATGAGTGATGAAATGTCGTGACTTTTAATAGCCAATTGGTGTTCATGTAGACGAAGGTGAAGAGGGCGGCCACTTTGTCCAATGTAGTGTTGACTACAGTTATTGCAGTTGATTTTTATAAGTGATATTCGGTTTGTCTTCTCTGGTTGTTGCATCCTTTGGTTTGCATAATAGTGTTTGGAGGGAATTTGTTGGTTTATGAGCCACACCAACTGCAAGTGGTCTCAGTAATCTTGTCGTGATTTCTCATATATTCTTTATGTACGGTAGTGTGATACGTTTGTTGATTTCTGCAATGACTTTGCAGTTGATGATGTACTGGATAGGCATCTTCCGATAAATTTTCGTGGGTAACCGTTCTTTTTTAGAATAGACGTCAAGTGATTTTCTTCGTTTCTCCGTGAAGTTGATGTACTGCAGTATGTTGTCGCTCTTTTGAATAGAGTCTGCATGCAACTGATTTTGTGTGTTGTTGGGTTGTTGCTATTGTAGTTGAAGATTTGGTCAGTGTGTGTTGGCTTGCTGTACACTTGGTTATCCAGTTTTCCGGCATTTGTTCTACTGACTAAAACACCCAGGAATGGTGATTGGTTGTTTGACTCCTTCTCCATTGTGAATTTCATGTCGTTGGATTAATTGAAAACAATATTGTTCGCTCACAAGTCTTGTTCTAATTTGCATGATGGGAACTTTAAAATGTTTGTTCACCTATGCGATGTTAAGGTTTGTGGTGAGGCATGTGTTTAATCTTTTTGACAATGATATGTTTAAACAGCGTTGTGAGAAGACGAAGATGTAACATGCGATATATTAGCGCTATAAATTTCGAACAGTGGTCACACATAGAGTTCTCGAACTATTTGTAAAAAACATTTGTGTAAAACGGTCAGTTAAATCAATAGGAAACAAAGGAATAATAATTTGGCTCGGTAAACTACTTTGTTTCTCTCCCACTAAACACCAATAACTATTTTAAAATCACATTTATAACCAAGGGATACTCTACTTTAGATTACCGCATCTTTTTCCTCACCTTACAATGTGTAGCTACGTTTGTCTCGTTACGTATCACTGATACCGTATGAATCAGATGCAGCTTCGTTTCCCGGATTGGCTCAAGTTTGGTGTACATGTGATGTAAGTTAACCTGTTTCTATCTAATCTAATTGTTAACCATGAACATAAAAGTTTCCTAAACTTCCTATCTTTATTCCTGCAATTATATAATAATGACAATGATAATAATAATAATAATAATAATAATAATAATAGTAAATCATACTTGATTCCCAAGGGATGTACCGTGCAAAACAATAAAGCAGCAATGTGAAGACACAGGAAATGGATGAGAGAATGGGAACTCGAACAGAAACTGGTTATTCAAGAAGCTGTCTCAAAATATATCGAGACAAGTATTCACTATCTTCATCTTACTTTTCGGCAGTAGAACAGACAAGAAAACTGCAGCATGCTCGCCATCGCTTTCGATAGTCAGTTATATCTGCTATCGTTCCAAGCCATTCAGTTGAAAAACCTCTCGCACCCTATCGAAGGATTCGTGAGGTACTTACAGATGCCAACGCACACAACTATCCTTCATCTCACGAAGACACACCACACACACTGACCATCTTTTAACTTCTGTTGACAAGTTCCGTGACAAACTAACAGTAAAGAGTTTGGCGACCACTGAGATGACAATCCCAATACATATCTAAGACACTTAGACTATTTTTGCAAGATGATCCCGCCCAAGGAATGACGACCACAACCCTGACCTCTCATCTTAGAAGTATTTATATGATGTTACTAACACATCCAACCAATCCTACGGAGATAGTGGTGACTAGAAACGCAGAGTTGCCGGACATCATTAGTCAGAGAGGGGTAGTTTCACAGGCGTACCATAAAACTACCCACACCGACGCGTTACATACCCCGCATTTTGAAGCTTGCTTAACTTCACGGCGAGGTCAAAATGGCTCGAAATTGCATGCGCCACACAACTACCCAACTACACGAATATCCTGACGAATTTCACTGACGCGCCACGAAGAGTGAATGCGCTTCGTTGGTGCAAGGCACATACCACACGTACGGAGACCAAACGCTAATCGACTGAGCGGAGTGGAAGCGGTATTTATGTAGTCGCACAGTAAAACAATATCGGTGACATACTCAAGTTTCAAGAGTCTTTCACTTAGTAGTGGGTCCACGGCTCGACTGAGCACTTTTTGGACTGCCTCTGTATTGTATTTGATAAGTTACAGGGGAATTAAAAAATGGGGTAGCTCTGCCTTAATTCAAATTAGTTTGGAACAATGAAGAAGGGTGACTAAGAAAATTTCAAATATGTTCCACTATTTGAAGGCAGTCAGAATATGGAAAACAAAACGATCGCTGACCCGTAGAAAGAAAACGTATTCTTGCTTCATGAAATTTGACGGTAGTCGTTATTGAAATACTTTTCTATATTTTGCTGAGTTTCGTTTTAGTTATAATAGTTCAACAGTAATAACTGGGCCGTTGTTATGTAAATGAATATTTAGAGCGAAGTATCGGAGAAGTAAAGAAAATAGATTGCGCTTCACATGAAAGTATTAATGACACGAAGATACCAAGAAAAAGAAAGTAACAGGATTAAGGGATGAACATCATTAACATTGAAACTACATAACTACCCACTGTTCGACACCTGGGGTCAAAACAATAAGGTAAAATGCAGCAAGAGGTTGAAACTGGCGATGAAAATAACGTTACCACAAGTTGTAGAACTCCATAAAAAGAGGCTAAGAAGCAGTAGTAAGAAATTAAACGGATTCAGTTGATGTTTGGTGGGAGTTGTTTGATCTCAAGGTGGTTTTAACAACAAGCTGACATCATTCAGTTACTTTCACTGCTCGTTAGTGACATGCTTCGAGATGGCTTCTCAGAGGTTCTAATTATAATCCATGACATGTAGAGGTCAACTAAGTCGGATGTGGGGTAAAATACCCACCAGTGGTATTGGTGAATGGTCGCGCTGTATCAAGTAGGAAACTGTAAAACGTTAGATTTCAACCCAGCAGTTAAGCGGTAACGTGCTCGCCACGATACCTGAGAGTCCTGGGCTCGATCCTTTCATAGGTCGTGGTTGCATTCTGTTGAGGATTCATATTCTCCAGGATGCAATAGCCATTTAATGCTCCCGAATTTTATTGATTCTTCAACATTTGTGTCACTGGTATCGCTTTTAAGCTGCATAATATGAGTCTAAAACATTAGTTCAGATTATCTTGCAAACCATAATTGAGAAACATTCATTCTGCTGTGCAAATCAGCCAACCTACGATAAGCTTTATTGGGTAGCACTAGTTCTTTGTCTAACCAGTTTTGAGCTTATTCTAGTTTAATCTCGCGTCAGCTAAAATTTGGCTTTGTAGGAGGTGGTGACTTGGTATACGTAATATAAACTCTTCCCACAGCAAACATTGAAAGTTTGCAACGTCATAAATTGATTTATATCTTTCGCTTGATACTCTACGCTCATATGGTGATGTAACCGCACATACGAAAGCTTCTATGAAAGCAATAGAGCTGCAGTATGTAGACATTCTCCAAGTTTTGAAAAGTGGAGAATATTTGTAGCTCAGGTGGGTGGTCTTGGTTGTGTTGTGTTCTCTGAGCTGGGTTGCTCAGAGAACACAATACAACTAAGACATTCTCCAGGTTTCTACCTATATCAGTCATGTTTCGTAACCAAACAGCAGCGAAATAAGTAGTTTATTTAGTTAATAACTCATGTTTTGTTGGTAATAAATTTCTCTAATGTGCGACAACTCTCAATCAACAGGTCGTTTACAAAAGTAATTCTGTTCATCATAAACCTCACAGTGTAGTCCGTAGTTTTAGATCATAGTTAACTAACGCAATTAACAATCGTAATACTTTTTCTGAGGCACAGTCCAAAACAGTTGCATATGAACTAATTTTATTCAGAGAATTGAAACCTGTATAACACCTACCTCACGAAAAACTAACCTGATAAGGCCACTATGCCATAAACGGAATATATGATCATCAATATTATGCTCCCCTTATGTAATTCAGTTAGATTTAGATTGAGATCAGATTTCCAAACTGGGCAGTCAGTGTGAATATGATCAAGCGGCAGTAACGCGTCACAAATTTATAAAACAGTCGGGCAAAAATCTTAGTGACTGAAGTGAAGTAAAAATCTAGTCGACAGTCGGGTCTCGTAACTCATTTTGTAGACAACCCGGCTGGAAACCCGGCTGTCTCTGGTTCGAATCATTTCGTCGCCCGAGTTTTCATTCCACCTTCAGTCATCACCCAGTATGAATGTACAGTTGCCAAAGTTATTCGAAACATCAGACTCAAATAAATTTGGAGACAGAGAATGTGCGATTCGGATAACTCAAGGTAATGGTGTACTGTGTAATAGTTTAAGATAAAATAATAATTTGGGCCGTGCCAGGATTCAAACCAGCGACCATCTTCAATCAGCACCTAGTATCAGTGCAAGTCTGCTAAAACATGGTTATCTCAGAATGATAATAAAGGTAAATATCTATCATACCAATGAAATTGTACAAAAACTGTCAGTGTTTGGAGTGGATCTTCATAAAGACCAATGAAATTCATTGTTTTGTCGTAACTGGAGAAATAACAATGAGAAAACTGTTGTCTAGGGGATCCATAGAAGAATTGGGTATAAATCAGGTAAGAAGATCAGTATAAACTTTGTTAAAACACACAAGCTAAGTTGGAAAGATGTGAGTATATTATAGAAGGCAAATAACTAATTTATAATTTGGGTACTGAACAAATAATTTTGTTTAACAGTGCATTAAACAGAAAGTGAATTTCACTTGTAAAGTTTACTTGGTGTCTAGCAGTGGAATCCACGGTGCATGTTTCTTCCTATTTGGAGTTGGTCAGCTGGATGATATGTGCATCGCAGTGAGTGGTGGTTTTCCCATTGAAACCCGGACCAAGTACCCATCTTTTTGCTGTCAGAATGCTAAAAAGGTTCACAAACAATTGCATCTTTTATGAAAGTGACTACATATTATTGAATGCTGCGACACATCCTGTAATTATTTCGTGAACTGTATGATTTAATTTGATCATTCTAATATTTAGGTGACTGCAATCCCATAGATACTACGCTGTTTATAGTAGGGTTGTTGAATACACCACATGGTTGTTTCCTTCTCTCAGTTGTCCATGGCTATCATTTCAGACAGAAAATGACAAGAACCAACGAGTTTATTGGTCGGAGATGGCATTCAACAGGAGAAAACAAAAAATACGTGATATAGCGGTCAGTCAATGTAATTTTGATGGAATAGTCAATCATTAGAGGTTCGATTTATTCCACTAATAATGCAGCCAACTCAATCTTATTATAAGCTCAAACGGAAAAAGTTATATAATCTCATAGGAAAACAACCCCACCTCTAATGCAGCAGGTTAACTGGGAAATAATGCTATTTCTCAGCAGTAATATAAAAAATAAACAATTTCTGATGCCAGCAGTGCCCCGAAGTGAGGAAGAAGTTTTGGACACAGTTTGTTTATTTATGGATGCAAAAGGTTTTCGAAACAACAGTGCTACATCATTGAATTTATTACTGAATTGGTACTAACCACGATATCAAACGAGATAAAATATTAGGCTCACCTAGTCCCATTTGCACAGGCTTAGCGGTAATAATATAATAATAATAATAATAATAATAATAATAATAATAATAATGATAATAATAAAGAGATGAAACTTTCAGTTATGTTCTTAATCGCTTTGATTTAGCTAGTGAACTTTCTGAATACTAAATTACTTATTTAGCAAAATATTGGATTACTCAGCTGTCGTTTAGTTTTCAGTCTTGGATGATTGAAAATCATCTACAGTATTCTCAAATGCTTTCTTTCTGGTTAAGCGAGCGAAACAAACTCACTGCTGTGCTCATCTTTATGTGGTAGGAAGTTAACAGGTTGATAAATTGGTTATAACTGAACCGAATTGTAATTTTTATAGTATTATGGTGGAGCACTATTTGGAGGCTTGAAATTGTGATAAAACCATTATACAGCGTTTCATAGATTTAATCCACATTGTAGAGTTTGCTTACTTAGAAAAAAGGGAATGAAGTTTCTAGCCGATGAAGTTTGAAAGTTCAATTCATGGCAGTCTGCTTGCATCTTGAGCTACTAAAATATTTCACCGAAAATATATATCAGATGTTTTCCTTTTAATTTGTTTTAATCATTTAAATAGGTCCTCTGAAGGTATCACTTAATCTTCAACATTTTTAAAATGTTTCCAACTCCCAGTTTCTCGAGTTAGTAACAAAACAAAGAAAAAAACTTCACATTATATGGAAGCGAACTTTTCAGTACGCAAAAGTACATTATATTTCTATCCTTCGGATGCTCACCTTGAGTTGTAGATTCTTGTGCTGACTGGATGAATAGCCACTACCAAACTTACGCTCGCGTTTTTGTTGATTTTTCACTATCGATGGGACATTCCAAAACCAGGCGACTCTTTCACATTATTGCTTTGAATACTGCTATTATCGATATCACTCAGAAGCAATAACTAGTTGGTCTGAGGATATCGTTCTGGGAGTAACTTTGACGAAAAATCACGTGCTGAAGATTAGATACATATTGTTTGGAATAAAGCGATTATTATTATCATTATTACTACCATATTCCAGTCCCTAACAGTAGTATCTTACCAAGAATCCTGCATTTAGTTAACTGGACCTAACTGCCTGGCTGCAGTTTTAGGTTTGTGTCAGTTAAAGAGAGAGTGGGGTATATGCGACTATTTTTGTTCCTTGCAAAAGCTTATCAGTTAAATCATGATCATTGTACTATCGGAAGGCTACATTTGATAACATTTCATTTCTATATATTGCAAAAGGTATAAAAAAATCTGCATGACTTTTCCTTTTTGTTCCTATTATCTAGCAATTTCTAAGCATGTTATGCGGGGATGAAGAAGAACACGCAGTACTCTTGGCCTGCTACTTTATGTATGTATTTCAGTTCAGTACAGTGGATAGTGACAACGCTGATACATCTAATATGCAGCCATCGAAAAAGTCTTCTCAAGCTGCAGTCCATCCAGTTTATCTTTGTGTCGGTGAAGCAGTTCCTGAAGGTATAAATTAATTGTCACATATAGTTCTTTTCAACTCCGTTTCTTTCATTCTGTTGGATATGTGTTTATACAAATGGATTCTTTAGAAATCGTCCTCATCTGTTGAAGCATACTACTGAACAAAGTGAGCAGTTCAAAATCACCTGTGTTGATCTACGGATTTAACTAACCAGATCAGAAAGATGTGTATGCCAGACGCATTTTCATTCGTTTCGGGCCGAACTCATCACTGGTGTACCTAGGTAGATTCGTTTCACAGAGCCGATTTGTTCAGATCTATAGATCAGCATGAGCGGTTTATAACTGCTAACAGTGCCTTTCATTAGTTCGTGAAACTGTGTCAGACAGCAAAGCTTGTTATCTTGGTTGACGGGTGGCCTCCAAATAAGACCCTGTTGACGTCACAGTTAATCAGTTTAAGAAAACTACTTGGCTAAGAGACATATCAAATTAGTTCGTGTAACTTGTAAATCATTTGCAAATTGCTTGTCCATCTTCGTCTACGCCTAGTTTATCCATGAGTAGTGAAACAGTTGAGTGGGCCTAAGTTTCACCGTACCTTCACAATTTGACAAGGTATAAAACCAGATAGATATTAAAATAAACCATTACATTATTAAGAGCGGTATACTGAAGAAGATCGAAGAAAAATAAATACATCCGCACTACCATACCGTATAGCGTTTTTATAACCTTGAAATTAATTATGTGCGATGATATGTAGGCGCATGTTCTACGAAAACGTTGTATCAAACCAGCAGTGGAAGGTATTCTGTGACTGAAAAAGTGATTTACTGGATTCTTAGTGAAAGAAGTTAAACAGATAATTTATTCCAAACTTACATAGATAAAATCTATATTTGGTGTTAGGTGGTGGGAGTCAGTAGGTAGGAGGCCGTATTAGATCAAGCTTTCATGCTTGTTAGGGTTCATCACCATAGCCCATCTACAACCGGGAGAAAACTCGTGTTTCCTCAGTGATTTGAACCTAAATCAATTGGTACTGAAACCAGGGATCTAACAACTAAGCTACACAGGCCCCGACTAACTTTCTGCAGGTCGGATTTGTATACAAAAGTTGATCACCACTGGGTGACTGACTCAATTTTGTGAGTGGACACTAATTACTGATGTTAGGTGGTTAAAGTAAGCCAGTACAAAGCCCTGACTGACCTAGATTCAGTGCTTGCGGGCAGTATTCAGCATGGTCCGTTGGAACTTCACAAGGAAGTAATGATACGCTTATGAAGATGTTTGATATGACGCTGAAATGTTTCCCAACTAAAGCTGTGGCTTAAAGAACAAGCCACCTTGAGCATCCATATCCTGAACTACAAATATTTACCACAATTTATGGCACACCTTTATCAAACTTGGATATCATGTTTGAGCTATGTAATCTTCGATATTTCTCATCTGTATTAGATTTAACTTTAAGGTTGTCATTTTAGCTTTCAGTTACTCCTACTTGTTCAAAACATATCCATCATATGCTCAATTAAGATCTTAAGCTAAATGACGTGATACTGCACTGTAATGCGTTTTGATGTTGATTATTATAAGCAGGGAGCCCTGTATGGTTACGGTTTTGTGTTTGTTTTCACTCAACAACGAGGTATACATACTGTGAAGGAAACACTAGTTCGCACAGTTTGTTGAACACTATTCGCTCAATGTTGGCATCAGCAACTTTACCACTGAGATACTGAAGTAAAGAATGATCTCAGGTTTATCTGACTACGTACAAGAACCGGTCACTAGATGTTGACTAATATGGTTGTTCAGTTCCGTGTTTTAAGCACAATTAAATGGTGATTTGTGGTGTGGTGATCTGTGCTTGCATTCGACGTGAATATATTTAGTGTTTATATGATGATGATATGTTTCCGCTGAAGTTTCATCAGGATTAACATTTGAATACAATACTTTCGCAATAAAAATATACAGGCACCGAATTCTAAGTAACATTAATCTGAAAAAAATACGTTTGACAAGTTGGTATTCATCACGGACTGCCATCAGTTGTTGAACCATTGGAAACCTGGAAGCACTGTAAAGCTATGGTGTCCTAGTATTGAACTCTAAAGCAGTGTACACTTGTGACCCCGTCAGGCGTCGAACCCAGATTTTTTAGGTTCTACGATTAGCGGTTAGTATTTGCGATGCAATCTGCTCACCAGTTTATTTTTTAATGCTCACTGATCAGCAAGACACCTAATCATTTACCACAGGCAGTAAGAATTAGTCTTTTAGAAATAGTTTGGGCCGTTGCCAGTAAAATGATGAAAACAGATCTACCGGTTTAGACAAAGCTGTTGCATCCCTTTGTTCTTGCATATGAGTCCATTACCTTGGGTATCATATTATTCATTTATAAACTGCCGCACTGGAATGCATAAAACTATAGGGACTGTTTTGCTCATGCATTTCTTCATAAAACTATATTTTAATATTTTTCTGACAATTTTATTGTGCCAACATAATTTCATTTTTTTTTAATATTCATAAATTATCGTTACTCTTCTGATTCCCCTATATTCACCACATATTATGACCTAAACTCTTGATTGCCTAAGTGTTGATCCACTTTTCCCTGATTACCAAAACACATAGGACTAGACAAAATGAAGTTGGTTACCCCCCAGTGACCAATCAATGTGCATAGCCCTGTCCTGCAGGAGGTCATTGACAACCCACATAGCTCATTGGTAGCGTTTATGACCGTAGTTCTGGGTTCGAGTCTCGGGCAGGATATCAGTTTCGTTGAGGTTGTAGATGTGCCTTGTTAACGACTGGCAGAAACCACGAGATCCAGGCCTGGAATGGTTTCTTGATGACTGCCTGCCTTCAACTAACATATAAAATAAAATAAACTACTGCTCAACTACTGAATACTGACTGAAGTTAACTGAATACTAACCTAAGTGCTATTGCTCAAATTTATGTAACCAGATATTCGATGCTTGTGTATATTCCTATTGAAAAACACTGTATTAAACGATCGTGGCTCACGAGACTCTATTGAAAAAAAGATGTGTTTACCTGAAACATTCGTCTTCTCAACGAAACAATTGGTAGATTCTGATCGCAGAGTTTTTAAGTTATGGGATTGCCTTGGAAAATGTTGAGTTGTACACTTGAATAGACTGATCTAAATGCATATGCAAGGATTATTAGCGTGATGTGTTATCCCTAGTCTAATTTGATTAGAAGAGGCTTTTTCATAAAATAGGATTCTGATTGAAATTGAAAGAAAGCTTGGTTTGTGATAATGGTAATTCTCGAACCAATGACTTCTGGGTTATCTGTACTCTGTCATACCGATCAAATCACAAAAATCATTTTCTGTCTAAGTCATTCTATTAATGAAGCAACCTAGAGGGTTCCTGCTCAGCTGTTATATATGTTTCTAGTATACTTAAATTTTTAACTATGGTTATTGTTGATTATTCCCAGGTTGTACAGTTTACATAATGACGGAAGATTTTATTTCACATAAGCAAACATTGATCTCTCCAAACTGGCGCCTTTGGAATCCTGTCAGTGGTCAAAGTTTTCAGTATATGATGTAAATAGTCCTCTACGCTCTGTCTGGGGATTAGTCAGTGCAGAAAATGTAAGCTATCTCATTGCGACTATGAATAATGATCATTAGTGTTATTATTTCAATGAATTGTACTTGGTGAAACTATAGAATCTCGCCGTCCTTGTGTGACTCACAGATGAATCTGAACGTACCAATTACAAAAAATAACATACAGAAAATTAAGCAGAACCTCTCACAGAACTACAACAGATCTCACCAAAATAGTCTATGCCCCGTTGATGGCTCAAACTAACGATCACGAATTTCATAGACTGGTATTACGTCTTAGTCTGACCGCCCTGAACCTTCTTCCAACTTAATTCAACTTCTGCTAGCATTGCATTTCAAAGTAGGTTGTAACTCGGCATGGACAGCACCTCAGTCGATGAAGGTTCACAACCTCATCGAGTAATTTACCGTCCTTGTCTATTGCCTAACCTCGAGGTTGCTGATATAGTGATTCCACCACACGAGAATAATGCCATGAAGACACCTGTGATAATAAACCTGTAACCACGTCATATCCTCTACTTTTTGTCCTAAGAGTTTTTAATACAAAAATGAAGGATAATTACAGCGGACACAGTTGTTTAACTATGTTTATAAATTTCTCCAGCTCCTCCAGCGTTTCTTAACACCTTGAGTCGAAGTACGTACAATAGAGATATGCATCCGTGTAACACGATGACACTAAGCCTTATAAGCTGTGATATGGACGCAAATAAGCCTTCATGCGGTTTCGTGTCGTCTCTACAATATCTGAACTAACCCTTGTAGGAAGATTGGAGAATTAGAGTTGGACAACGAAAGTTAAGCATGGGGACCATGAAGCTGAACATGAAGTGTGAACCTACCAATTTCAATGCACAGAAAATGAAAATCGTTTCTTCAAGCATGAGACAAACGGTGCACAGGTCCTGTTTTTAGCATCGGCTCTGAAAATGGGAACTACCTGCTTGATGTTCACCATAAACTTACACTAAGTTTAGTAGTAGGGTTTAGGAAAGAAGAGTAGAGGTTTCAATTAGGTTTAAGGATTTGCAGTCTAATACTAAAGCATACCCCGGCGAGAAATTCTTGTCCATAATTCTATCCCTTAGCTAAAAACAGGTACATTAGAAACGCCTCTAGAAGTAAAAAACGGTGCAAGACGATCAAATGAGAAGTAATTCCCTTCTAATCGATTGGACTTATTATCAAAATTCAGTATAAGTTTGTGTACAATCGGTGGCATTCTCTTGACTTTAGGAAAGATCACATACTCACCTTCAGCGTGATTAGTCATTTAAAAGTCACACAAGGATGGCAGAATTCTATAGTTCCTTCAACTTAACCTATTAGAGAGCTTAACTGGCCAGTAGGATATAATAATTCGCGATTTTTTTCAGATAACAACCAAAACATATTGTAGCGGGAGCACCTCTGTGGCAGAGTGAATAAAACTGTAGCGTTTACTCTAATAGTTTGATTCTAACTCAGAGTAACAATACATATGTGGTTACATTTCAATGGCATGTTCCAGATGAAATGAAATATTTGACTATGAAGTTCTTTGTTACCTATAAACAAACGAAATAAGAAATGCGTTCTCCAGATATACACAGTTACGAACCAATATTAGTTATCCATGAGGTAAATATTAGTTAAAACTTTTTAAAGTAGAAAAAGCTGATCACAGCTTCCAATTTTTAGTCGTTTCTGTCTTATATTCGGAAGCATAGACAAAAACGGACATTTTACAGAATGTATCAAGTAAATATTTATCAAGTCTGGCAGATGTCATCGATTCTAACCGCTAAATTAGTTACCACTTAGCCTATTGAACAAGCCAAAGAATCTTTCGGATGATTTACTACTATAATTGGCTGGAATGATGTTTGAGGTTTCCAGCTGCGTGCATGTAGATGTTTTTCTGGTTGGCACACTTCTACTGCCAAGTTATATGCAAGTTTTGCACAACAGAAGATACGTGTGTATGTGGGGGGGGGGAAGGGGGGGCTAGATGGCATATGAGAATAATGCATTCAACTAACCACTTGTACGAGAAGGAGGCTTGAGTCGTTCGCAGTCACGATTAGCTTTATCTTCATATTTGAAGGCGTCATCAGTTTAATGTCTAAAAAGTACTTCAGGTATTGACAGTGTATACTATACGAAGAGGATCACTATTCGAAATTGTAAGTCAACATTTTAACAGATGCTGAAATGCTGTACAAAATAAAACTGAATGTTTATTGTAGTTAATATTACAATAATTAGTGAAGCGGAAGTTGCATGTGGAGTGTATTCGGAAAAGTTCCTAATACAGTTTGAACCAAAGTCAAGTGTTACACTAGATTTTTAGCAAAGCAAGAATCTTTCTAAGCTCCTAGTAACTTTTCAATGAAAGATAGACCATTGGATAGAAAAACGTGTTTCAGAGTTACCATGGTGAAACAGTGAAACATATATTAGCTTCAGGCTACAATCATCATGCTTAGTTTTGTGTGAAAAAAGACCAGTTTTCATTCATGTATATAAACGAAAACCCGATTTGTGGAGAAACATGAAACAGTAGCTTCCAGATTACTTACTATCGCTACAAATAGTTGAGTCTGATAGTGCACAGCATAAGTTTCAGGGTGGTATCCACCATGGACTGGTGCCAGTATAAGCATTAAAATCCTGCAAATTTGAAACATTCTACCTATTTCAACTCTCTTGTGCATAAACTAACAGGTTGAAAAAAAACTGGAGAAGTAACCACAGGGAAGAATACAGATGACAATTCGAAGAGAGAAGGAAACGTTTTTTTAATGGACGACAGCATTTGTTGGAGTTTTGCAACCGGATATAACAACCTGAAATTAATTGACTCCCAAAGACCTTAGAATTGAATTAATTTAGTGCTCACTGGTGACTAACTTCGAGAGGTGATTCCAGCAGTTCTAATGCAAGGTCGTGACCAATGGGGCCAACCAAGTCGATCATGAGGACAGATACTCACCGATAGAATTAGATGGAGGTCACGCTGTATCGTGAACTGACATAAGTAGGAAAAATGGACCATTGGATTTCGTCCCAGTGACTTAGTGGTAAGTTACTGGCTGCGGAACCTAGAAGACCTGGTTTCAGTCCTCGTCGGGGTCAAGGTGCGCACTGCTGAGGAGTCCCATAGTAGGCCGAAACAGCTGTCCAGTGCTCCCAGGTTTCTTTTGTTCCACTAAATGATGTCAGTCCATGGTGAATAGCAACCTGAAGTCAATAAATCCCCACAAACTTGAAAATTGGATTTTTAGTCGCTGAAAACAGGCAACCGTAGGTTGAGACTGCAGCAATAATATGGTATCACACAGTTCGGGAAAAGTGAGTACAGATGTGAAAAAATCTGTGTGATCTATAGGATTTGACACAGTTGTGAATTGTTTGTGAATGTGAAACCTGATCATCAGTGTCTAACAGAGAAGAGAGAAAGGAAGACCACTTTGGAAAGAAGCGTTTTCTTGCTTGAAAATACCTCCTCTTTTCATAGATCAATAGGCCTGTTTTGTAGTCTGTAGTTAGCGTCAGTGTGTTTATTGGCATTTATAATATTCGTGTCACTGGCTGATGAGGAGTTGGTTGACTTCATGGTGATTTTGATCATGGATTGAAATCATCCAGAGAACTATCGAGCACTTGGGAGCACTTGACAACTGCTTCTTTCTCGTTCGAGGCTCTCTAATAGTGCACAGGTTTATGTCAGGTATAGTCTTTGATGTTGTAGCTTTTGCATTTCTCTTATTGACTGAACCAAACTGATGGGTTACTATTGAAACACGAGCTGCTGTGAGGATGCCTTTATATTCCCCGGAATAACGTCACCCTTGGAAGGCAGTTACGTCCAGCTGATGAGTCCCAAAGAGGTCGAACCGGGGATCCTGAATTTGACTGTTAACCACTATTCATCAGTAATAATGCCAGGTGTCTTTCTTACGGACCATTGATATTTTGAACTCTGAAGAGTTAAATTATTATTCCTGTGTTATATTTCAACCCTTGAAAATGTTGAGCAGGATTTCATTGATGTTTTTATTCATAAATTTTCTACAAGTTGGTATCTGTAATCACAATGTGAAACATGATCAGTTATAGTTGATGAAACTGTTAAAAACCCCTAGTTTATTTTTTCCCTTTACTCGCCATTAAGATCTGCATAAAACGCTGGGGAAACATAGTATCTCTTCAAATGATTTCTCTAGGCTTCATCTCTAAAAATGTTAAATTAAGTAGAATTATGTACTTTGGTTGATCACTAGAGAGCAACCAACTTCATGTTGTTTCGACCCGAGTGTTGAATGAAACTTATCGACCATTTTTCAATGCATTCACCAAACTAGGAGGCTTAGGATCTGAGTTCACTTTGGTAGCTGCTACTTGGTTCGAGACAATCGCCAACAAGCCCTACTCGACCTAAGTTTCGTGCTTGTTGGTACTCGTCAGCGGTGGGTCGTACAACCTTGAGGATTATATTTATTTCCACTTTAGGCATGAAAAGTTTCTATTTTTCAGTAAACTGCAATATATACGTATGTATTATTCTATAACCCACCTCGTACGATAATTAAAGATGGACGGTACCCATTAATAAGATAAGGGTAGAATCTAAACAGCTGGTATGGTTTTTTTAAACAAAGTGTCAGCAATGAATGCAAACCGCTTAGCCATTAGACATAAGTGTTGTATACTACACTCGATGCCGAATATTCAGAAAATGTTGGAAAAAAATTTTGATTATACCAAGTTACCAGTAAGACAGAGTTACAGGATCAAAGAAGTGAAAATTCCCTCTGAAATATGGCTATGCGCCCCGTAGGAAACTCGAAGATCATGGGACCGACCTCTGGTTTGGTTATGAGTGTGAACCACTGAGCAGTCCCATACTAAGATTAAACAGCTGTCTAGGGCTTCCAGATTTGTGGTGGTTCTACAACTGTTGTCAGTTGGTGATGAATACCAACCAGAGATACAGAAGTATTTTCACACTTAATGCATTTCTTCTGAGTTAAGTGCATAATACAGGATTCTATTTATCCATTGGGAGACGATAGTGTAATCAATCTTTCTTCTTATTTTTGTTATTTTCAGATCTTAGCTAGTTACTTACTAGGATAAGACTGTTGAATAATTTCAAGATACTTGTTAAACTTGGTAGCTAGTGGCGGAATCTAGGACGTGCATTTCTTATTTGGGACTCGTCAGCTGGATGTACGTACACCCCAGTGAGTAAAGGTATTCCCACCGAGACTCGAACTCAGTACATATCGCATCAAACGCTGAGGCACTATCCACTAGGCTACTGAGGCACGATATCCACCTCTTGTACACAGGGTGTTAGTTATTACTATTTGTTGATATACTTGTAATTCTCCGTTGTTTTGCTGGATTGAATTCATCATCCCTTGTGAGAAAATGGGTTCCTATGCGGATGCTTCGATACTGCCCGAATATTTATATGGTTTTGGCTAACAGTAGGATCCCGGACGCGCGTAATCATAACCGTAAATATTCAAGCAATATCAAGGTATTTGCATAGGAGCCCATCTGGCAACCAAAATCGATCATTTATATACAGTATAACGATGAAGAATCACAAGTATATCAACAGATAGTAATAACTAACACCCGTTGTACAAAAGGTGGATATCGTGTCTCGATGGCGTAGTGGATAACGCTTTGGTGTGTTCGTACATCTAGCTGACAAGTCTTGAATGAGAAGAAACAAATGTCTTGGATTCCACAACTAGCATCAGCTGAGTAAATTATCTTATCTTGGTTGTATTTTAAGATAACACTTAGTAATTCAGCGGAATAACAGTTTGATATTGAATTCATTTAAAAACTTTGATTGACATTTATGTTTTCCCCGTTTCTTTGTAATACATTCAATGAAGATATTAGCCAATATACACAAAAACATGAACCATGGGAGTTGATTTGGGATATGAACTCTACTAAAAATTGGCTGCCTGTATTTTCGAAATCTGGAATCACTGATAATTCAAATATTCCTCAAACTATACAACCAAATAAATTATCTTATGATATCTTGGAATCACGTGAAGTTGATTATATCAAGTTTGAATTAGAAACTGTGCTAAGAGATGCACTTATGGAGTGGAGAAAAACAAAAGTACGATTATATATATAAATATATATGTATGGTGTAGTTCGAGGTTAACAGGGATTTTATTTTTAGGGCAATATTCAAGACGGATTAACATTAGTAGTAGAACCATCGAAAACCTGGGAACACAGAGCAGATTTTTAATCTTAGTATTGGGACTGCTCGGCAGCATAATCCTACCACCCCACTTACGGCTGAACTCTGAAGAAGGTATGGGAGTATACTGTTAAGAAGTCCCATAATCGGACGAAACAGTTTCATATGCTCCCAGGTTTTCGATAATTCTCTAAATGATATCAGTCAGTGATGAATACCGCCTTATATATATATATATATATATATATATATATATATATGTATATATATATATATATATATATATATATATATATATATATATATATATGTTTCCAGCTACATATAGTTTTGTAATGTCAGATGAAATTAAATGAGCAGTTGATGAAAAACGTTTATGACAGTAACTGGCCAGTAACAACTTAAAATGAAATAACATTGAATAGGTGCTTTGAAGTTTATTAAATGACCCATTCTAAAGAAGTGTGAAATGATTCCCATCTACTATGCAACGGACAAAGATACCATCGAACTGTCTAGACACTGATAGGTGGAGCGGGGCATCGAGCTCATAAATGACCTAGTGGAACTCAAGTGTTTAAACTAAAAAGCAACACCGTTACATAACTTTTTGAAACAATTCCTAAAATAAGTCATAGAAGGTTTACGCTTCTAAACGTGTGGAATGATTTACAAAACACCACGACATTACATCAGATTTATTCGGTCTGAGTATACTTGAAATTCCTTTACTACTACTTTAATTTTTTCCTTGTGTTCCAAGTGAAACATAGGGATTCAATAGCACGTCTCTATTGCACTCTCTCCTCTGCAGCCTTTTCAACCTGACCCCACGACTACCCAGAAACTTCTAATTCGTCACCACACCAACTCCTACATGTCATCCTCAACACGGACACCCAACTCGTCGTTTCCCAGTTGGAGTCCACTAGAGGGCCTGGTCTGGTGCGTGATGTCCCCAAATGGTCTTCTCAGTGTATGTCCAATCCAATCCATCTCGACTTTCTGCTTCTGCATATTTGTTGGGCGATAGGTTGTTGGTTGGTTCGTTGCCAGCTAGCCATAGTGGCCTTCTTGTTTATTCTTACTATTCTGGCCATCTGATCATCAGCATCGAGTCAGTGTAGACGGCAGATGTTGATGATATATGTCTGTAGTTTGTCGGAAATGCTTTTCATAACGCACCAAGTCTCTCAGCCATCACATAATAGCACTGACTTTACTGACATTAGTGTTGAAAATATCGATCTTGTTCTTCATGCTGAGTTGAGAGCAGCAAATCTGCACACTGATTTCAGGTTAGTGAAGGCCTTTGTTATTGTCCTTCCAATCCTGGCGTTGACATTCTCATCTGTGCCGCCTCCGTCTGTAGTTGAAATGATGCTGTCTAGGAAGGTAGGTGAAAGAGACGACTCCCTTCAGATTCCTCCCGTTCATGGTGATTGGTGCTTGTCGTTGTTGTCGGTTGTGTGTTTTCATCACCTCCGTCTTCTCTACGTTCACCTGAAAGAAATTCCGTCTTCGCTGCCTTGTCTCTTCTGCCAACTTGTTAGTTTTTGCCTGTAGATCTTCGAGTTTGTACGACATTAGACATAAATCATCATCGGCGAAATTCAAATCTTCTGAGGTCTTTTCATCTGTCCAACCAGCGTATACCCATCTTCCCGCTCCTCACAGCTGTCTGCTGCATGATCCACTCCAGTCCAGTCGACCACAATCAGGAAGATCATCGGTGACAGTAAGCAGAAGCCTTGTCCCACTCCTGTCTTCACTTCAAAGACATCACTGAGCTTTCCATTGTGAATCACTCGGCATGTGGCATCATTTCGCATATAGCTGCTATTGGATGAGGTTGATAGAGGTTTGTGGAACTAAAACCGTAGTGTTTAAGCAGCTGCCTGCCAAGTGACTTCTCGGTCAACGCTATCGAATGCCTTCTCAAAGTCGATGAAGTTGAGGTAAACATCCACTTGACTGGCATTCTATGTTCTGTTCTATTATGATTCGCAGCGTAGTATTGCAATTTGACCTGCACATGATTTGTTCTTCCTGAAACCAGTCAGCCAGCCTGTTCCAATCGTAATTTTGAATCGAGAGCATTGTTTAGTCTCTCCAGTATGATGCGGCCTAATACTTTGCTTGGGGTGGTCAGGAGCATGATTCTGTGCCAGTTCCTGCAGAGACTTAGGTCATTCACTCTTATTTGAGAGTTTGACAAGGCAGTCCTTCTAGTCAATTGGCAGGTACCTTTGCTTCCTTCCGTCCTTCCAAACTCGATGCAGCAGTGGTTTCAGCATGTCTGCTGCTGTTGCCTTTGTGTCTGTTTTCAGTGCTTCTGGAGGAATTCCACCTGCTCCTGCTGCCTTCCCGGCTTTCGGTAACTTCGTGGTGTTCAGGAATTCGAGTTTTGTCGGAGGTCTTGTGTTCACTGGTAATTCTGCGGTTGCCTATGCTACTTCTGTACGAGTTGCTTGTGGTGGTGGTCGATTAAAGAGCTTTTTGAAGTGGTCAGCCCATCAGCTCTTTTGTTTCTCTTCTTTGGTAATTAGATTTCCTTCATCACCCTTTTATTGGTTTCATCTATGTTGATCTCTACCCTCCCAGATAGTAACCTGTTATTTGATACAATGTTGTCAGGTCTCTCCTACCCACAACCTGCAGTCTGTTCTGCTTCACTTGCCAATGTGTCGTAGAAGTGTCTTTTGTCTTTGCGTGCGCTCTTCCTCACTTCTTTGTCCGGTGTAGTGTTTTATACGCTGTACTCAGTTCCTCTTTTCGTTGTGCATCCCTCCACTGCTTTGTCTTCTGCCTCGCCATCTTCCTCTACCTCCTCTCTCAGCTTCCATTTGTCTGTGGAGATCCATTCCTTGCCTTCTTTCTTCTCCCTTCCTAATACGGTCATGTAGGCTTCTTTCCACATAGATTTCAAAGAGTTCCAGTCTTCTTCCACACAGATGTCTTCAGCAATGTTCCTCGATATCTTTCATTTTGTCTTGATGGCTGCCGTGAAGATGTCCCTGGTAGTTTCATCCTTCAGTTTGGGTTCTGGGCGTTGAACTTGAACTGTGTTCTATCACCAACTTCCATGAAGGCTTTCAACTTGATTTGGAAGGCAGGTTCCTTGCACTAGATAGTGGTCTGAGCCTACATCTGCTCCTCTTCTTGACCTTGTGTCGAGTAGGTTGCGTCTCCACTTTCCTCACATTGAGATGAAGTCGATCTGATTTTTGGTGTAGTATGTGCATCCATATCGCCCCACCCATTAGAACTTTGATGTCGCCAACTGAGGTCTTATCCAGTTTTGATTGCAGTTGTCTGTAGAATTCCTCCTTCTTCTCTTCACCTGCATTGCAATAAATGCCATCTGCATTGAATTATCCATAAGAGTATTTTTAACTAAAAGCTGCTTATATACTGCAAGGGGTACTTATTTTTTTATGAGTAGTTCGTTGATTATTGCCAGACAATATATTTTAAAATTTCATTTCCTGCACATTTCGAGTTATGTCAAGTCTTTTTACCAGTAATAATGTTACCCTAGTTGCGTCGACCTAAAAATATTGTCTTTTGATGGAAGAAATAATGTAGATACCTTACAGCTCCCATTGAGGATAATTGGCTTCATGGGATTGGCAGTCAGTCCTGCTTTTTGGCGCTCGTCATCAAGGAATATGATATAGTTTTTAGTGACTTATTTCTGTATAGCTTTACAGTCCAAAGTAGCGACAAAAATTTAAACAAGTTTCTTTTATGCATCTAATTCCGGTTTCTCCATTCACAAGAAAAGAGCCTATGCTGTAAAGAAAAGGCGGAAACATACTTTTTCCGCAAATTTCTTTTATCTTACAGATGGCTTTGAACGGTTTGCCATTAGTAATATGATGCTAGTGTAGGTAAAATGCTCAACTACTGTACTTCTATTAGATCCACCTAGCAGATATACTGGATAATTTTCTTTAATCCGTTTGGAAAGAATGCTCATCGAATGACCTAGATACTTGGCTTCAAAGAAGTAGATAAGTCGGTTGTTTCTATCTAGGACTTGGTAAATATCTAAGAACATCGATGTCTATCTCTCTATTAATATTCACAAGTTTTCATATATTTTATTACATATTTTAATAACTCAACATAGTCTTCATTTTCTTTCCATGCTGCTCGTGATCACGTTCTATTTTGCCAGTTATTTCACAGATTTAAATTCTATCCGGTCAATTATGTTTCTTCCTTATGTTCTTGTGATTAATTTTCACCTTTCAGATCACAGTTGTGAATTTTCGACTTTTATTGACCTTCATCTTTACTTGCTACTAGATTTAATGATGTAATGCCTGTAACTATCCAACTAAGTTTAACAAAAAACGTATAAATTTCAGCTATGGAGAAGGAAATCGCCGAAAAAGATGTTTGGATTTCTCGTTTTCTCTAAAGTCCTCATGAGTACTATCGAATGCTATCCAAAGTAATTACGGTTTGGTAGACTGGTGTTGCTGACACTGATTGATGAATGAAAGTAAACTAGAAGTCAGGGTCACAGCTGAATATAAACTGCAGGTCTACGGATCACCCATCTCACTCTATACCAATTCAGCTACGAAATTCAGTCGAATATTGTTTGTAGATGTTAAATAAACCAGTTAAATGTACGTTTAACTGAAGGAATTACAATGAAGAAAGAGACAAGGATCCTGGTGATATTGTAAACTGTGGAATAATTATTAATACTAATATACAAAAGCAGATGGTAGTAATGAAACTCCTTCGAGAAAATTCTATGCATCAAGCTACACAGTGAGGAATTACCCTTAATTTGGAAGAAAACTTTAGTGATGAATATTGATTTTAAAGGAAATACTTTGGTAGAAAGCATGAAGAACAGTCTAATCAGAATCGTTGAAAAAGTATTTTGT